CCCAGGGGGTAACGAGGGTAAAAAACCAGGGGGGAAACGAGGGTAAAATACCCAGGGGGTAACGAGGGTAAAAAACCCAGGGGAAACGAGGGTAAAAAACCAGGGGGGAAACGAGGGTAAAAACCCACGAGGGTACCGAGGGTAAAAACCCACGAGGGTAGCGAGGGTAAAACAACCTATACTAGTAGTGCCATTCACTTCCAATATTTGGTATTTTTGCCGCTTTTCGATCTTCTTCGTCACCACGTCGTATCACGAGGCAACCACGTGCTTGAAAATAGCATGATTATGACAGTCATATTCGACTTTATTTTTGACTAGGAGTAGAGCAGAAAAATTTCAACGTGCCGAAATGAAAAAACCAATTAAAGTGCCAAAATTCGGCAGGTTTTCCTAGGTGCCAGCAATTTTTGGTTGATCCTTCGAATTTTCTCATGTTTCGGAGGTTAGGGAATTTGACGCTTTTTGCTGCATCAGAGAATCTCGCTCTTTTTTCAAACCCAAAAACCCTTTTTTTTTAAAGAATCTCTTTTTAGCTAAAGAGATTAAAATTAAGTTTTTGTGAAAATCTTGCTCGGCCTCTTTGTTAGGAATCAATTTGCATGCACCGGAATTGGGGGAAGCCTATATAATGGGGGGAGAGGACGAGCTTTTCATTTTTCTGCGCAGGAATTCAAGTGTTTATGCAAAGTGACGAAGTATGGGGGTAACCCTGGTAAACTTTAATTTCAGTAGAACTTTTTTGTTTTGCAATAAGTTGCTTAGAAAATTTGGATGCACGTAATTTTTATGTGTAAACATTGAACACATATTCCTATTGAAAAGATACCTGTTTTTTAGAAAAACGCTGAATATCGGACGGATCAGAATAAATCTTAGAAAATGAAGCCCGCTTGTTTTCTCGCCTTTTCGCGGGCTTTCGAATGATATAAAAATCATCCTGATCTGAGCTTCCCACGGACCGCTAGAGGGGGGTTTTTTTTGGGACACCTTGTATTTGCATTCGTACTTCCGTTTTTTTTTTTCAGGTAGTTTTTCAAACTATTCATTAAAACATTCGGCAAAGCTTTCCTCGGAAACCTTTTAGTAGGAGTACCTTACCTTACCTTAAATTCCGCCGTTCCCATTTTCCCTTGATTTTTCATCGTTTCAAATTGAATCTGATCGAGTTCTGAAATATTTTCAGAAAATGCCCGACCTCGAATCTCCCAGCGCGCTAATTCCGATGATGCGGAAGTTGACATTGAATGACGTTGCTGAGCAGGGTCCGCGAAATGTTTGTGAATTTTTTAATAGGAAAAACTACGATACCCAGAAAAGATCCGCGCAATCACTAGAAAACATGACAAATACAGGTTTCAAACTAAATTCTAAGACAAGGCCACTTGAAATTCATGTTGGTTTGTAGTGTTGTAATAAGCCTTGAAAGATTTATTTTCAATTATTGTCTGACATGAATAATATGTGTAAATTCAGCTGCTACAAATTTCTATACAGTGTGTGTCAAAACGATAAAGCCACCTCTTTGAACGCTATTAATTCGGCCCTCGTTGAGGTTGACGCCAAGCCAACTAGCAGGTCTTGTAGTGCTCGAAAAGGCGCATTTTTCCATCTACTGCAAGTTTTTCAAAAATAGAGCACGCGATTTTTATAAGGAAAAGAACAAATAGAGCCAAAAAACCGAAGTGTCAAAACGATAGAGCCACACTTTACATATCATTAGCATCAGGTTTGAGCTTGAAAATTATCAGGCTGGACCGAAAGTCTTTACAATCGATCTTCAAGACGGTTTTGTAAAAAAGTTTACCACCCGGCCGCAGGGATTTTGACACGCATAATGCCGACTAAGAGGCTACTATGGCACATAAAAATATTTAGCCCATCTAGCCTATATTTATTTTTCTATGATCGCTTCTCCCTAGACACTGGTTGACCCGACGCGGCGACTTCCGCGAGCCCTCTGCCCTTCGAGCCTTATGAAAATTTCTAATGACAGAATCCTCCCAGCATAATTGGCGGTTTAGAGTGCCAGTACCTTATCTTTCTAACTATGGTGCCCAATTCGCCAAACAACTGTAGAGCCAGCCGTTATTGTCTCTAGGGTGGAACAAAATCCCGATTTTTGGATGAGTCTGATGAAAAGGGGCTTATCAATTCAATGACGACCGCGAATGTAGCAGCGCTCCACCTATTTTGAAAAACGTTTAGTTGCAAACACTGTGACGACACCATTTATCAAGCCGCCCTGCTTTCACGGGACAAAATTTTGCAACCTAATGTAACGCCGAGTAACCGACACGGGAAATGGCATTGTCATTCAATTTCGGTTATTTTTTTAATCCTTGCTGATCAAATTTTTTCGACACACCAGGGCAAGTACACAGCAACAGTAGATAAGGTACTGAAATTATCATTGTCCCAAACCCATTAGTTCAATTTGAGAATACCAAAACAAAATCGTGTATGAAAATCAAAGGTTGATCTCTTCTGCGGCCCAGTATAAAAGATTTGTCCCTAGACAATATACGCGTTTGAAGCGGTGATAGCCAAGCTAGATATCAATACAAACCTCTTAAAAAACTAGCCACCAAACTCGGAGAAAACGGCGGACGAAGGGATTTGTCATTTTGGGGCCCGAAACCCCAATTTGACATCTTTCTAAATCGGTCAGGAAAAAGGTATGAGGCCACCTATTTAAATTTTGTTCGATACATTGTATAGTACTACTGCTGCTCCATTTGCTATTAATTATTCAAGCAACTGTGGCCTCATTGGCGGACAAAATTTTTACGAAACTTAAACCGAGCGAATATTACACTGCGCAGCGTCTTTGCCCCATAACTTCAAAAGTAGCAGAAGATGGAAGTTGAAATCGGGTGTGCAGGAAGTTCATACCTGACCCTCAATCATGCTAAAATATGGAAAAGGTAGGATGGCTGCTTCCATAATTTTTTTGCGTCCTAAAAATTGTAATTACTTTCGGTCCAAGCTGATACATGCTAAGTGCCAATACGAAGTTCGAATCTATGCAGATTGTCATCACCCTGAAAAATCCGGAAGTCAGAAATGGAAAGTCACTTTCAATGTTCATTAGCATGTAATTTTCAAGCTCAAACCTGATGCTAATGACATGTAAAGTGTGGCTCTATCGTTTTGACACTTCGGTTTTTTGGCTCTATTTGTTCTTTTCCTTATAAAAATCGCGTGCTCTATTTTTGAAAAACTTGCAGTAGATGGAAAAATGCGCCTTTTCGAGCACTACAAAACCTGCTAGTTGGCTTGGCGTCAACCTCAACGAGGGCCGAATTAATAGCGTTCAAAGAGGTGGCTCTATCGTTTTGACACACACTGTAGTAGCGTTCATCTTCAGGTGCTGGACTTCCCGAAATTGCCGAAGTACGTGCAGCAGCTCATCATCGCATACCTGGGCCACGATCTCGATGCCCTCATCGCATTTGCCATCTCGAGTCGGACAACTTGGGAGTGCGTCTGCTCAAGCCCACGCTACTTCGATGAGGTCACAAGGTGTGGGTGGTACGAAGGAGTGACGAGTATAAACCGTGGTCAAGTGCGCAACTGTATCTACGAACTCCACGGCGCTTGGCGTAATTTCATAAAGGGTGCGCGGGCCGGGAAACTATGCCTAACTTATCCCCGACACGATAATCTTCTTCCAAGCATGATCGCTGACGAGCTCGTGCTCAATCGGGCTGACCTATGGACCGCCGAGCTGCTTGAAAAGTACAAACCCCACGGCGGAAAGTTCCGGAAAATTGCCTTGAACTCCGCCAGAGCCCTTGTCTCCCAAGAAGTAATAGCGTTTATCGAGACGTCGACCGAGGTGCTTCAATATACAGTACCGACATCCCGCGAAAATATCATATGGTTCTTACAATTCAAAAACTTGCAGTTATGGCTGCACAATTGGAGAATGGCGCGATCATGCAGCAATTACCTAAAGATGTTGCTCGACGAGTGGATCCAGCATAAGCGTGTGATCGAGAGGATTGTGTTTGAGCTGAGGCCGGGTGATGTAGGAGAAATAATGCCCGTGAAATGGGGCCTCAACCGCTATGATGTGCACCATGTCGACAATTTTGTGGCGACGATTCGACGGCCGACGGACGGCAGAATTTTGACCTTTACAGCGAAACAGCCAGGCGTCATCATATCGGCTGATTAAGCTTTTTGTATTTCGTAGTTTGCAGAAAAATTCTATGCCTGACCCCATTTGTGATTTTGCATACATTTTTAAATAATTTAAACGCGATGAATTTGGCAGATTACACGGGATTTGGAAACACATTTTTGGAAATCATGTATGCGAAAATCGCGGTTTTTAACGGGCAATTTTTTGACAATTATTTTGCCAAAAATAGATTTTTTCGAAAAAGTATATCCTCGAAAAATTTTGCCCCAGCTTTCAGATTGAAATCGCCGCATTGGGTACAAAATCGCAATCTTTCAAAATTTTGATTTTCAAAAACCAACTGGCTGTCGGAAAATGATTTTTTTTATATTACTTTGAGTTGCAATTAAAATTCCCAATATATTTTTTGATGCTCTATCAAATGGCGTATCCAAAATCCCGACAACTTGCAGAAATGTCGAAAAAAATTCGGAACTTCCGACTGAGGGGGCGGTAAGTAAAGCCCAGCCAGAATTCTATTTTTTTTGGCTGGTTGTAGATGTTTTTGCATTTCTTTGCCTTAAGCTTTCAGCTTTTAATGCACCTGATGCAAAACTCGTGCGAAGCGATTTGTAAATTTGTAAATAAATAATTTTGAACATACAAATTTGTAGTCTGTAAACAAAAGGCAATACATTAAAACACTCTGATTCAGTGGAAGGAGGAAAATCGCGTTTATTCAAGTGCTATCATTCGGTACAAATCGAGCATCATTAACACCAGACAAGGCATGGCAAAGAAACATTGATTTGGGCGACGAAATCCCATTTGAGCTCGGTTTCGTCGTCGACGTGCTTTTCGGATTGGACTACGACCTTGGCCTCGACTTGACCACCGAAATGCTCGTCGACGCGCTCATCACCGTGGCCATCGACATCGTCGTGGATTCGGAGGCGACCGCCCGGGATTTCGAATTCAACAGCCGCAGCTCGGCCTCGTATTTGCGGTATTGTCGGCGGAGGTACCAGCTCTCCGCGTACGGGCAGCACTGGAAAGGACTTTTACCTTTCTTCTTTACTAATATTTTTGCGAAACTCACCGCATCAACGATCAAGGTTTTCTTTGACAAATTATGATTTTAGAACTAGATGAGAAAACCCAGCCGGGTGGTGCACGTTTAAATTGAGTTTTTCGAATAAAAATGACATGAAAAGGGCCGAAAATCTAGCAAAAATTTATGCATTTCGAAAGTCGAACGCAAAACCGGACGCGCCGTTCCGAGAGCTTTTGATACATACCAAGCTCAAAATGAGACTCGTTGGAGGACCGCTAGTGAGAGGGGATCCTGTAGCTCCCACCCAAAAAAGTCCAAGAAGAAGGAAAGCCAGGGGCCCGAAGCCGATGATGTAGATGGTGAAACGTTGTCCGGTGCTAAATTTGTATGTGTTTAACAGACCGGAAATCTTGAGGCATTGAATATTTTTAATTTTGAGAAAGCAACAGCCAACCTCCTCTTGACGGCGCTAGCCCGGCCTACAGAACGACAAGCCTTCGAGTCGCGCCGCGAGCACACGGCGATGATTTTCTGCAAAGCCAAATAAGCCATAAGAAATAAGAATAAAAAAGTAATGCTAAGTTTCGGTCGAAGTTACGAGAATTCGATTGACTTAAAATATCGACGACCTACGCTGCAGTACTTTCGGTCCGAAGCGACGATATGCGAGTGGCCCATGCACTCGTGGCTGTAGAAATTGGCCAGCAAACTGTCGAATTCGCGCGGGGCCTGCAAGTAAATCAGATCCCCTATTTTTCAACTCAATTTCTACAAGATGAAGCCCAAAACGCGAATACATTTTCCCACAAAATATCGCAGATGGCCAGCGTCGCGTCGATGCAGCGCCGGAAGTGCTTCTCGCTGAGCGCCTAGAAAGTCATTGAGCTTCGAACTTTTGCTGTCTAAACCTACCCGGCATCTCTCCCCACTCACACTGCATTCGGCCACGAAATGAACTCGGCAAGAATGCTTGGCTAAAGAGTGGATCTTCGGAATTTTCTGAAGGCTAACATTTTCCGGCGCATTCGTCAATCTGACGGGGCTCGGGGACTTTCTGCCGGGCCGCCTCAGCCTGTCTCAGGTCCTCAATTTCGGGCACGTAACGATCGGTGGTGTCGAGATGGATATACTAAAAAGTAAGATGCGGAGTGGGTAGTCATTAATGCCTAGGCTTGGGCATATTAGGCTTGGACTTCGGCTTAGGCACAGGCATAGATTAAGATTTAGGTTTAGGCTTAGGCTTCGCTTAGGATTAGGCCTAGCTTAGCCCTAGGTTCAGGCTTAGCTTAGGTTTAGGTGAGCTTAGGCTTAGGCTTCGCTTAGGATTAGGCTTAGGGCGAAGGGCTTAGGTTTAGGTTTAGGTTTATGCTTAGAGCTCCCTTAGGCTTGGGCTTAGACTTATGCATACGCATACCTGGTGGAGAATGCGACAATATATTGGCATCGTGTTGGTGATATTCGCGTCGATGCAAAGCCGCTCGTAGACTTGCTGAAAACGTTGCAGCTCAGGAAAGTCCAAAACAAACCGGCCCAAGCACATCCACAAAAGTTCGGATGATGAAGTCGCATTTGGCGGTGTCGAAGCCGTCGTCACGTCGTTTGCCTGATGCTTGAGCTCCGTGGCAGTCCTGTGGCAATTTGGCAACGATTCGACCGATTTGCTGAGCTTCAAGGGAGGTGGTGCTGTTCTGAAAATACTGAAAATCAACTCAACGAGGTACTAACGAGGCTGTGGTGACCTTGCACGTCCTGCTTCGAGACCGTTCAACTTTAAAACCGCTACCGTCACCTTATCAGGATCCTCTACCGTGCCGGAAATGAAATAGGCAGTCACATTTTCATCCAGATCGTCAAGGCCGCCCGGCGGAGCGTCGGTGGCTTGAGGAGCATCAGCTGATTCTTCTGGCTTCCACCCGACGAAGTAGATGGCATAGTCCTCGTAGCCGGGGTGCAGCTGGCAGATCTGTTGAGCCTTATGCTCCAATCCATCGACTCCCGCCCGGTCTCCCAGCGTTCTCTTCATCTCCCAGGCGAATTCGACATACAGGCGGCAGTACCCTCTAAAAACATGGCCCTCTAAATTTCTCTAAAATCCTCTAAATTTACTTTACCCCTCTCAGCCGGTAATTCCCAAAAGTTTTTTGCTATAAATTTTTTATACTACACGTGTTTGGGCTGTAGTTAAAGCTCCTAGTATATTTTTTGATGCTCTATCGATTGGTGTAGCCAAAAACCAGACAAAATACCGGAAGTGCCAAAACAAGCTTGAAAATGAAGGAAGGGGAAAAGAAGGAAGAAAACGGCTTTGAAAAGCCGGAAGCGGTTTTCCAGCCCTGGTCTAAACCGATCGCATACCTGATCGAACCCTACGCAAACCAAAAAAGGGAAATACCGCCAAGCGTGCTTACAGAGACAACGAGCAATGAATTTTGTCGGCCGGCTCCGAGCAGTTCGTTGCGCTCGACGGGTAGAGGGTCTGAAAAAGGCATAAAGAATCTGGCCGAATTTTTTGAATTTTCATTTACATAGCTAATCTTATTTTTTTTAGTTCCGAAGCAGAAAAACTACACAAGGTTAATTATCGTACTAGTAAGCTCCAAATCGTGACCTGATTGCTGAAGTAAGCAGCTTGTAGCACTTTGCAGCGCACTGCGTTTGCGCGGCTGCCCTGCCCGCAATATGCTCCCCACGCCGCAGTACATTTCCTCAGATCGGCCACGTCTCGCTAAAAACAAACTTCGTTAGTAAAATAAGTTCCTACCGCCCCTAAGCAGCAAAACTACGCAAATTTTTGTCAAAAATATCCAAATCCTGAACGAACACTAAATAAAGTAACCGGGATACTTATTATTTTAATATTTCAAATAATTGTGGAATTGGCAAGTTCCATTTGATAGAGCGTTAAAAACCATACAAAGAAAATTAGTTTAAATCTCAAAACTTATGAAAGTAATTTAAAAGAATTTAAGATATTTAAATTCAGGAAATTTTTATTTAATAAAGGAACATTGGTTGAAAACTGAGAGCCAAATTCTTGAGATTTTCCATGTTTAGAAGTTGCAATTCGAAAGGGCCTAACAATCTAAAAAAAGCTTTTTATAGCAAAAAACGGATTTAAAACTATGTCTATTGCAGAGAAAAATTTGTCAGATTTGTGAGTTGTCATGTCTGGAGTTAGTTAATCTAAAAATGGATCCAACTTGCCGAGTAGCATTCCGGAAAGGCGACCCCGGTGCAGCTGTCCCCGTCTTTGCACGATGGTCGATGCGGGTTCCGGCTTTGATGCAAGGCCTAGATGTGTTTCAGCGAAGCAAAAAAATTCTGTGAACCCGACAGAGTGGGTACGTTCGGTTATCGAATTGCATCAATTGGTCGATCCGACAACTGTCAAAGAGGGGCCGGAAGATCTCGGCCGGCAACCCGTCAACGTACTCTTCCTAAAGAAGCCCGAACTTTTGCATGTCGATAACAACTGACTCACCACAAAATTCAGCGCAGCGCTTCCAACGGTATAAAACATGTCCATTCCTCCATCCAAAAACTAAGAAAATGGTTTAGTCAAAACACAGCAGAAAAAATTTTGCACTTATTGCTACAGAGTGTCCTAAAAAAATACCCCTTTCTCATTTGGCTGCCTCACATCCGATCGGTCCAAAAATTGGACCAAAGCGGTATCAGGCGCCAAATAACCAGAATCATGACGTATAGTCACACGAGCCGCTTACAGCTAAGATTTGAAAGGCCGATTCCTACGGGAATACTCCGAAGAACGAAAATAAAGTTTAGTTTGGTTGTATCTCGAAAATTACTGTAGCTGGCGGGCTGTAACTAAGGGCGGTTGTTATTTAGGGTCTGATACACCTCTGGGCCAAATTTGGGGCCGATCCGATGTAATACCGCGAAATGCCGGTGTGGGGCTTTTTTGGGACACCCCGTATATACCAGAGATATATACGATGGCAGCATCTCCTTCAAGCAGTACGCGCGCTCAATAGCGGTCGGATGTGGCTTGCACATATGGAAGAAGAAGCCGAACGAGATCTCCTAAAAAGTTCATGATGAGCGTATCAAGGGGGGTCGGCAACCGTCAAGAGTTTCGGATCTTTCTGACCACAATAGTGCGCCCGGCGCTCGCATCTGCCGGTCCATTTCTGCAAAGAAAGCCAATTTTTGGCCACTAAGCAATACTCGAATTTTGGTATCCGAGTCGCTTCAACGACGGCTAAAAACGAACCATACAAAAATCATGTAGAAACGCATTGCTACGGTTCCACTTTCCAACTATCGTCATACACAGCTTTGGCCAGAGGAACACCGCCGAGATGTCACCGTAGTTGAAATCGTCGTAAAGCTGCAAATAGACATCGTATCGGGATTGTGAAGAAAGTGGGTGACTGGACTCTTAGCGGGCGGAATCTTAGCAGGGGAGAACCCCTTTTTATATTTGCCGTTGTTGATAATATGTAATGTCTTTTTTTGCAGTGTTTTAATATGTTTCGATTGCTGGAGAGTTATGAAAACTAAATGTTGAAAATTGGACGCTTTGGCCGTTTTTTCCATTTTTGAATTTTTTTTTCATGAACTTTTTACATGTAAGACTATGTAAAGGGCTATAAAAATGTTCTGTATTTCGTTATAGGGCCTTACAAAATTACTGGGAAAAACTTGGTTCCAATTCCCCCTCCGCTAACAGTTCAGAACTGAAAGTGGTTTGTGCGTGCTATATTCGGCATATCAACATCATCAGATCAACTCACATCGTAGAGAAGTTCCCGAAATGCCGGCTGCAATACGTCCCGGGCCGCGTACTCGCCAACCATTTTCATATAGAACGGCCGGCCCCTGGTTTCCTAAAGCGGTTCTGGTTAGCTGAGAGTTTTATATGCCGCTGAGAATCTCGTAATTTAAGATGAGCGAAGCTAATGACCAAAAAAATGTTCTCCCCCCCCGCTAATGAAGCAGAACCCCTAAAACGACATGCCATTCAACTTTTAAGCTAGAGAAAGCTTGCCGTAACCATTTTGGGATACGAACCCTACATTGTAGACGGATTCTTCGACGAAATGCGAGCAGTAGACGGATGAGTGGTCCTGGGCTCCGCATATTGCCGCGTAGGCGGCCGGGTTGTCGTTACTACATGGAACTCATAGCTGTTTTTTGGCTATTACCCGAATAGATGAGCCAACAGGTCGTTGATCTCCCGGCATAGCGTCGCCTTTGACAGCTCCTCGCGTTGTTTGCATTGCATTTGGGCATCCTGAAGGCGACTTTCGAAAACGAAACGTCCGGATGTTGATGCCGCGCATTTCGAAGCGGTTCATAGTGAAGGTTTGGCGCAAAATTTGCAAAATAGCTTTAAATTCCAACAAATGTCAAAACTTGGTAAAACTATGGCAAAAATGTTTATCGGAAGCTGATCGGAAAGCGCGTTTGTGGCCGAGCTCATTTTCTAAGAGCCGATTTTTGCTGCGTTGCAGTGTTTTGAGCACCACCACGAAAAGGCGCTGTCACTCTTCAAATAAGCACATTCGGGAATTTTGGAAACCAAAATCGGCATCAACGAAAAATCAAGGTGCAAGCGTACAAAAATTCACACCTGGCAAAAATCTTGCATATCCTCCTCCTCCTCGGTCCCCAGGCAATTTTGGCGAAAAAAGCCCGGAGTCGACTGAATGGATGTATGATTGGTGTGCAAAGCTCATTCCCCACGACATCTTTCTTGAACAAGTCGTTGAGAACGTCGTTTGGGTCTATTGCCCGTTGAAGCCCAGCAGTGAGTTGGAATAGGGCAAGGAGCAGAGCAGGGCGTCGCATTTCTCGAATAATTATTGATCGGTCAAGGAAACTATTAATTACCAGACAATGCCAGGCCGAGGAGGACGGCGCTTTGCTCAGTTTCTTTGTAGTTACTGACCATTCTCCAATTCAGTATGCAAATTTATGTAGGCAAATTCGAAAGAGATAATCCGAATACAGGGTGCCATCAAGAAAAAATCCCCGTCTAACTCGCCGCAAAAATATAGAATCGCAACGATAGTTACATCATTCGAAAGCCCTGGAGACGGCGGACTTGCAACAATCTTAAAATCGCTAGTTTTGATGCGCTATTTTATACATGGGCGGTCACCCCGGAGGGTCACCCTGGGGGTGACCGCCGCTCACCCCCTGGGGGTGATTGCAATGGCACCCTGGGGTGACCCTCCGGGGTGACAACCTGGTCACCCTATAGATGCAAAGTGCTGCATTCAAATAAATTTCTATGGCAAGATGCCGGTGTTTTGCCGCACATACCATACATTATTCATTTTAATCGAGTATAAAATACTCTTGAAGCGGCGGTGGGAAAGTATATAACTTAAATAGAAAAATTTAGACTTTTGATCGCTGCCCACAGCAAATTCTTGGCCGTTGGTCATTTCCATCTAAGTAATTTGCATGGATAGGGTGATCCGGTTCCGCACCCTCACCCCCACCAAAAATGGAGGGGGTGACACCCCATCGTGCCATTCAGTCACCCCCAGGGGGTGAGCGGCGGTCACCCCCAGGGTGACCCTCTGGGGTGACCGCCCATGTATACGCTATTTTATATGATGGTTGGTAATATTTTTCGGTTTTTCGGGCCTCCCACCGCCCAACCCCCCCCAACAAACTACCCCCCCCCCCCCCCCCAAAGGCCCCTTCTCCGGCCCCAACCCCAACCCCCCCAACAACCCCCACAACCCTCCCTCCCCCCCTTTCCCACCCAAAAAATTTATTCGAAGCCATGCACACCCGGGGGGGGGGGGGGGCAAAGAAACCATTCGTGCCAAGGGGGCATACAAAAACAGGAGAGGGCCAGGCGGGTAGAGGGTGCATACAAGAGGGAGAGAGCGGGGAATGGGGAGGGGCAGTGAGCTGGAGCGCTCTATGCGGAGAAAAGTCCGGGGGTGTTCGTTGGTAGATGGGTAGTCGATGTTGGGTCGGTGCGTCGCGGCTATAGATGAGCATCGACGGCCCGGACGCACCATGTCGTCTTGTCCACTAGGCGCGGAGGGCGGCCTGACCGGAGAGCTCTTGGACGAGCTGCTGGCTCATGGCGATGGCGTCTGGAAAAATATTTTGGTATACTCGAAAAGGCAAGTCTTCAGTTGGAAAAAATGTCCCGATTAAAGCTCAAGCAGTTCAATAGGCTACGACTCGTCAACTAGAAGTCAGCCCCAAAACCCGTGCTCACCATCCTTCGTCTTCAGCCGACCCTCCTGGACGGCGCTGGCCAACTCCTCGCTGACGCCGTTGATGAGACGCTGGTCTGGAAAGTGATGAAAATTGAAAAAGCGCCGCGAATAACACTAACCGTCATCAGGAGTCAGAGCAGATTCGTGGAACTTCGCCAGCTCGGCGCACGAAACTCGAAAGGGCGGCATCTGGGGCTCGCCGCAGCTGACAAGCTTCATCGTCTCGGCCACAAGGAGGTCGACCGGGCTGGGGGCTGTGCCAAGGGAGACGATCTTCCGGGCGACCCCCTTGAAGAAGCGCTGGCGTTCTGGAAATAAGGTGTCTCTCTCTTGCGCGGTCTCTCTCTCCCACCCTCGGGTCCAAGGTTCTGCCACTTGGCCGGGCCGTGCGTCAGCTCGAACAGCGTGGCGGCCACCTGGCTGGCGGGGGTGAGGGCGGCTGGATCGTGGAATATTGAGGTATCTAGAGATGGAGTACCGTTCTGCCCGTTCTCCTCGCCATTGAGCAGCTGTTGGGTGAGCGCGTGCAGGCGCCGAAGGACGGCCTTCTTGCTCTCCGGCTGGCGGTTCTGGACGTTCACGTTCTCCTCGCACTCCGGAATCTTGGATAGCGGGAGCGGGAAGCGGCCCTCCAAGACGATTTGCGACGGGCAACCCCTGAAACCTGGAGATGGATTGAACAAGCGGGGTCGACCGAGAGAGAGAGAGAGAGAGAGAGAGAGAGAGAGAGAGAGAGAGAGAAAGAGAGAGAGGGATAGAGAGGGAGGGATAGAGTTCACCTAGGATTGGTGCAGATGCAGGACACGCCCTTGAAGCCCTTCATAGGTGTGGGGAAGATAGGGGGGCTATCTTTCGGATTTGGGGGACGACCCTTGGCGAGGCTAGAAACGAAATCGAAGCAAATTTCTAGACACGGAAAATGTTCTGGACTGTTAGCGAGGGGGGGGCGAGGGATAAGCACGCTCTGCGCCCTCCCTCCCCCCGATAATGGGAAAGCACCACGCGTACAGCATCGCCGTGACGGCAATCTCCATGAAGCGCTCGATGACGTGCAGGCGTTTCCTTCTAAACTCCAGAATTTTGCTGTATATTTTGATAAGCCGTACGGGTCCCGGATGCTCGTAGTCTGGCGCAGAGCGGGCGGCAGCTCGATCGGGATCGCCTTGTGCTTCAACATGTCGATGGTCAGTTCGAAGAGGCGGTCCTGTTGCAGCACGCCCGGCTCGCTAAATTGAGGAAAATTGGGTTCTGGGCTGTTAATCGGGGGCGGGAGCGGAAACCAAATTTAATGGCATTTTGCATAGTTTTCAGATATAAAAAAATAATAATAATTTTTGAAAATTTTTGGTCACAAAATGCATGAAACATGAAAAAATTCGTGCTCCTAACCTGCGGATGACGTTAGCGAGGGCCTGCTTGTCGGCCTCGGGCACGACGCGGGCGAGGTGTTCGCCCCATTGGGCCATTTGCATGTCGGCGATGTTCGTGTTTCCTGATTTCGGCGCCTCAGCCGGTAACGGCTGATTCGTCGGCGGCGGTGCAGTCTCAACCGGGATGATGGGCTTGAACGTGTCGTCGCCAATTGCGATCCGGGACCTGAATTCAAGGGGGTGTGGTTGATTGCCAAAGTCGGTCTCACTTCAACGCCTCCCAAGTCACGCCCACCAGGCTCTCGACCTTCGACGTGCGAGTAGGGCTGAAAGAAAAATGTTTCATGCTCTTTTTTAGGAAGTCTTCATTAGATTAAAAACGGAAAAATCACTTTATAAAAATAAAAGGCACTTCAAAAATTCAAAATTTTCGCAATTTTGAGTCTAAAAATCCATACAAAAAATTGTCACAAAAATCAAAAAATTTTGGCTAAAGTTCAGCTTGCTTCAAACTAGTCTCTTATCGGGGGGGGTGGAGCAGCGTAAACTAGTCGTTATCCCAATTCCTCACCGATCCTCAAGCGACATGGCGTCGGCGAGCGGCTGCGGGATCTCGTTGATCAACCCCTTCGTGCTGAGCCACGACAACAGGTGCACCCCTTTCGGGCCGTTCACGAAATCCGAATCCCTAAAAACCCAAAGTTCAGAGCTTCGGATTCGTCGCGCACCTCATCTTCCCCTTCAGCAGCTCGATGTCGCCTGCAGACAGCTGGGCATGCAGCTTGTTGCCCCAGATGGTCATCTCCTCCCTCTCGTTAGTCTGGGCCAGGCAGGTGCTAAATTGAAAGACTTGAATACCTGAAATTAGCATACCTGGCGAGTAGCGCGGCGCAGAGCAGCAGTTTCAGACCCATCGGAGGGATGGGCTGGGGCTTGTTTGTGAGAATGAGAATGAGAGAATGGATGTCGTATTTTGGTATTATAGCTTTGTGACTATGCAAATTCCCTGCATATCCTGTATGTTGATTCAGTCTGGTAATTGAAGATTTTTATTTGTTGATTTAAAGTATCTCTCTCTTTCCCGCTCTCGCTCTCTCTTCTCGCTGTCTCTCTCTCGTTTTCTCTCTCTCTCTCTCTCTCTCTCTCTCTCTCTCTCTCTCCCTCTCCCTCTGGCTTCCGCCTCTTCCTGTCTTTATGCTAATTTGAACGCGCGCCCAAACGATGGGCCCTCCCCAATGATTTGATTAGCTAATTGTTGTTTTTCGAATTTGGCAAGCCAAACAACTTTTTGATAAACTTGATTTTTTTTATTTGAAAGCCATTTATCTTGCTTGATTTTAACGGGATTCCTTAATTTTTGATACCATTTTTCACCAATTTTGGCGTTTCAGAATATGGATTGGCCTGCCCTGCCCACCGAAATCCACCACGGAATTATGCACGCGTTAGATGACGATATCAAAACATTTTGGGACTACGCATGCGTATGCAAATCATTTTGGCGGGCCGCAGAAAACTTTTCCAAGCAATGGCCTCGTGTCAATTTGAAGATAAGCCCAGCTCATGTCGAAACCTTCTACTCGGATGAGCGATTCATTGTCGAATCGGAAATGCTGCAAAATATGCTATTCTCAAATTCCGTTGTCGATACACTAATCATTTCCGCTGGCCGGCTAGCCATTCGAGAGCTTAAAGCAATGAAGATTCATTTCGAAGAAACAGACTCAAATGCTTTGCAAATACTGAACGAATGCAAGCCATCTGGGAAATACGAACTTGTCACACTTGGCGGAGTCGATGATCGAAAGGTTGTAGATTTTCTGTATGAAGCTGCCGCGAAGGTGCAACTTTTATTCCAATATCGATGGAACTTTACCACAAAGTTTTTAATGGTGAAGAATCCGCGGATACGTGCTGATGGGTGTCGACAGCGATTGGATAATATCATGGAGTATGCGAGGCGTATGGTGGATGAATGGTGGAACGGGCTGAGGAAGATTGAGTATGTCGAACTGGTTAGGGTGGGTTATTTGGTATTTTTCTGGATTGAGATACATATTATGCACCCTGAGCCTAAATCTAAGCCTAAGCGGAAACTTAAGCCTACACCGAAGCCGAAGCGTAGCTTAAAGCTAAAAGTAAGCCTAAGCCTATACTCTTTTCTTCATCATCCGCAATAATTCAAAGCTTTAGATACCACCGATCTCCAGATGGCCCCCGGGTATCGCTCGATTCACCATGTCAGTCAATACAGCCTACAAACAACAGGCCAAGGTCGAAAGGCCGGACGGCAAAAAACTATCCCTACGCTACTTTTCGCGGGCCCCACCTGCCACATTTGGTTACACTTTTCTTTCCGAGATTTGAAGGAATTTTATGTTTTTCGGCAAATTTTGATACATTGATACATATCGCTTTGATAGCGCAAATAAATCACTTATTATCATTTCACACGCTACGAAAAATCAGGAGGCGGGAGCGATAAGAGAGAGAGGGAGAGAGAGAGAGAGAGAGAGAGAGAGAGAGAGAGAGAGAGAGCGGGAAAGGGTATTTGCCGCAATAGGCAATAAATTCCTCTGCCTCTTTTCCGTCCTTTGCATGCCAGCTCTGTTTCTAACGGTCAATACATTAGCTAATTATTCTTTTCTTTGCTCAAGAAACCCATAAAATTGTTGGTTTTAGCTAATTATATAATCTAGTTAAGTGATTCATTGTTAATCTTGAAATAAATACTGAAATCTAGAGTCGAAGTTGTCGTTTTTGTTTCTGCCATCCTAATAATGTGCATCATTTGCTCATCAGCGAATTTTTTGCTAGTTCCCACTTTTTTCCATAAACGTTCTTTTCTTCTGAACACAACAAAAATCATTGTTAATTTCAGGCAATGGAAATCCCAGAGCTTTCAATCGACATCCACCATCGCATAATCGAGCACTTCCACAATGATATCGGAATGCTTTTCAAGTACGCGTTTGTGAGCCGTAAAAACTGGGAATACGTACGCACCAGTCGGCGCTACTACTCGGAAGTTTGGCTGACCCGCCTTGATGGTGGAGTAACATTGGTTAACCCGAATGGACGTTTCGAAACTGTATTCAACCGCACGTTAACGTTACTCCTCGAAGGAGCCAAAGTCAGCACATTAATTCTGAATATACCAAGTGCCGTCACTCCGCCAGCTTTCAACGCCGAGGAGGTACAGCTGAATTGGCTGCAATTCTGGTCGGCCGAAGAGCTCCAGCGCTTCAAGCCGGCCCACAAATTTCGAAGAATCTCGATAAGCTGCGATTCGCGACCCCCTTCCAAAGACATTGTAGATTTTTGCCGAGATACTGCTGAAGCGCTGGTCCTCCGCGGGGCACCGCAAAATTCCGAACAAGTCAAGTCATGCCAAAAATTCCAAAATACCCGAATCTTTGTGGAAAACGGCACGGGGCGATGTTGGCAACGGCAGTTGATGTCCAAATTCTTGGAGGAATGGATGAATGGGGAGCGCGAGATTGAGGAAATTTCAGCTTATAACCAGGAAATGGGGCCAGAGCAATGGAACCTCTCCAAGTACCAGGTTGAACAAATTGACGATGATACTGTGAGGGTTAGACGTGCGGATGGGAAGACGTTACGCGTAATAACCTCCAAAACCAAACCGGCATTATGTTCGGAATGATATGATCTCCCTCTCTCTCTCTCGCTCTCTCGTTCTCTCTCGCTCTCTCTCGCTTTATCCCTCCTGGCTCTCGATCGATCGATCGATCTCCTGGCGTTTTTCAACCGGCATAAAATGTTAATAAAGGATTTACCAAGTTGCACCAAATAGCGATTCAATAGTTAAAAGTTAGTTTATTCGGAAGCCTAACTGCGTCACAACTGAAAATTCCCGATGCATACCTTCCTCGGCATAGTGACGTTGCACGGGAAAAAGTAGCTGTCACTTGCGTTCATCTGAAAAATTTATGCAATTTTCCGCAGCTGCATTGAATCCAAAACGCGGCAATAGAAATCATTGTTGGAAGAATTTAGCTAACAAAAGTAAAAGTCGAGCTTCCATAAAAAATCCTACCGCATGGCATAGTAGTGGGGCTGAATTGGCTGATATCGCCTGATTCAGGGCTGTTCCAAGGAAGGTCGAGTAGTCGACTGTAGTGTTGCATACAGTAAGCCAGGTGGAAGCGGTGGTGTTGTAGTAAACTCCTGTCCATGTAAGGGGTGCCGGGTTGGTACGAGTGAGGAGCGCTAGAAAAATAACAGGGTGGCGAGAAAGAGAGAGAGAGAGATAGAGAGAGAGAGAGAGAGGGAGAGGGAGCGAAAGCGAAAGCGAGAGAGCAATGGTAGAAGCGCGAAAGAGATCAACAAACCCTGCAGAAAGCCCATCTCGGCCCCGTTCCGCAACGTGTAGCAGTTAGTCCCGTAATTCGCACATTGATACGGATACGGGTTGTCCACAGGCTTATTCTTAAGAAAAGTATAATCTTCTAAAATGGATGACCCACATTCAGTTTTACGGTATAAGTGGATCCACATTTGTAATCAGTAAATTTCGTGATATTGAAAGGGCAGGTGTACGCGGCCAGGACGCTGCCTAAACTGGCAAGGAATAACCTATAACAATTCGGCCAAATCAGCTTCTTCACTTTTTGAAATTATTTTACTCACTTGGGTACGTAATGCTACTCTCCATACACTCGGCATCATACAATCCCGTGTAGTTTTTGTCTCGAATAAATAGAAACGAATCCCGGTACTGTTTCAGACCCGTGGAGTTTAGTGGAATGCACGTACTAGCTAAAATATGCTATCAAATCTTAACTGGCTAAATTCACTTACACACTACCGTAACCCCAACGCACCAATCGACAGCTAAACATAATTGTACGCAGGAGCCCGGAGGAACTTCGATATTTGGGTTTTGAGCAACGAGAGCGTAATCGACAGATGCTAGATCAGTAGTATCATAAATTCTAATGAATATAATTAATATAAAAAGAATTAAAGCAGTAGTTTGGTCTAGACGGGAGGGCATCTCGTTTTTGATGAACTAATGTTCCGGATGGCCCCACGGGGGGCCCATTCCATTGAGATATAATACGATGAGCTTTCCCCGGGATACGGCCGGCCCAATTGTTTTTGGTTGCTGGGCGAGGAAACTTGCGAAACGTCAATTCAATTCCGGGATCTGAGAAAGATGGGATACCTCCCACGCACCTGAGAAATAGAAACTGAGAAAAATGAGCATGAACTTTCCGTGATCTAAAAAGAATTTGGTATCGATGCCGGAGAGCAGAATAAGTACGGACTGCGCCGAAATGCCAATCAATGCTAACTGCTCGGAAAACCAAGTTGATCGGGGATAGGGAAAATATTTCTCTTTTTTTCTCTCTCTCTCCTTCTGCCTCCCTCTATCTCGCTTTCTTTCGCTCTCTCTCCCTCTCCCTCTCCCTCGCCACCCCTCACGGTCAGCGGTTTTGCCGATCGACGCCCTTTTAGCAAGAACCTGTACCTTCACTATATCCTGCTTATCTTGCTTGGTTTCGGAAACCTAAATCCTGATCAGCTAGGCGACTTTTGACCTTTCAGCCATTGAACTGATCAGCTCCTCCAATTTTGTCGATTTCCAAACCTGAACAACCGGCCAGGCCACAATCCAAGCGAAAGCGAAATTCTTTGATTTTCCACAAGGAGATCGATTTAGAAATGACGAACAAAAAGAAAATTGAACAGATGGCAGAGGTACAACTTCCAAAAAAACATCGTAAGTAAAAAAGCACGCGCTTATTGGTACAACCAACTAAGATGAAGGGGTAAAAAAGGAAAATTGGTGGAAATAATAGGGAAAAGATGTGATAAATTATCTGCCAATGGGACTTTTGTTTATAAACTTTTCATTTTGGAAGTCTATGCCTAGCCATTGGGCCTTACGGCTGGAAAAATGTTTTGATGGAATTTCATAGCATGACTAGACATCTCCCGATGTCTGAAAATTCATGAAAATCCCGACCATCCTATGGCCCGGTTGGCAGATTGGAAACTGCTTAAATAGGTGGTGTTGGGTAAATCTGAGCCGAATATTTCAGTTGCCGGAATACTATTTATCTGGTTCTAAAATAATTATTATTACTATTCGTTGGTTTCATCAGCTGGAATAGGTGGCCTTTTTTACAAACCAATTTTGATATTTTTCTGCTAGGCACTTCTAGGGTTCATGGAGATTGAAAACACTTTCTAGCTCTCTCTCGGCATGGCAAGCATATGGGGTGAACCCTCGGCTGTGTCACCCCTGCACCTTACCACTACACCACCAACCAAGGGAGGGGGCTTGGAAGCTTGAAGGTGCCCCTGCCCTTACGGTTTTGGCCACCAGGGGTTAGGTAGTTTTCATACAAAAGTTTATTCGTGCCTTGGCTTCTCCTGTTCCCGTATTTTTTTTTTCCACATTTCGAGCGTTTGGTCTGTTAGTGAACTAAATCCCTGCTTTCAGCCCTCACTGCACCTCGCACCGCCTCCAGCTGCGCACATTCCAGTTTCTGTCCCTATTTTTCATGGCGTATTCAGTTGGCGCCTCTTTTTACGTTTATTTTATATTGCGGTATTGCAGGTAAGCCATTGTTAGTTCACTCTTTGTCCATTTTGTCCACCACCCCAATCTCTGGATGCCCTGCAAAAAGCTTCTGGTCGACAAAAAATTGGGCTGGATATGTGCGAGCATAAATTGTAGGTGTGAAACCATTTTCGCTCTAATACAGATTTCAGAGCATTTTACATCGGTGTCGCCTATAAAGCCAACGGGCGTATGGAAATTTATGGGGAACAGAAAAAATTCAAGGAATGTCCTACTGGATGGCTGTATTCGGAAGAGTTTTCAAAGTGTTATTTTGTGGGTAACACCTGCTTAATTTATTTATTTAGCTTCCTGTCTTTCTCTCTCTTTCTCTTCCTCTCTTTCCGCCGTGGGGCTATCCCAAATATTAAAATCAACTCGATTTCTTACCAATTTAGATGATCGATGACATGGAGTACGATTCCGCTGCCAGACGTTGTGAAAAAGAAGGTGGAACCCTTGTTTCCATCGACAGCCGTGAGGAAAACGACTTCATCCGAAGTACGATCCCTAACCTTAACAATACGCAGTCAGATCTCACAAAAATTGGCCGAAAGACCCACCCAAATGACGGCGGACTATTGTTCGGTATGAAAAGAGTGGTGAGTTTTTTTACTAATGCACTACGATCGATTTCCATAGCATGCATATACCTGGGAAAAACAGTATAAAACAAATATAAAATCTCTAGGAAAATTCATCGGCTCTTGTCTCCCCAAATGGCATCAAGCTCTTCTACGAAAATTTCAACTCCGGCGAGCCGAACAACGTTTTTGGCTCGGATCTGTGCATTGCGGTAGGTATTTTATTAACTGCCTATTAAATCACTATGTATTTGTATTTTCTATCTAGATGTACACGGACTGGACCTACGGGTGGATAGGAGAAAGCGCGATCGGAAAATGGAATGACATTCCGTGTGGTTGGAAGCAAAGGGTTTCGGTTTGCGAAAAGCGACTGGAATGAAGCTATCACTAAAGTACAATGTTTTACTTTCAGAGTCGATTACGGCAAGTAATAAAGGGTTCAAACAGGACGCTCAAAAACTCAAACCACAACGGTTATCGTCACAGAGAACCGAGGCGTGAATTGCGCTTGAAATTTTTTGAACCAGGTTTCTCATTTTTGACTACTTTATAAGCCGTAGGGCCAGTTTTCAGCCAGATTTTATAACATACCAGCGCTGCCTCCGTGGGGGTTCAGCGCTGGCCCTCCCGGGGGAAAAAGACGAAACGTTAGAGCACCGGTGAAAATTTTCAGCCCCCGACTACGGTAGACAGGGGGATCGCGGCGGGATTGAATTCCCGGTCGGCGGGATCACGGACATTAGAAATTTACGTATAGTAGATATTACACCGTTTTTAGCGATAGTAGCCCTAAATAAACCTAACAATATGCTTTTCAGCCCCTGCGATGCAGCCAAGAATTTAAATGGACACTTTTCCGGGTACCCACGTTGTTTTTGGTCCCGCATCTCATCTGCATTATTGGGATTTTTTTTGATGGGCTGTGCTAACACTGGTAGAAGCGGTCGTAAAAGCAGGCAAGAGCAGAGAAAGCCAATCCAGCATCGTTTTTCCTTTTGGGCAAAAGATAAACAATTCGCTGTTCTTTTTCCGATTCCTGGAAAAAGGCGTGGCGCGCTTTGTATCGTGCCTAGTGATTTTTTGATTTGTTGTAGTTTTTGTCTCGAATAAATTGAAACGACTCTCGGTACTGTTTCAGGCCCGTGGAGTTTAGTGGAATGCACGTACTAGCTAAAATATAGCTTAACTTATTGGCTAAGAAAGGAACTTACAAATTACCGTAATCCCAACACACCAATCAACAGCTAAACATAATTGTACACAGCAGCCCGGAGGAACTTCGATATTTGAGTTTTGAGCGACGAGAGCATAATCGACCGATGTTAGGTCGGTAGTATCAAAAATTTTAATGAATATGACAAGAATTATGCTAGTATTTTGATTAGGCCGGAAGCTCATCATGATCTCTTGCGAACTATGTTCCGGAATGCTTCAACGGGCCCATCACATCGCGATATAATACGATGAGCTTTCCCCGGGATACGGCCGCCCCAATTGTTTTTAGTTGCTTGGCGAGTAAACTTGCGAAATGTCAATTCAATTCCGGGTCCTGAAGGAATTGAAGCCTCCAGAAGAGAATAAAAAAAGAAGAAGTTTAAAATAGCAGAAGGCTGGTGGGTTTGCTTACCATACAAGAAGGTTTAGTGCATGCAATTTTCGAAAAATCGACTCTTTTAAAGGACATCTATCACTTCACCAATTTTAATTTGCATTTGTTTGATTTATTGTGGAAAATACGCTAGTTTAGTACTTTTGGACTAGTATTACAATATATTTTTGCCTTCGATTAGTTTAATTTTCTTGTCACTTGTGATAGGTACGAAACGCGCGGAATTTCCTACACAACCGCCCGAAAACGATCTCCACCCCTGACTCTTGGCCTCGGGCCGGGCTTGTGTTTATCAGCAATCCTCCACTTGTTTATTGCCCAATAAAAGAAAATTGGCACTTGATCTTCCAAAAAAATCAAATGTGCTTTTCCGTTTAGGGCCAAAAGAACGGAACCAAGGGGCGCGTGTCTGCGAGCAACCGTAAGTTTTTAAATCAGCGGACGCAATAGTTACGTCTCAAAATCAACCATTCAATATATTAATTCTGGGCACACGTGCGCGGTCAGGGACTTTCAACTACGCATCTTTCAGCTCTTGGCGCTGATCTTCATTGCGTATTCGATCGGATCAAGCCTTTATATCTATTTTATACTCCGGTATTGCAGGTAGCAGTGTATTCGCTAAAGATTCATCACCACAAACAAATGCAGACTTTTACTTTTGCCAAGTAACCAAATTTTGCAGCGCTTCACCCTATCCGCGGAAGCCTGAAAATAGCGGACTATGTTAAACAAGAACTAGCCCTGGACCTATGCGACCAAATGTCAGCTACCAAATGTCAGATCATTTTACATTGATCTCGCCGATAAAACGGACCGCCAAATGATAGCTTATGGAACGCGGAAGAAGTTCAAGGAATGTCCGCCCGGATGGCTTTTTTGGAAAAAGTTTTCTAAATGCCATTTGGTAGGTAACGGTACGCTCTCGCACTCCGTCTCTCCCTCTCTGTCTCTCTCCCCTTTCTCTCTCCCCTTCTCTCTCTCCTTCTCTCTCTTTCCTCCTATCCTCCGCAACCTCAACAAAATTTGTGTCTAGCTTATCGATAATGCAGTTTACGAAGAAGCAGCCGATAGATGCAAAAAAATTGCGTCAACCCTCGTTTCCGTAAACCGTCACCAGGAAAACGAGTTTATTCGCGGTCGGCAGCCTTTGTCTAAGATATATAAATGCAGATTTGGCAAAGATCGATCTCAAAACCAACACAAACGGCGGAGGACTGTTGTACGGGATGAGACGGGTTGTAGGTCTTATTCTCTAAAGTTTGGGCATAATTGGGCTAGGGCTTGTTAAGCTTCCGCAAGTGGTCTGATTTTTGCGATTAAAAGACCTAGGCAAACTCGTCGACCCTGATCGCGGCCAATGGCGCCAAGCTCTACTACCAAAATTTCAACGTGAACGAGCCGAGTGACGTCAATGCTAGCGCCCACCTCTGCATTGCGGTAGATTTCAGTCTTTCCCTCTCGCTGGCTCTCTCTCTCACTTCTTCTCTCTCTATCTCTCGCTTTCTTTGGTTACCTTCGAATATTCAGATGTACACCGATCTGACAAACGGTTGGGTGGGCGCGGCTGCAATTGGGAAATGGAACGATATCCCGTGCGAATGGCAACAACGCGTTTCGGCTTGTGAAAAGGCTGCTGTATCGTCAAATTGATCATTCACTGTGCATTATGAAATGTTTATTAATATTCTACAGGATATCCGATAAAAGAGTTCCCTCTGATAATATGCGACCTGATTGTTTTGTCTCAACGCAAATATTCCGAAAAGTGCGGAAATATTCCGAAAAGTCCGAATACAACTAGGCAAGTGCCGCATTTCCTAAAAGCCCAAACTTTGAACAAAACTCGAGTTTTTGGGGTTTTTCGTTTTTCGTTGCCGCACCTTCGTCGTACAAATGAACCTTGGCTCTTAAAAACCGCAAATCAAGGCGCTTTTTGATACCATGAAAAAGGCTGACAGCTGAATCAATGGCCGCGGCCGTAAGGGTAGTCGCGAAAAGCTCTTGCAAACAATTATATATTTTATTTGCATAAACTGGTTGTTTAAGCAGAGATAGGACTGGATCGTAATTACGTTGATGTCAAGCTCAAGTTTGTGCTGTTAAAAACGAGAAAAACCCGGGAAAAACCGGGAAATACCCTATTAAAATTCAATTTTTGCTTGACGCTACACAGCGGCAATTTCCGTTTACGCCCCCCCCCCCGTCCGCATCGTACAAAATCACCCCGAGCCTCCATCTCGCGGTACGGCTTTGACTCGCCCGCCGTTCCGCTCCCGCGCGAGTGCGGCACTTTTTGTGCGCGCAAAAAGTCAGGCGCCTTGGTGCTCCCGTTTCCTCGAGCCTAACTTGTGGGGTTTGTCGCGCGGCTGGGAGGACAAGAAAAATAGATGGCGAGTCGACAGTCGAGAATTTCCGATGGCTTTTTTGAGATCTCTTTGATTCGAGGACCGCATAAAAGGGCGGCGTTGACCGCTTGCAGCTCGAGGGGCGGTTTTGGCGGCCAGTTTGGTGCTGTGTACGTGGTCATTTACTACGGTAATTCCCATGGAAATATTTGTTTAACGGCGATTCAAATGTTTTATTTGATGCAAAGCTGGACTAACGATTTTTCGGCAGATTTTGGGAAGCTAGAAGTTTCCAGGCCACTGGAGATATTTTTGAAAAATGTCCGCATTTTACAACATTTATTTTATAGTTTTTATGTTTCTTTAAATTTATTTTCGATTGCTTTTCCGCTATTTCCGGAAGCACTAATTTTTCCGATTTTTTAGCCAAAAAAATGCTCCACCTGGTGATCGGCTCGGCAATTTTTGCCGTTGTAGCGTCGCAGTGCGGAAATGGTAAGTCAAATCAGGCAATTTTTATTATTAGAGCTTAAAGGTGAAAATACGATTATCATAAATTCTTTTCAATTGCAGACCCTGTCTGCAAATCTACCCCATCGTGCTACCGTTTGACCTACATGGTGCGCCGCCAAGAGTCGGGGACCGGAAATTCCAGCTTTTACTATGAGTAGGTGAAATTTTCGGGTTTGCGTGTTTAAAAGTATCAAATTACATGATTTTAAAATCTAGTAATCTTTAAGCTAAAACATTTCAGCTGCTGCGACGACGAGAAGGGTGTGAGAGCCATCTGGACCTGCACTGCCCCCACCAAGGATCACCGTGTTGTGATGTGGATCAATGGCGTTGGGGTAAAATAATTTTTGGAAGGATTAGCTTCAAAAAAATGTAAATTTACTATATTATAAGCTTGTAGTTTTTACGAAATCAAGCTTAGTTCAACTCCGAACTCCCGGCCATTTCTGACGCCTACGGAAGCGCCAACACTGCCGGACTTGGAAACGTAAGGTTTTTCTGGTTCAAACGTTAGTAAAAATGGTATTTTTGCTAGTTTTAGACCTTCTATAAGTTAATAGATACGTTAATAATAATAGATTATATTTGAAACATTTTAGCCGACCACCCCTGTCGAGCTGTTCTGCAGCACCGAAACCGGAAAATGGGTCCTCCGCAACCCTACTAATGACAACTGGCAATTGGCAGGTTTTTGGGGGAGGGCAAGCTTGCAGTGATTTTTTAGGAACGCATAGAACAAAATTAAGTATATGCTAAAAAACGAAAAGTTATCTCGTTCCAGGGCGGCCGCAACTACTACCTCCCCATCAGCGACCTCACCTGCCAGACCGAATATGTCGGAGACAGGAAGCAATAATAATCCTGAATTCTGTACTTTGTAGCATTGAATTTTTGTAAATCCAGCCGAAAAATAAAAACCCGAAATATTTATACGCCCGTGTACAAAAATGAGATCAAGAAAAGCATAAAACTCGCTTAATTATACGGCCGGTAGCCCTCGGCTTTGACCAGCCAAAAGTCATCACTCGCCTTGCCGGATTTCTCGTGGATGAACTGGGAGTGGATGTGGGTGGCGTTGAAGACCTCGACTACTGTAAAAAATTGAAATATTTCTAGAGCTTCCAACTTACGATTAAATCCGTACGAGTCACTGGAAGCGGCGCTGAAAACGGCCGGTTTGAAGTCGGCCTCCTTGGTGTGGCTGTGGCAGCCCTGAAAAGAAGAATTTAAATTATTTATTGAATAGATTTATTGAACAGGGCGTTAGATATTATTTAGATATTAGTAAGTTTTTGACCGTATTACCAGCAAAAAAAGACCAATAAATTTTCACCCACCGCGCTCCCAGTAACAAAGTGCACGGTCGCCTTCGCGTTCTCAATATAGCTGCCATTCTTGTAGACAGTCGGATTTTCGTCGTAGATTGGGAATAAGCTATAGGTATGTTTTTAAGGCCTACTATCAAAATAGTTACCGTTCATAGTAGTGCCTATGGCCGCTGAACACCAAGTCAACGCCGAATTTCCCGAGGAAGGGTTCTAGAGCCGGGAGATTGGCGTCACCTTTTCGGAGCTAAAATCAGGGTGTACGTTAGAGTTAGTTTTCGGTCTCTAGCAGGCAGGGAGAGAGAGAGAGAGAGACGAGAGAGAGGGCGAGAGGGATACAGAAAGAGCGAGAGAGTGTGTGTCTGAAAAGCGGACCACGATGTTCTCCGTCTTGTCGCACTTTGCCGAGCAGTACATCGGCCGATGGAGCATGGAGATGAGCCATGGGTTTGACGCCTAAAATCGTAATTATCACGTTGACCAACAAAATGAAAGATACTGGATGCTTTAATGTATAGTTAGCTTGAAAAAAGGAGAATATCCGGTTCTTTAGGATTCGCGGGGGAACCAATTTTTCGGCAAAGCCTAGATTTTTATAAATTGCGGATGCGTTTCTAAATTGTTTTAACTATTCCTGAGCATAAAAACTACACACATTTTAACCAAAAAAAAATTAAAAAATTAAAATTGGGTCGAACAATCCTATAGAACCTTTAGGATTCGCGGGGGGAAAGACCCAAAATGACGAAATTTTCGACTTTTTCAAACATTTTTCTAAATTTTTCTGAAAGTTATTCTGCTATAAATATAGTTAAATTTTACTAAAAACAATTCGAAAACAATTTATATTTGATTACTAGGTCACCCGGGACCACCAGGAAAAATTGGTTCCCCCGGGAATCCTAAAGAACCGAATATCCGAATCTAAAAAAGCTCCTACGAACTAAAATATAGCTCATGGCACGCTAGCAGCGATTTTTGGAGATAAGCTCTCGTTCGACCCACCTGATCCATATCCTTCTCCAGCCACTGCACCATCTCATATGCCTCGCGATACATTTGAAAATTATGGTATTCCGACGAGAATCCGGTGATGTGAGCTGCGCCCAGGTCCAAACTAAAGACATCGATAAATTTGAGCTGCCTCCCGCATCTTAAAAAAAAAAAAAAAACAGGGCAAAAAAACAAAAAAAAAAAAAAAAAACCGGGGGAGTATAATCCATAATAAAAAAAAAAAAATTTTTAAAAAAAAAAAAACCCCGGGGGATTTTTATAAAAAATAAGAATTTTTTAACCCCACCTCCAATATTGATTATCCTTCACCGCCTGGCCGGCATCCGGCATCGTGAACCGATTGATGTAGTGGTTGAAATTCTAAGCCGGCAAACATTATCGAAATCGAAGATAGTATTACCTGATTTTGCTCGTGGTTTCCAGCCAGAACCATGAACGGGATATGGCTGATCATTTCTTGCATGTCATTCATGAAGTCATCGCCGGTCTCAAAAAACTATGTTATGCTTTTTGCGTAACTTTCACTTTACAATTGAGCTCTGGACAAGCCAGAAAGCGCACGTTCAGGGAGGGGCCGTGTACTCGTCCCAACGTGTACACCCTATGGACGTAGGGAACGCGCGCATTGCCTGCCCGTGCTGTGACAGGCCATTCCCCTCCTTTGCGGGGTGGGGCGCCCCTCAGCCCCTCGCCAGGTTGTAGCTGTGGCTAACTGGTATCCATCCACGCCTCCCGAGCGAGGGGCCCGGGTTCGACCCCCGGCCGCGGCAAATATCTTTGCTTTTTTCCAAAAAACGTCCCTGAACGTGCCCTTTAAACAAACTATAAAGCTGTAATCGAATCACCTTTCCATCATTCGAGTCCAAATCGTAGGAGATGTCGCCTGAAAATGTGTGTTTTTCTTTTTAATTGTGCTACATTTGAAACGATTTCAGTATATTTAGTATACCAGAGCAAACCTAAAAAGTGCACCTACCAATAAGAAACATGACATCAAAAGCCCCAGCCCTCGCAAATTCCTTCAACCGATCCATACTCCTCCCATCCTCCCCTTGTGCCAAATCCCCAAATGCGGCCGCTCGGAACTGGAAAAAATATACTCAAAGCATTAGCAAATTATTCTTACCCCATTTTTGCCATCTAACATTGTAAAATTGAAGAGCTGGGACTGCCCTTCCGAAGAGCCAACGCGATAGTCTAAATCAAGGGTACGGTAGCGGAGTGTAACGTACAGTAGTGTGCTCCTGGCTCCAAATCCTTCAAAATCACGCGATGTGTGTAGCGGATGGACTGAAATTGAACAATATTTAACATAGATGAAATTTCTATAATTTTACAATTTGATACTTTAATAATGTTTACAATTTTACAATTTGATAGTTTCATAATTTAATAAAATATTAAAAATGGCGAATTCCTGACCTTCTGCTTGCCCTGATCTACCCATGCGGTGACGGTAGAGTCTGTATTTTGCTGATCAGGTGAAGCTTTACCGTACCATACGGTAGATTTGGTGTTCGCTTGCTTGTCTAAAGAAAATTTGGGATGAAAAAGAGCATTTTAGTCGATTACGGTCCCCCAAAAAAAGTTCCTCACATTTTTCCTTGGTAATCCAAGTGACGGCCATCGAATTCGGGGCATTTTGGAGGGAGATGTGGACTTGTTCCGGGAGAATACTGGAGCCGCCTACGGTAGAGATAGCACAAAATAAAAGCTGGATTCTGAGGCCGAACATTATCTAAAAAATTATATTGATTCAAGCGAAAACGGCTGCCTTCGAAAAGGGGTTTTTTGGAAGGAACGAAATTTCGATTTTTACCTTCTAGCGTGAAATTTTTCAATTCAAATTGGTGAATTTGCCAAAGACAGCAAAATCGCAAAAACGAGCCTTATGTTAGGTTTAAAAAACATGAGAATCATTATCGTATCACCTAAATTCCCAAAAATGTTTTTGTTTTCATTCAAAAGTGCAAAAACTGTCTGGGCTGTTGCCCTCAAAGACGCCCCCGGATACCGTAAGACCAAGCGCTATCAGCCCAAATAAAATTCGGCAATCTTGAAAACACACCGGTCCACACCTCTCCACCCACACATTTTATAGCCCGCCCCATTATCTATTCAATTCATCTGTAGGCAGTAAACCCTTCTGCGTCATTTCCTCCCCAAAATCCATTGCCAATGGGCATTGCGTTTGTTATCACTGTAAATTTGAAGTTTCCGTTTGTCTGTCCGCGTCGCGGGTTGACCTGAAAATGGACGGATGCCGACTTTTCCGAGACAAACGTCCCGAATACGGGGAGACCGTTTCTCTGGGGGCCGTCTGGCTGTTGCACTCTGGTAGACCAGAAAAACGGCACGAATTTGCAGGATCTTAGATATACGGGCACATTTTAGGCGGCCGAGAGTTGGTCTCGTTGGCCTCTGGGAGTAGTTTGTGACGGCCGAGTTGCGGCTTTGGGGTTAAAAGTTTAAAAACCCAATTGGAATCCAATAAGAAACATGACTCAAGCGCTCGTTTAAATGTGGAAAATTTAGGCTTGAAACTCCAAAACGAAATTCACGGCTTTGTTTCTGGAAAAGCAAATTTTGATAGGTTCATACAATACCTTTTCGCTTGTATTTTGGTAGAGTGACACGATTGACTGGGAATCGGGAGCGACCGTACACTTCTATGTTCATCTTTATTTTTTGGCTTTCTTGGATAGGGCATTGGTTCGTAACTGAAGAATTTTTTACGACTTAAAGAATTAAATAGTAAACTAGCTTAAGCCTTGAAATTTTTAAGGGTTTTTAATTTTTTAGTTTTTAAGGTAGATAGATAATCGGAAGATGTACGAACAGAATTGTTTTAGTTTCAGAAACGTAATGTAGAAAAGCGGTCAGAAGAAAATGTAGATTGTAGAGTGACCATTGTGAAGTTCCCCGGCCGCAATTTCTAAAATACCTATCTTGAACCTAATTTTTATACATTTAATGCTAGGGAAGACAAAATATAACAATTTATTCAGTTCTTCGGCCGATAGCCCGGTGTTTTCGTGAGCCACCACTCGTCGTGCTCGTGGTCCGAGGCGGCGTTGATGAATTGAGAGAAAATTTCCGTCGCACTATTGATCTCGATCACTGTCAAAAAATCGAATTTTTTTAGGCTTTGACTTACAACTAAAGCCATAGAGCTCGCTATGGTAGGCGCTGTAGGGGAGCGGCTTGTAGTCGACGTCGTCGATGTGGGTGTGGCAGCCCTGTGATTTGTAGTTTTCAATAAATAATTATGTAAAAAATGGTATAAGAATGTTGTTAAAATAGCTAAAACTTACAGCGCTTCCGGTCACAAAATGAATCGTCGCCTTAGCATCTTTAATGTGGGCGGCATCTTTATAAATTGTGGCCCGGTCGTTGTAGATTGGGAAAAGCCTGAATTTTCATATGCATATTTTAAACTTTAAAGTAAACTTAATAAAGTAGCTACTAATTTACATAAATACAAATTTTTAGAAGGAAATCCGCAGGGTTGGTAGAACTTACCTCTCGTAGTAATGTTTATGCCCGGCGAAGAGCATATCAACACCATATTCGCCCAAAATCGGCTCGATGGCAGGCAGCTTGTTGGCTCCCTTTTTCAGCTGTAAAATCTAAAAAAAACTATTTTTAAAAAAATTTTTTTTTTTTTTTGTGTTTTTTTTTTTCTTTCTCCCCCCCCCCCCCCCCCCTTTATTCCCCAACCCCCTTTAAATAAAAAATTTTTTTTTTTTTTTTTTTGTTTTTCCCCCCCCCCCTCCCCCTCCAAACCTCCCCCCCCCTTTTTCAATTTTTTTCTTTTCCCCTTTTTTTTTTTTATTTTTTTTTTTTTTTTTTTTTCCCCCCCCCCCTCCCCAAAAAACCCCCCCCCTCCCCCAATATTCCCAACCCCTTTTTTTTCGAAAAAAAAATCCCTTTTTTTTTTTTTTTTTTTTCATCCTTTATAAATTTTACAAAAAATTAATCACCATGAGGCGAAACCGGTCCTGATTAAAAGACACCCACTTTTTTCCCTGGAATTTAATTAAATAAATAGTGTGTACACTACCACAGTATTTTCAAAGGCATCACAACGAGCAGAACAATACATTGGGCGATGGATCATGGCGATGATCCAGGGTTGTTTAGTCTAAAAAAATAGGTATCTCTCTCACTCCCTCTCTCATCTCTCTCTCTCTCACCCTCCCCCCTCTTGCAAAAACGAACCTTGGCCAAATCGGCCTTCAACCAATCGACCATCTTCTGGGCTTGATCGTACATGTTATAATTGTGATATTCCGAGCTGAGCCCGACAAAATGGACCGGGCCGAGGTCAAAACTTAAAGCTTGAGTTAGGGCTCATTTACGTTTTAGCATTTGCTCAAACCACGGTTCAGTAAAAGTATATTTCTTTAAAGGTAGGTTTAACCTACCTCCAAAACTGATTGTCATTCACCTTCCCATTGCTTGGCATCGTAAATCGATTGATGTAATGATTGAAGTTCTAAATCCTATTTTACATCAATTTTTTAGTATTAGTTAGTTTTAGTACTTACCTGGCTTTGCTCATGATTCCCGGCCAATGTCATGTAGGGAATATGCGAGGCAACGTCCTCAAATTCCTTGAAGAAATAGTCGCCGATCTAACTGAAAACCTCGGGGCATTCGTTACAGTATTTACCCATCCATCCGCTTGATCCATGTCGTAAGCAATATCGCCTTAAATTCAGCTTAATTCGGAGTTCTTAATGAGACAAACCAATATGGAACATGATATTGTATCGTCCCGTAAAGGAATAATACCTCAACGGCTCCAAGCTCAAGCCTTTTTGGCCCTGGGCCAGGTCACCAAAGATGGCCGCACGGACCTAAAAACCGAATATAAAAGAATCACTAAAATATGTTATAGAACCTAATCTTTATTAATACCTACCTGGCAACAGCTAGGTAATACCTAGTAGGTATCATCAAAAAGGCCTTCTTACCGGCTTTTTCGGGTCGATCATCGTAAAGTTGAACGGCTTCGACATGCCCTCATCAGATCCAACTTTGTAAACTAAAGAAACGAAATGCGATAAAGGAAAACATACTACTTTACTTTAAATAATAATTAGAAAAATCTGCATTCGCTATTACAAACTTACAATAACGAACTCCGGGCTCGAGGCCGGTGAGCGTCACGCGATGAGTGTGTCGGATTGACTAAGACATTTTAATAGTTGAAATACATCTCTTATTTTAATAAATGAAGCTTTTTTACGTTTCTTCCGCCATGGTCGTTCCACGTTGTCACCGTCGATTTGTCATTTTTTAGGTTAAAGTTGTTCGCGATCGCACTATAGGCCACGTACGATTTTGTCTTGGCATTCGCATCTAAAAGAAGCTTTTTTCAAGGATTTCTTGCATTTTTGTTGTTCTCAGCTGTTTTAGATGTAACAAAAAAACAGTAAAACTTCACCAACTAACATGGCGTATGCGTTATCCAGGTGATTGCCATCGAGTTCGGGTCATTTTGCAGGGATATGTGAACCTGTTCCGGGCTATTTGCACATAGAAATTGGAAGGTGGCAAAGAACCAAATTGACCCCAAATTCCAGCGCATAAGCTTAAAGGGAAATTGAAATAGGAAAGGTTTTCATTGAGGGCAATCGAAGCTTCTATCTGAAGAAAAATCAATAAAACCGGCGTGCCGGGTCACGTTTAAAATTCTAAAAGGATGCAACGATTCACAAGAAAATAAAACAAAAGCAGGCGATTGCCTCGCTCCAGCCGGCCTTTCTCCCCGATCGTCCAAAATCACGCAATTCTTATCTTGCGCTCTGCACAACTTCGAAGAATTGATTTATATGGAAGAAGAAGCGATAACTTTGATTACGTAGGTGTGCGAGCGGTCCCAGATGCGATTTTGTTTCTTTGAGCTTTGATGGTCGCTTCTCTACGTTGGAAAGCCGTTCTTTTCTTCTTAGGCATCGGCAACACACAATCTACAATCCCATATCTCCCTATTCGAAGGTTCGGAAGTGTGATTTTCGATGCGATAGTGACTAGAAGCGAGGTAAAACTGAAAGATCAACCTTTATCGACGTGCCAACAACGAAGAAAAACAATACACGTATATCCTAAACTATTCGGAGGCGGTGATCGGGGTCATCGTCTTGACGGCGAAGAGGTCGAGCCGTACCTCGAGCAGCGCCTTGAAGCAAGCGATAGAAGTTGTGTAGCCACCCGCACGACGATGAGCAGACGGCTCGCGGATGAACTAAAAACAGTTTTTAACGTAAAAAATTAAACTACCAACCCGTAAATATCCTCCGGACTCGATCTCGTTGATGGTAAGCATCGGCGGGCCGTTGGTGTCGATGACCATGGGTCTGTGGAAATACGGACGCCCGGCAATCCGATGAGCAGCAAAAGTAAGCCCATCATTGCGCTTGCGCTCTAAAAACCGTTGAAAATATTTTAAAAAGATTGTACCTTTCTTCAGCTTCTTCTTGCGCTCCATCTCCTCCTTTTGCTCGAGGTCCTGTTCGATTTGCCTAAAAAATCCGTAAATACGCTTGAAATTGAATTTTACCGCTTTCTCTCCCGATCCAAAATCATTTCCGCAGCGACGTTCGATTCCCGGAGCTCTTTCATAATCTCCTTCGTATCCTTGACGTTCAGCTTCTCGTTTTGATCTTTCTACAAACAAAAGTTAACTTTTAAAGATGATTCTACCATCTCCTCTTCGGTGCGCAAATTGTGCAACCGTGACTTCATCTTTTGCTCGTCGGCAATTTGCTCCTGGATCCAAATCTCGTCGGAGTTGAACTTTTTGCGGTTTTTCTCGATTTGTTCGGCGTTTTTCTCCTGGTAAAACCAATAGAAAGCCAAAACAAAGCGCTTACCTGATATTCTCGCACTTCGCGCTCAGTCTCTTCGATATTCTCCTCGTAGAGCAAGTTCATCACCAGAACTTCTACATGCTCGAGGTAGTCGTTGAAATCGCGGAGAGTCGGAAAATCCTCTTCTTTCATGTTGAAAACCTAAACAAACCCGCTATTACGGACGCCATGTGTTAAACAGACTTTTTTAAACCGTCGGCGAATGAAATTCTCCTTCTCGACCATGGGATCCTCAAAAACTTGCTCCCAGAAATTATTTCTTCTGAAAAAAAAACACATTTGTTATCAGAGTGCTGCGGTGCTTACTTTAACATTTTCCCACAAATTTCACATGGGGCTGCATTGCGGGCGAAAAGGTTGTCAACACAAGTTCTACCTGAAGAAAAATAGAACCCAACGTTAAAACGTACATAGTGGGTGCCCGCATTCGTTGACTAACATGACTAGACTTTTGTTGGTGTATTCGTTGGATTTACATTTTCGGCACTCCCTCATTTTCGGCTGAAAAACCGAATTCAATAGATTTATTTTCAAATACCTAGTTTTTAGGTCCGAATTGACTTCCACAACGGTCTTCTGATGAGGGTAGAGACTGTAGACTACTGCTTGGCGACGAAGCACTTGTAGATTGCGCTCAGCTTCCTAGAGATATTTTATCATCAGGTCAGAACCTGAAATAAACCTTGTAAAGCTCGGCCTGTTGCTGCGGGTCCGTCACCGAGCTGTTCTTGGCAAAGTGGTCCCTGATTCTGCGGTGGAAGAACGAGCGGTAGTTGGTTTGCGGGAACTAAACAAAAATTGTTTTTGATTACATCAGAAAATACCTTGGCGGCCTCGCGCTGCAGTTGCTTGTAGATCGCTATCCAGTTAGACTTCGGGATCGCAGACATCGGAGGCGAGCAGCCTAAATCTTAGGATAAATCAATTGAAGCAATTTTCTAGCATTGAATAAGTTGAAAAAGCATGAAACTCGACTCCTTTCGAAAGTTTTGTTACGGGGGAAAATCAGAGGCGGGGATCGCAACAGGCGCGCGTGTTATCCGCCTGCAAGTAGTAATGGCGCGTACTCCCCAGGAGTACCTAGGGCGCCATGTTGCAAACTTTGTTAAAACAATTCCGAAAATTTTTGCTTGATTATAAGATTCGAAATTCTAGAAAAACATTCGAACATCTAGTAGCTTTTCAGGATATCTAGGTTAGCATGTTTTTGTTCAAGAGGTCGAAAAACGTAAAAATCAACGCTAACTGCCGCTGATAAAGTTTATAAAATGTTGTGATTTCTATAAAGACTATATAATGTTATCATATTTTGCCCATTTTTTTTTTTTTTTTAATTTTTTTTTTTTTTTTTTTTTTTTTTTTTTTTTTTTTTTTTTTTTTTTTTTTTTTTTTTTTTTTTTTTTTTTTTTTTTTTTTTTTTTTTTTTTTTTTTTTTTTTTTTTTTTTTTTTTTTTTTTTTTTTTTTTTTTTTTTTTTTTTTAGCCGGCCAGACAAAACATATATTACAGCTATCCTTTTTGCCTCACTGCCCTGCTGGCCGACACTAGCAAGTAAGTGTACTTGTGCGTACAAGTAGTGTACAAGAGTATTTGTAAGTGCCTTTTTTCTGTTTATTCCCCTGACTGCACTAGAATGTAAAATTCCCAGGGTTTCTAGTTTCCAATTACAAGCCGCTTTCCACGATACCGTATCACCAGCTCTAATCCTATCAACCGGCCCCGCCCCGACCGGCGATCGCCCCCGTGAACAGCCAGCCAGACTACACAAAAATCCGACGCGCGGATTGGCCTAGTCAGCGCGCGGGAGGGGGCCGGTCGACTAAAGGAAGATCAAGAAACCTTTCGAGGAAAGCAATTTTGCGGAAACTTAAAACGGTCAGGACAAGCAGAGAGGGACCTAATTTACGTACGTGCAAGTAGGGCTGCGGGGCGGATTGGGTCGTACTCCGTGCATCGATTGTGTCATGAGAGCCGGATTCAAAAGAAATAGCTGCAAATTACTATAAAACCCTCTAAAAATTAGATTGACTTATGTAAAACTTTTGTAAAGGTGTGAGCATCATTTTATCATTATTTGTCGAGCTTCCGGTATCGTTAAGCTCCTATCTTTGTAGGGGCTGTTTGCAGTAGTTTGTAGATGACATTCTGGTGCCGTACTACCAGAACAACAATTTCAAGACTTTGCGAAAAGGTATCTTTCCTTACCCAGACCTGAGTGTAGCAAGTGCGCCCGATCCGATTTGACTACGAGAGCGTACAGATGACGGTTCGAAAACAATGATTAACAATCGAGAGTGCGAGCAGCTGATGGCGGCAGAAGTCGCACTCAATCGTGATATCTGGAATTCGTGAGCAGTGAAAACTACATCCTCTTGGAGTGCAAACTATCGTACCGTAGCGTAGCCGAACGTTCGACGCCTAGATATTTAATTTTTATGAACTATGAAGATGTTCCATATTTCCCCACCAGATTAATTTGTTCTATGTCGCTGATCTTTGCCCGTCCTCCAACCAGCTAATGCGATCTCCGCTCTTAACTAGCCTAGCTATACGTCCTCGTAGATACCGTACCCCTCCCCCACATAACTAGATGGCTAAATCGCAGTCCGAACCAGCCCACGGATTACCCGAAAAATTTCGGTACCCGCGCGTTCGGATCCCTGATCAACCCCGAGGCACCCCCTTGAAACACGCACAAGGAATTTGACTAAAAATCAGCGCGAAACAAGGGGTTAGCCAAGCCGCCGGGGGGCGCGTGGAGCTAGTCCCCAAATGGGATTATTTCAGCGCGGCCCTTTGGCGCGTGTCGGGACCGGGCGCCACTCCTGAATTTAGCCTCCGTACAAAGAGCATCCCCATTAGAGAGAGGCTCTTAGACGGGGGGCTGGAAAGATCAGGGCATGCGAAAAGAAACACTTTTCGGACTTCATAAGGAATCTCCGACCATCAGCCTCAGCCACCTGTCCCCGGAATCCAGCTTTTGGGGGCTCCGGGGGCTGGTCGGCTCTCGATCAGTGTGCTTTGGCCACTGCACCAATGCTCGGCTACGGATATTCGGCCCTGGGTTTTTGGTTGGGTTACTGTGTAAGTGTTTATAATGCTGTTTTATACTTATTGGAAACTGGAGGGTAGCGTTAAGAGAGCGCTGGAGCGTCCTAATGCTACGTTAACGCCTCTAATGACGTCTACGCGTCTCTTCTTATTCGGGTTTTGCGGCGTAAATAGGCGTCGCCGTTATATACTGTCAGAAGGTGCGCTTTATTACCAAACGTACGGCTCCAAGTTGTCGCACAGCCTTGAGTGCGTCTGCCGGTATCTCGTAGACCTTATCACGACAACTCCGGATACCTTAAGTTCCGATTACTGTACCGTAGAGCGCATTTTTGGCCAGTCGGCGCTGCGTGTTGAAATCAGTGCTCTTTTTGGTATCTCAAAACGACTTCGTAAGAGGAAGTAAAAACCACCTTTCCTAGTTTCTTTCATAAATCTATCCAGCAACGACCGCTGCTAGTTAGCTCTGGGCAATTTTCAAAACCTCAGAAATTTAGAAAGTTTTAAAATATTAAAGCTCCCGTTTTAAGGCTTGATCCACCTCACCACCTCAAAAATAGTCATCGACGATGAGAAGGACCTCAAAGACCCCAGCCGGAATAACCCCTATTATGACAAGAAGGAGGGCGTCACCAAGATCAACATCACCGATAACGTAATTGCTTCATAAATTATTTTCATTTTGCTACTCATTTTCAGTCGGCCGTCGAGCTGAAGAAGCACTGGGTGGACCAGGCGTTTTCCGGGCTTATGGCCGCCGTGGTGCAGCAAAAGTAAATTACCACTTTGTAGGGTTAAAACTCGTTTTAGAACAACAAAACTGAAGAAGAAGTACCAGGAGATTGTTCATAAATGCAGTAAAAAGGTAAGGTAACGGCAGAAATAAAAAGAATCGATATTTTCTAGGCTCACTCAGTGGAAGCGCACGCAAAATGTGTGATGAAGGCCATAAAATTGTTGAAGAATCCGAAGCATCACGATCGAACGAGTAAGAAAGGAACCTTAATTCATTAAAATCTTACAGTAGATTCGATTACGACATGAAATTGCCTTAAGAAGCTCTGGAAAAGGGGCTGGAAAACGATTAAAAATTTGAATAATATTTTTTAGCTACTACAACGACAACGACTACGACCACTACTACCACCACCACGATGCCACCCACTACCCCTGCAAAAACGATCCTCCGTAGCCTAAAAATGAGCCGCAAGAACAAGTCGACTTCCCGGGAGCGAAAAATCAAATGGCGATCTTCGAAGTCAGCGTCGGGAAGCCGAGAACGACTTCACATGCGTAGACTCAAAATTCGGACCGGAAGCCGTGAGCGCGGGTTCACGAGTGGCGAGCTTCGGAGGATAAAGCTGCCGAGGAGGAGGAAGTATTCGAGGAGCTCGAAGAACAAGTCGATCATGGAGAGTTACGAGCAGCGGAAGACCGAGTTTGTATCTTATAGCTTTCTTAAGATAGATAACTTTTAGGCGGCACCGGAAGCGAGTTTTGGACCGGCTGAACTCGTTGGAGAAGTTTGGATTGGTAAGTATCCGGGATTCCTTATAATGTTGGCGGTATGATGATTTAACGCAAGTTGTATACCAAGAAAAGGCTTGTATCTAATAGGAACTCCGATTGAAAAATTGCCTTCTAGAAACGCGCCAAAGTTCTGAAGTACAAACGCAGAAGGATGAAGCGTCATATCAAACAGCAGGTAATCAATAAGGCAGATTTTCATAAAGCTTAATTTTGCTTAATAATATCAATCAGTTTATTTAAAGGCCAGCTACACCCTGCCGCACGAGTTGGACAAGTCCCCCTTTGGTGTAGTAGCCACCCACATTACCAATACCTTACGCAAGCTCAAAGGCGACAACACGGAACCGAGAAGGTCAGCTTTTCCTTGATTTTCCGTAAATTTGCTCTGTTTTAGTTGGCGCTCAATCGTGGCGGATGTCGAGATCAAGGGCAAGGAGATCAAGATGAGGCGAAAAGTTCGTAAACTGATGGCAAAACGGATCGAGGGCTTTAAACAAACCGCCAAACAGGAAAATATCGAACTTGATGATCATCGACCCTTGGCTATGAAGGTATGGGGCAAAAACTTTTAATTCGAGGTCTTGCTCACTTTTTTCAGGAGCTTGAACTTGGCGAGGAGGACGAGGAAACAGAAATGATGAAGCTGGCGGAGAATAAGAAGAAAAACATGACTCTTGACGAGCAGCTGGCCCAGGAGCCAGTCAAGTTGATGAGAGAAGGCGAGTGCTGACAGCGGAGTTTAAATGAATTTAATTTTAGCTGTAAAAATCGGGATGACGCTGACTGGTCAGAATACAACGGGCTTTGATAAGAAGCCCGTGAAGCTGCTGTCGCCACGCTTTTTGGCGTTGATGCAGGAGGATGAGGAGGAGCGGAAGGAGGAGGTAAAGTGGATTTAAAATTGCTCAAAAATGGAAATACATTATGAAAGCGGGTTACTGTAGAGCGTTTTGTTGTTTGTATGAATGCTGCATCACCTTTTGAATTCTGTGCGCTCTCTACCTTTCGGATTCATCGCATTTTTAAAATTTTGCTGACTAAAAACCTAAAAGCCTGCCGATTTAGCAGCCAAATTCCATGTTTTTGATGATAGCCAGATCGCTTCAAAATCCTTATAAAACCTCGAATTCATAACATTAAAAAATACAGGTCAACGTCCTCTCCCCAGCCCTGTTCTCGCTCCACGGTGAGGGCAATGAGGTCGAGCGAAAACTTTCACTCCACCATGCTCTCGGTGGAATGAAAGGGGATGGAAATCAACTCCTGGATATGGTCATCGAAGCCTCAGGAGTCGGAGATTACGTGGATATGATTCGAGTAGCCTCAAACTTCAAAGCGTCTACTTTGCTTTAGAAAAACAAGCTCGAAGAGATCCTACAAAAGGAGGAGCCTCAAGGCCCGAACGGGGAGCGGATGTACTGGTCGAAGGAAAACGCCACCAAATATCTGGGAGATCACGAGATCCGGAAAATTGAGACGATCGAAAGGTTGACTACGATGTACACCCCTGAACAGGTGTGTGTTTGTAGTAGCTTAAGGTAGCTCTTTGGTAGATGCACGACATGAAGGAGCAGGGCTTTACGGTGCTCACGCCACGGCAGGCGGATTGGATCTATGGTCCGAGGTCGCCATTTAACGACACGGCAACGTTGGATAGGATTCAAAATTTATACAGTAGGCCTGACGGATTAACGAAAGAATGAAAATTTAGTCTCTGACATGATGTCCGAGGGCGTTGATGATGCCATTACCGAGACGATTGGGCGTGTAGCGCGTGGACATTCGAAATATGAGGTTCGTAGCGGCTCTGTCTAGCTCGTTCTCTCGCACTTTCTCCCTCTCTCTCTCTCACTCTCTCGCTCTCTCACTCACTCTCCCTTCTCTCACGCTTTCTTTATGTATATTTATTGCAGATCCGCCAGCACGACATTGTCCTCTCCCCAATCGTCAATACAAATTTGATTCTGAATCCCGCAGCCGCTTCTCAACCCATCATTCTATCACCGGCAAGCTATTCCTTAAAAAAATACCCAGATACCGTCGTCCAAAATGCTGGATTTCCATTTTCAGGTGCTCTTCTCATCCCTCATCCTGTCCCCGGGAATCTTCGGACCCATCGTCCTCTCCCCATGGCTTTTCGTGGCCGGAATTTTGTCGCCTAGGTAAGTGCCGCACGATTTTTTTGAACCGGATTAAAAATCTATGGCAAAAAGTAAATAAATTCAGGGTGTTCTCGCCGGTCATCCTGACCCCGTTCGGCTTTGTGCCCATCATCCTGACGCCATTCGTGTTCGATCCGATCATTCTTGGGCCCGGGATGTTCAACCCGATCGTGTTGTCGCCCCTTCTTGGATCACCATTTATTCTATCACCACAGGTATTGGATGATACTTTAGCAAAGAGAGAGAGAGAGAAAGAGAAAGAGAGAGAGCGAGAGAGAGAGACAGCGAGTCAGAGACCGTGAAAGAGAGCGGACGAGCAAGTGAGAGAGTGAGAGCGAGCCCGAGAGAGAGCGTGTAAGAGCGAGCGAGAGCGAGAGATAGAGAGAGAGAGAGAGAGAGAAACTCAAACACTTAAAATATCGGCCTTACAACTCAATAAAACCTTTTTTCAGGTCTGCACCCCGGTCATCCTGTCGCCAATTCTCCTCTCCCCATTCATCCTCACCCCCAACGTCATGTCCCCCCTAATTCTGTCTCCATTCCTGCTGAACCCCATCATTTTATCTCCAGCCTACGTTGGTGCCCTCGTTCTCTCTCCCTACGCCCTCTCTCCGGCCATCGCATCCACCGGAGCGGTCTTCTCCGTGGTCGCGTCCCCTAGTATTCTGTCGTAATCGGACAGGCCCAAGGCGACTAATATTTTTATTTTCCGCTGATCTTTTGCTCAACCCATACAAGTATCTGTGATTTTGATGTGCAATAAAGTATTGATTTTTAAGGAGAACAGTAAGTTTTATGAACGTGTCACTCTTCTCCATTTTTTTTGTTCGTGTATGCACAAATTCACTGCAAATTCACATTATGACTCTCGGAAAAAGGCTTTATTATTTTCCGGACGACACGCCGGAGACACAAAAATTGGATGGCCGAATTCCGGATCGAGAGAGAGCAGTCGTCATTTAGGGCCGAGTAGTCGTCGAGTGGGATTCGGCTGCTAGTGTCTCTTCTTGTGACGCCACACGCGGCACTTCTTCGCCGGGTTCATCGGCGAGTTCAGCTACAACAATCGATCCGATTTCTAGACCACGAACCCCTTACCGGGCACTTGTAGGCGCGAGCAAATTCGTTCGAGTTTTTCATCATCTGAAAAAATCCGATCGCTGATTCTGAAATCTGCCAACCTCATTGACACGAAAAACGCCGGGCGGGTGCACATTTTCGAGGGCGCCGACTAGACGATCATCGCTGGCCTCGCCACACCAGAACTGGAAAGGATATTAAAGAGGCTGGCCAGGGTGAGACCATGGCTGCAGCGATAAAGTAGAGCTGGTCAGGGGTGTAGCTTTCGAGTCCGGGGAGCCTCTTCTCCTTTTTGCCGTAAACGCGCTGGCGCTCCTTGCGGTAGGCCTGAAAAGTAGGCTTATCGTGTCGCTCCATCTTGATCTCAACTCTCTCTCTCTCTCTCTTTCTCTCTCTCTCTCTCTCTCTCTCTCCTGACCTACCCTAAAGCTCGACCTCAACCCGACATTGTCAGCCACCGTCTCCCCATGGGTCAGGTCTCCGGGTTGCTAAAATGCATTTTTTCAGGCGACGCTCTCGCCACCCACTCTGAAGACGTCGTCTAGGGTGTTCAGCGGGAGCGTCTGATTGCCATATTGGTGTTGGATGCATTCGACTTGTTCCTCGAACTGCTCGGCGTCCTCGGCGCCGATGAGCACCGGAGGCGAACGGTCGATACCTAGCAGAAACGTCAGAAATTGATTGATCAATTGGCCCTGCGGTATCGTATCGATTCCATTGGTGCATGGATGCTTATCTCTTACTATTCGGGTCGATGGTGTGCCCGAGCTCGTGGCCGATGGTGAACCCGACGCCGCCGTAGATCATCTCCAGGGCGTCGGTGGACGAGTAGAGGGGCGGGGCCAGGATTCCCCACAGGATCCCTAGAGCAAATTCGCGGGGAATTATGTAAGTATCGCTACGAATTTTATCGTAGGTGTTCAAGGCGTTCACGACGGCATTTGTCGAGGCGAGTGAATCCTAAAACATAATTCAAAATTCAAAAACAAGTGTTTTTGCATAGGATCGGGTAAAACTATTTTTTTTACTATTTAGAGGCATAGAAACCTTAAAATATTGATTAAAATTGCAAAAACATTGATTTTCGGTTAAAATTTCAACTAAAAAATTCTCCGATTTTTTATGGCATTTCCACTTTCCTTTCCACTTTCCGCTGGCCTTGTTGAACAACTTCCTTGGCACGCTGATGCAAAACCCGACCCGATCCCCCCGATGATGCAAAAGCACCCAAAAGCATCTTTTTTTGGAGTTCCCTGTCAAATACATTGAATTGCTTGAAGCCGGTCCACCGCTTGCGCTTTTCGCGAAACGTGGCCCAGTCGGGTGCGTCGGCCGGGGTATACTGTAACTTCAAGGGTACCAAAGAATCCAATTCACAGCAAACCCCCTCGTAGTACTGCTCCACCCTGCTCCTGGGCCACATGACGTGCGCATACCCCACGTGCATCGAGATGTTGTTGATCTGAACTTGACGATGATGAGGCATTGATAAAGCTGACCTTTTCGATGGCCACCTCTTGGGTGGGCGGATCGGCCCACGGACTTTCGTGGATGATCTCACGGAACGCCACGCGCACCTTGTCCATCAGCTTCTGCACTAAAACTGCTAAAAATTTGCCAAAAAGAGCTTGCCGGTATGCTGTCCAAGTCGCGCTTCTTGTAGATGCGCTCCAATGACAGCGCGTCGGTCCATCGGGGATGTTCAGCTACCATCTAGAGAGATAACCATCAAGCTTAGCTGGAACACCTTACCTTTCCGGCGCAATACTTTTTCTTGTCGGTCTTCCTTGACATCCATTTCTGGAAAAAGGTCGTGAAACCGGGTTTTTTTTGTTCCCCCCCCCGATAACAGTCCAGTACCGCAATTTAATGCTTTTTTAGTATTGCCAGGTTTGCAAGGCCGCTAAAAAACCACATGCTAAAATTCAGCAAATCACAAAAAAATCGACGCTTTAGAATTTTAATGAAAAAGATTTCGCGCACCTTGTAGATCTCCTCGTACTTCTCGCCAATCTCGTGAATCCGGTTGAGCACCAGCTGGGCAATCACCGCTTCGACCGCCTCCTCCGGGTACTCGCCGACCAGCTTGTCCAGCTGAAAATGGGCAATTCCTATTTTCCCCAATATATTTCCTAACGAATTTTTGTTAGGTTGCCCCAACTAGTGTAAATTCCACCAAAACTACCAGATGCCAACCTGCTCAAAATACTTGTTGTGGGAGATGCGGAGCTTCTTGGGCAGCTCGTGGGCAGGGTATTGAGCCTTGATCCAGGTGGGCAGCATGAGCTATTGAAATGTTAATAAACCCAATCTCTTAGTGGATTCCCACATTCGACAAGGCATCGATTTCGTAATACCAAAATAGCCATGGGCTCTGGTCTGTTCGGAGTTGGTTTTCTGCTCGGAGCTGAAAATAAATTGCGCGGTTAAAGGGTTGCCGACGGCAAGTGTCGATCCCCCCCGCCCCATCAAAAATTGGCAAGTAGCCAATAGGACAGAGAGCGCGCCCAGGGGAGAGGCGCAGAGACATTTCTTTCCAGCGCGTAACCGATTGACTATGCCGTCGGCCTCCCTTTAAATTTTGCATTTTAGGTCGTAAGCTCGGAGTAAGCAAAATCTTAGTAAAAGCCAAAAAACATCGCATGCTCACCTCCTCTAGCTTCTCCAAAAATTTTCCGTAACGCTCGGCGCCTTGCTGACGTACAGCGGCGCGTTCAGGGGTGTCGGCTTCGCCAAGATCTTCGGCTAGCACTTTTGCGAGCTGAAAGCATGAGTAGGAAGAGAGCGAGAGAGAGCGAGAGAGAGATATGGCGCACCTCCTCGACGAGCAGTTTCTGCGTGATCAGCTGCACCGGCAGCTTCCAGGCGATGCGTCTGAAGTTCGCGACAACCGCCTGGCCCATGACGCCGCCGGCGATGAATTGGAAGAAGGGCGTCGCATCACCACCCGTCAAGCGAATCGTGTCGTTCAGGCTCGGGCGAGGTTTCCCAGAAAATGGGGGGCCGCCGACAGCCTTCAGGATTTCGCGAAGCTGGCTGAAAATAGCCTTATACTTGAATCGGATAGTGCCGTACCCAAATCCAGTTGTCTCTGTGTCCAGACACATTTTGTACGTCTTGTACACCTTCCGGTCAGCTCCGGTAGCCGTTTTGTTGGCGGGGACTCGATCCAGGAAGTCTATAATTGCTTACGGCGTAAAAATGGGGGCCTTCCCACCGGTGATCGTGTTCTTGATACGATCGTCCAAATCGACCGTGGTGCCCGTCATGTAGTCGAATCGCTTGAGCGGTTTGTCCTAACGAAGCAGTAGATATTCCCGTTAACTTGCAAAAATTAACCTGTAGATACCTCCCGCAGGCAAACTTGAAGAAATCCTGGCACGGCTCGGCGTCCGGCGCGATCATTTTCAGCTGAATGAGCGGTTGGCAATTTTTCGATTTTTTTTGTATTAATCTGGAGATGCCTGGAACATTAATTTTAATTTTTTATAATCTAAAAATCCTTTTATTTTTAAAACAAAATAAAAACTAAATGCCTGTGGCTTAATTGTAAGTATTTTTATAATGCCAGAAACGACCATTTTTGGTCGAGAAATTGCTATTTAGTATTCTTGATAAATATTCGTAGATTTTTACCCTTAGGAATAGTAAAACTTATTCTTAGAGATTTAGCTATAAAGAAATCTAGAAAGATTTCTTCTTAAAGTCTTAATTTTAAACTTCAATATTTTCGCTATTTATATGTAAAAATAATGGTCCCAAAGAAGAAATTCTAAAAGCTACAAAATATTTGGCGGTCCTTTTGCATCCCGGCGTGTTACAGTAGCCGTCGGGGCCAATTTTTGGAGGCTTGGGACGGCCGTGACCAGGGGTCGTCTTCCTGGCAATTTCCGGATCCGTGATGTTCGGGTCGGATGACTTGACGAGGGGAGATTCTGGAAAATTCATGGTTGTATTTAGCAGCTATTTTCAGAAGCTAGAAATTATAATATGTAAAAATACTGACGCTGCATATGCCATAACGTCCACGAAACGATAATCACCAGGAAGAGAAGCGCGATAAACGGAAAGATTGCCGAACGACGATCCAAGAGTCTGAGTTCAAGGATTTGCATGCGGGTTTCGTAACCTACCGCCCGGGCACCATCTTCGAGTGTAAAATCAGATTATATTGACTAGTAAACAGCCACTTAGGCGGATGCAAAAGACTCAGTCAAAGTAATTGTATGCAAATTGCAGAATTATTCAGCGTACTTTCTCAGATTTTGTATGCTTTTTACTGATTCGTAGGTGACATAACTCCAATGTATTTATTAATATTTTATTATTACAAGCATAAAATACACAAAAACAAGTTTATAAATTGTAAAATTGACCGATCTGGAATAGCATTCTGGAATAAATAAACTCGCCTTTCGATTCTTCGGTATCTGCACGTTCTTCACAGCTAGGTTACACCCAAATGTTCCTTGCCCGGCAGCGCGTTTCCTTCTTCGGCAAGGACCCAAAAAGCAGTAAATCTACAAAAAGCGGTCGGCTTACCGGCGCCGTGAACTTGGTCTCGCTCATACGGATAGGCTAAAAATTTATGGCTATACAGAGTTCGGTATACATTTAGCGTTTCGAAAAATCGAAAAAACCAAGTCCAAGGGTCAATACCTTTTCCACCAGGTACTGAAAAATGGCCGTCAGGCGGCAGGTGAAACAATCGATTTTCAATCCGTATTTTCTCGTTTTTGAATCGTTCTCCTAAAAAGCTCCTGTGTTTTCTGTCCGAAAGGTTTCTCGGCCGTAAGGCCGAAATTCCGGCTGATTTTTGGCATGGAGGTGGAGAAACACATTCGCCAAAAACGGTTTTTTGGATTTTTCGAAATTCCTTAATTTAACGATTTTACAAGCAAAAATGTAAAAATCCTTAGCAAATTGGATTACTAACCGCGTTGTACAGGTCATAACTCGAAGCCCCGGTGGAATTTCGGTCTGTAATTTGGACCACTTATGTATTCGTTAGTGGGGATCAGGCGCATCTGATTATCTTTGCAAATTTTAAGCGCATTGAGACTCAAAAATGGAATTTTGTAAAGTGGCCAGAAGGTCTCCCGCCCGAGCCTTGGGTCGGCCCTTTCATTGCCTAACCGGCGCCTCCCCAGGATGAAAGAGGCCGTCCCGCCGCCTGCTTTCATCTACCTCGTGATGTTGTGGGTTAGCTCCCGGTCTACCACGGCGAAGGACGTGGGTTCGGATCCTGAGCGACTTCACCTTTTTGCTTTTTGGTAGTTTAGCAACAAAATACCTTTCTAGGCTCTCGATGTGCGAGGTTTAGGCCTGACCCTCGATCTAGCGCCGCAGGCCAAAGAAAAGGTCCTTGGCCCAGGCTCTCGCGCCGCGGGCCTATGATGGATCCTTGATCTGGGCTCCTGCGCCGCAGGCCAAATACGGGAGAACAACCAGTAACTGGCGCCGCAGGCAAAAAGATTCTAGCGCGAGGTTTAGGCCTGGCTCTCGCTCTAGCGCCGCAGGCCAAAGAAAGGGTCCTTGATCCAGGCTCTCGCGCCGCAGGCCAAAGAATGGCTCTTTGACCAAGGTACATGCGCCGCAGGCTAAAGAAAGAAGGTATTCAGATTCATGGTTCAGTGGAAAAGGGCCGCGAAGCGGTCTTTTTCCACTGGTAAATTGATAGTCGAATTCTTATTATTATACTTCTAATACTTGTGTTATTATTATTCCTTATTACTATTTACTATTATTCTATTCTACAAAAAAAATGAAAACCCACTTTGCTCCCGCACCATCGCATGCACATTTTCAAACTCGTTTTCGATCTAGAAAATCGCGGGTAGAGTGCAGTTTACCCCCCCCCCCCCAGTCGTCACTCAACTTTTGTATCTCGGTTCCCTATTCACCTACAGGTGTGTAAAGTATACCAAAATGTGCATCTTGCTCTGGCGGGTTTTTTAGTGTACTTTACACACCTGTAGATGAACAGGGAGCCGAGATACGGTAGGTGGGTGCCGGCTGGGGGGTAAACTGTGCTTAAGCCAAAATCGATTCCATCGATTAAACCGCTGCGGAAAAGCTCTTATTCCTCAAAACATTTCCTGAAATTTCGTCCAACCGTCGTCCAATAAGTCATAGTAGTGGTTGGTATTTTGGAACTCCTGAAAATTCATCGCCTCGTGATGCCGTTCTGAAAAAAGTAATTGTTGCTCTGGTTCCAAGTCTCGAAGAACAGTACGCTGGATTGAAAAAAACTTACGCAAAAGCCCCTCCAGCTGCCTATTGAATGGCTCTTGACCCGGGACTCCTAGTACAAATTATGCATCCAATAATGCGAGGCTAAACTAGCGTCAAAAGACTCACTGTTGTCCCGCACTAAATGGAATTTGTTGGGTAGGTGTTAAGGCAAAGAAGGGAAAATCAAAAGATGTTTAAGAGAAAATTAGAGGCAAAAATACAGAAAACTTCGCGAAAAAGGCAACGGAACTCACATCGTGGCCGCTTCGCTGGACCTAAAATTACCCTAGAGCCTTTCGGTTCTTTTGCGTTATCGGGGGGAGGGCGTAAACGAACATAAAAATATGGATTGTTTGATTACCGATTTTTTACTAAAATCTCTAATTCTTGAAAATATTTATCATTGTTCTGGAGTTTTCTACTAAAATATGGTTGCATTTTACCAAAAAAAACAACTATTAAAATACTTGCTTTTATGGTGCTAGGCATTTCTGACCCCCCCCACCCCGATAATGCAAAAATACCGACTTTCTAGACTCTCCCATGTTTCTTCAAAAAAGTTATGGGTAAAACCTGACCTGGAAGTCGCGATGTTTTAGGGCGGGTGTTTCTGTAATTATTGTCACGTGAAGTTTAAGCGAATACATCTGGTTCCTCCAAAACTTACTTCCGGTCGCGTTCATGCTGTATCCTCGCCATGCTGTCCACCGGAAAAGCATTCTACTGAGGACCTTGGGACAACGAACCCACCTCCACGGCACTTAACCCCAACCGCTGGGCAGCGTCATCCAGATCCACCTCGTTTCCCGCCTGTTTTTGCGCCCACCATTCCGTCAGAAATGCCGCCGTCTTGTCGAGCGGCACTTTTTGGGCAATTTCTGGAAGAGGCAGGGTTGTAGCTTACAGTTAGAGATCTTAGAGGGGCCGGATTTTGGGGGTTTATTCGAGTGCTCGATTCGTTAGGTTTGCTAATTGTACGTTACCATACCCAATTCAGGAGCCAGATCCCGCTTGATGCTACTGCGGCTTTTGATGTTGTTGAAGGTGAGCGCAATGTTTTTCGGTGCGACGGGAAAGCCCACTAAAAAAGCTGTAGCCGGCTCGTATTGCCACCTACACTCCGCCAAGTTCTTTTGCAAGATTGCCTTGTTCTTATTGCGGCTGAGGTGATCGTCGCCGTTAAAGTCTGCAACGGTATTAGGGTGTGCAGTAATGCAGTATCAGCCTAAGCCTAAGCCTAAGCTTGAGCCTAAGCCCAAACAAGCCTCAGCCTAAGCCTAAGTCTGAGGATCCTGGCGTCGCCTGCTAGCTAAAGACTTACATGGATGTTGGCCCGGCTCAGGTCTATCTGGGGACGGTTCTCGTGGTGGGGACCTCGGTCGCTCGAACCATTGGTAGAATTCTGAACATTTTCTAGATGAGATACGCTCGCTGGGTTCTGGTTCGTTATTGGGGGAGAGTGGTTTAGCAGACAGAAAGAAAGATTTACAGCTAAAAAGCTTATAAACCACCATCATCATCATGTTGTTGTTGCTGTACGACGCGCTGTTGTGGTGATACGGGGCGATGAACATCAGCAACTGTCAGGACAATTTAATTTTCAGTAATACGATAATTGTGATAAGATTAGTGTTTGGCAATTTACCTGGTGAGCGTCTTGGTGAGTGTGGAGGCGAATGAATGGGCTAAACTCTAGTTTGCCCCTCACAGTCAAGATTTCGGCAGGGGATGAATTCGAATCTTACCGAGTGAAAATCCTCAAACCCAGGCGACCTGGGGCGGTGCTCGTCTGGTGAATTGTGTCGACCTAGGGAATTTCATCGGGTGTTTTTGCAAAAGGATCACCTCCAATCGATGGTGATCTATCGCCACGTTCGTTGGGAAGCAGATACGGATCGTCGATTGGTTCTGGAAATCGGATTTTGCATAATCCGATGTCAACACGAAATGAAATCGCGAATCGCGAAAAATGAACTCGATGCCGTTTTTTAAAGGGTAAATATGCAAAGCATAAAAAGCGGAGAAAATATCTTGGCCCTTTTCCTTTTTTGTCGCCATAAAATAAATAGAGGCATCCTTGAAACTTAAAATTTGGCGGATTTGTGGTGCATTAGACTCCCTTCCTATCTTCTAAACTTACGCCCTAGTATCGTATACCCGGGCCGGAATGGATTTTCAATTTCTTTTTCTGCCCGGCGCATCTCCTCGACGAGCCGATCAATGTCTGTCAAATTTTCACGTCGTAAAACCCATTTTCCAAACCCGCATTTTGAGGGCTTCTGTCTCGTTCCGGCGGTGTACGTAGCAATCCAGCTGTTAACCAAATCAGGTTTAAAATCGAGAGAAGAATCCATAAATTCATCTTTCGCAGCCCGGGCCACTTTGGGAGATGTGTAATAAAGAGAGCGGAATCGAAAGCCAACATTCCTCGGCCTGTAATTTCATTCTGAAGCCCCGGAATTTATCAAGTTGGTGAATTTAGAACTGCCCTTGTGGATAGGAGCCACAATTTTCCGGCGGTTATCATCTATAAAAAATACAACGTTTGTTCAAGCATTTTCAAGTGTTTTTAGATATAAAATAACAAAATTTTAAAACTTAACAAAATTGTTAGAGTTTATGACAAAAACTGTATGAAAATCGGTAAAGTTCGGCGGAAAATTAAAAGAGTGGTTTGGCCCCTGATCGCTACCCCCCCCCCCCCCCGCTAATAGGCCAATCCCGAAAAATATCGCAAAAATCTGTGTAGAGGTGCGTTTGCATACGCTTAAATATGCGTCATTTGCATATTTCTCGCCGCATCTTCTCTTTTATCCCAAAAGGAGAATCTTCATTTTCCTCCCACTCGAAGATGGCGAACGGGGGGTTTGGGAAAACAATTTATGCAAATTTCAAATTTTCATTTAGAGCTTGCGATCGTCGTTCGGCAATCATCACCTTTCTCGGGCTCCTCTTCCTTGTCATCATCGTCACGTGGACGCTATGGAATGCGCAGCGTCAGTTTTCTTAGAACTTAAAATCCTACAAGCCATCCGATACGAATATGAATTTTTTTAGATTCACCTCTCGTCAAATCCACCGACCCGATCATCGTAGATCCGCCCATTGTCAGGAAGACGACGCCACATCCCCGCCGCCCCAAGCCTCCAAACGTTGGCCCCGATGGCTACTGTAGGACGACGGGATGCAAGAAAACGGCTGAATTTTTTGTGGGTTTCTCCTTCCCTCTCGCCCTCTCACTTACTCTCTTTCTCTCTCTCTCTCTCTCTCTCTCTCTCTCACTCTCTCTACAACGCTCCCTTGTTCCGGCTACACGTTTAATTCCAAGCCCTCCCCCTTGCAGCTGAAAATGGTCGCCCCGGACGTCGACCCGTGCCAGGATTTCTTCAAGTTTGCTTGCGGAAAGTACCTGAAGGTACCCTAAGCATCTATAGATGATACCTAGCTCGTTTTTAGAACAACCCACTCAAGCGGTTCGATTTTGCGGTCGGCGTCACCAATGATCTAAATGACCGTGTGACGAATGCGATCATCGGTGGGTCGACCTGAAGTTCTCACCATGGCCTCATCAATTGTGCAGACTTCCTGGATCGAGTCCCCACGAACAAAACGGCTACTGGCGCTGATCGAAAGGTGTACAAGACCTACAAACTGTGCCTGGATACCAAAACAACTGGATTTGGGTACGACACTATCCGATTCGAGTATAAGGTTACCAGTGGAAAAAGCCCGCTTCGCGGCCTTTTTCCACTGGACCTCGTTCAGAACCGATGAATTCGAATACCTTCTTTTTTTAGCCTGCGGCGCAAGAACCTGAGTCAAAGAGCCATTCTTTGGCCTGCGGCGCTAGAGCGAGGGTCAGGCCTAAACCTCGCACACCGAGAGCCTAGAAATATGTTTTGTTGCTGCACTACCAAAAAGCAAAAAATTAAATTCTCCCACGATCCGAACTCACGACCATGCGCATGGTAGACCGAACGCAAATCCACTACACCATAGGCCAGATGGGAATAGGCGGCGGGAAAGCCCTCTCATGTTCTGGGGACAGGGGGGAAGGCAAAGAAAAGGAACCCAATGATCCCGGACACTTTAAAAAATTGGGTTTTCTAGTCTGAATCAGCTGTAATTTTGCAAAGATAATAAGATGCGCGTGATCCCCACCATCGAATACATAAGTGGTCCAAATTCCAGCCCGAAATTTCATCGGAGCCTCGAGTTATGGCCCGGACACCAACGGCTCTTGGCCCATTTTATTAAGGACTTTTTAGAAAAATGTTCATAAAAACTTTATTTTACAAAATCTGACAAAACGCAAAATTATATATCGGGAGAATTCGATTTTCAATCTACCCTCTAAAAATTAGTGCCCAATTCCATTTCGATCACGAGATATCCTCTGTACAAACCTTTTTTTTGGCCACAATGTTAAGGGTTTTACACTATTTTTCTTGTAAAATCGTTAAATGAAGGAATTTCCAAAAACAAAAAAATGCCTATAAAGAGGATGTGTTTCTCCGCTTTCATGCCAAAAATCAGCGCGAAATTCGGCCTGACGGCCGAGAAATCGGCTGCACAGAAAACAAACATACTTTTCTCGCTTTTAGGATAGGATTTTCCAGCCCGCTTCGCGACATCTTGAAGGCTGTGGGTGGTTCCCCATTTTCCGGGAAACCTCGTCCGAGCCTGAACGACACGATCCGCTTGACGGGCGGCGATGGGATACCCTTCTTCGCCATCGACGAGTATAGCGCGCCGGAGAGTGGGGCGCTAAGCCTCACCTTCACTCGAATCGCTTGGAAGTTGCCGGTCCAGCTCGTCACCAAGAAGTTGATGGTCGAGGAGGTGAGTGTCTCTCTCTCTGTATATCTCTTTTTCTCTCCTCTCTCTCTCTTTCTCTCGCTCTCTCTCTCTCTTTCTCTCGCTCTCTCTCCCTCGCTCCCTTTATCTAACCACCGGTTTCAGCTCGCAAAAGTATTGGCTGACGATTTGGGCGAGTCCGATACTCCTGCAAGGGCAGCTGCCCGCCAAGCTAGCGCCGATCGCTACGGTGACTTCCTGGAAAAACTCGAAGAGGTATACATCTAGCTTATCCAGGTTATTCAATTCAGATCCGCACGATCGGAAATGATTCCTTCAAGCGCATAACTCATGACGAGGCGGCAGAGTTGTATCCGAATGTGGGGCATCCTACCTTATATAATTTTGGGGTGTATCTCTGTGTGTGTGTGTGTCCGGCGCTAGGGGGGCTACTTGATAATTCAAAATAAAATTTCATTCTTGCAAGTTGCACGCGCGAGTGTGGTCGGAGGAACGGAGGGGCGAGACCCAAGCCATCGGAAAGTCAACCGCAGGGCCCATTCCAGCGCCAAGGCCCGCGAAGGGGGGGCAAATAAAAAGGTTCCTTGCAGCTACACATGAAGACGCTGATCAAGAACCGCTACCAGGGTCGGGCCCCCGGGGCCTTTTACGTCGAGTATCTGAGGTTTTTTGAAGAGGTACGCTGTTGTTCTTGTTGTTTCGGGGACTCGTTTGATGTCGATTCTAGCTAAACCGACTGATTGGCGAGTACCCGGAAGTGGCTGTTGAAGCCGTGATCGCCGAGCTGGTGTTGGACCGAATCCACGAGATTGGCGAGAAATACGAGGAGATCAACAAGGTGAGCAGCTCCGCATGGTTCTTGGGGAACACACTGGCTAGGTAAACTGAAATCGGTTCTGGACAGTTAGCGGGGGGAACCGGACTTTTTGGTAGAAGTCAAGAAATCCCTAGTAAGTTAAGAGAAAGCGTTCCAATAGGGTTTTTACCAATATTTGGCTACGGTTTACTTTACCCCCCCCAGCCGGAAGTTTTTGGCTATAACTTTTTTATTTCACGTTGTTGTAGGCTCAAATTAAAACTCTTAGTATATTTTTCGACGCTCTATCGAATGGCGTTGCAAAAATCCCGACAAAATAAGCGAAAATACCGACAATTTTGAGACCCTTCGGCTCAGGGGGGTAAAGTAAACTCTTACCGAACCAAACTGAAATTTTCAGAAGTGGCTGTCGCTAAAAACCGAGATCAAGACCTACTGCGGCGGCAAGGTAAGCGGAATCCTTGGCTTTCATTGCATTTTTTCGCCGCTCAGATGCTTGAGTACCACCCGCGCTGGACGGATGCGGTGGCCATGGAGCGCGTCTACAAGCAGCGCGACTTGGACAGTGTCCCGGTTAGCTTTCTCAGCCCAATTTTACTTTTTTTTCAGAAATTGATGCACAAGGTCCGCGAAGCGTTCTACGAAATCATCCGCGAAAGCCCATGGGCCGATCCGCCCACCCAGGACATTGCTGTGGGCAAGGTAGGCAAGTCGGAACTAGTCTATTAGCGGGGGGGGCGTGAGCAGGCCAGTCCCGAAAAGAAATTGGCCGTCTCAAAAATTCCCTTCAGATCAAAAACGTCACAATGCACATCGGGCAAGATGTCGAGACATGGCCGAGGCGCCAGGTCGAGGCGTACTACAAGAATTACACCCCGGCTGAAGCGCCCACCTGGGCGGCGTTCCGCGAAAAGCGCAAGCGGTGGACCGGCTTCAAAAATTTTAGCGTAGTTTCGGGCCGTGCTATTGAAACCTCGTTTAGGGCGCGTTAGTCAAGACGCACGTCGTTGTCAACGCCTACAACGCCTACCACACGATCCGTGGGTTTTTAGCGGGAAATTCGAATTTTTGGTCGAAATCTATGAAAAATGACACGAAGTTATCAGATTGTTGAACTTTAAGATGTTTTTTTTAGATTGCTAGTAAGCAATAACTACTAAATACCATATAAAACTACAGGATTTATTATTAAAAAGTAGATATAGGGCTTAAAAAAACGAAAAATTAGTTCCCCAATTAATAGCCAAGTACCGGTTTCCTTCTCCAGGTATCCTTTGGGGCATCATGGGCCCGCCGTTCTACACCGCCGACGCGGCGCTGGAGCTGAAATACGGTGGCGTCGGCTTCATCGTCGGGCACGAGCTCGGCCACACCATCGATCCGAACAGTAGGGAATCCCGTCAATTATCACTGCGAATCCTTCGCCTCTAGACATCAGACGAGCGAGGCCGGTGCTGATCGGGGAAGAGGACGAGCAGCAGTTCTGGGAACAAGTCGAATGCATCCAACACCAATACGAGAAGGAGACGCTCCCGATGAACAGCATGAATCATACCTTCAACGTTGGGATTCTGTGAACGGAAAACACCAGATTTGAATTTTAGCAACCAGGCGACCTGACCCATGGCGAGACGGTGGCTGACAATGTCGGGTTGAGGTCGAGCTTTAGGGTAGGTCAGGAGAGAGAGAGAGCGAGAGAGAGAGAGGATGTGAGAACAATTACGTATTGAGGTTTCTAAAGTATTTTTTCTAGGCCTACCGTAAGGAGAGGAAACGCCTCTACGGAAAACTGGAGCCAAAACTCCCCGGACTCGACCGCTATACCCCCGATCAAGTCTACTTTATCGCTGCTGCTATGGTAATAGTTTGCAAATTTTTTTCCTTCCCCCCGCTTCGTTCCTAACCATTCAAAAACCATTTCTTTTCAGTTCTGGTGTGGCGAAATGAGCGACCAGCGCCTCACGCAATATCTCGAAAATGCGCACCCGCCCGGCGTTTTTCGCGTCAATGAGGTGAAAACAATTTTTTTTTTGTATCGGGTACTCTCCTTCTTTTTAGATGATGAAAAACTCGATGGAGTTTGCTCAAGCGTACAAGTGCCCGGTAACTTAAACAGTTTTGTCTTGAACTGCTGAGTGTTGTAGCTGAACTCGCCGATGAACCCGGCGAAGAAGTGCCGCGTATGGCGTCACAGGAAGAGACACTAGCATCCGAATCCCACTCGACGACTACTCGGCCCTAAATGACGACTGCTCTCTCTCGATCCGGAATTCGGCCATCCAATTTTTGTGTCTCCGGCGTGTCGTCCGGAAAATAATAAAGCCTTTTTCCGAGCCTTCCTTGCTGCATTTTATCCGCAAGCAAAATGAGAGTACAGAGAATCAACTATAATAATTTTGCTGTGGTGTCTGTCCGTCCGTCATGTCCCGAATTCAACTCGAAGGGGGAAGGAGCTAGAGCTTAGGTCTCTTCGGATTCGGATAGAGCGTGGTCAGAAACCCCCAAACTGATAAAAAAAGTACGAAAAAGTTTTAGTTTAGATTATAAAATTAACTTTGAAAGTTTTCCTTAGTAAAGGGGTGGGGACGGAGGTTGGGGTGATTTTGGACATAGTGAGCCAGGTGGCGCGGTTTCGTGGATGAAAATTTTCACGGGGATTTCATTTCTTTTTCTCTATTCCATTCGGTCGGTCGTTATTTTCGTTTTTAAAAGGATTTCGGCTAGGGGAGGTATCTTAAGCCATCGGGAAGGTATTTGGGTAGTTTTTGAAGGGGATTTCGGCTAGGGGAGGTATCTTAAGCCATCGGGAAGGTATTTGGGTAGTTTTGAAGGGTTTCGGCTAGGGGAGGTATCTTAGCATCGGGAAGGTATTTGGGTAGTTTTGAGGGGTTTCGGCTATCGGGGGTATTGATGGAGGTGGTAAAGGATGTAGTGGAGTTGGACATGCAGGGTAGCGAAGGCCAGATGGTTGAGTCGGAAGCGACTGTAACCATCTGGTACAAATACAATGAGACCAGGAAAACATTTTCAAAGGATCCGTGGGCGGCATACTGTTGATTTTTGGGCATCCATTAATGTTGCAAAAGTCGGAATCGGATAGCCCGATTTGCGCTAATTTTTTCAAATTTGCATGCAAGAGGGTAATTCAGCATCCGGTCCAGTTCCGGAATTCCTTTGTCCTGTCGTTTGGCTTATCCCAAAAGGCTCCTCAACGATGGGTAATGGGCCCGCAAAGCTATGCCTCTTCCCCGCCATGCTCCTCGCTATTCTGACGTTCGGCGTTATTTTTCGGGAGCTTGCGTGTAAGTTGAGAGCTTCAAGGCGGTTCTGATGTGTTAGCGGGGGGGGGGAGAGGAAAGGGTACTCTGGGGAAAGGAACGATATCCCTCACCCCCCCGTCAACGACTTTTTAGTAAAAGATCGAGGCTATGATCTGTCTGCGCCGACAAAGCCAAGCCAGCGAGGCCAGCCAAGTCAGCCCGGCCAATCAAGCCCACCAACCTCTTCAAGTCGTCCAATCCCCTCAAGCCCAACAAGTCAGCGACCGTCTACTACACCGAATAACACCGATATGCCCCCAGCGACAACTTCTACGAGTACGACCCGAACCACGACAACTTCTACGAGTACAACACCAACGATCCCGAAATACCCAGGAATTGATGCTGATGGTTACTGCAGAACGGAGGGATGCAAGAAAACGGCTGAGACTTTTGTGAGTTCACGTCACGTCAAGTTCAACAAGTCCGAATTATAGCTGTCGGTGATCCTCCCTACCGCCGATCCGTGCCAGGATTTCTTCAAATTCGCCTGCGGCAAGTTTATCCAGGCGAGAAGCTCCAAGCGACGTCAAAGGTTGTGGTTTCAGGACAATCCGCTCGGGCCCGGGGTGGACCGGACCGGAATGCTATGGGTGCTGGAGGACAACATCCGGAACGCGGTAGTAGGTGCGTGACGTTTAACGTTTGGAATTTTAAGTTTTATCCGACGTAATTGAACAGGTGCTTTCCTTTTAGCGGGGGGTGTCTCAATTTTTTTGTAAGCACCGCGATAGAGCGTGTAAAAATTTTCCAACACCATTTTTAACCCAAAAATTAAAAAAAGCTGCTAGAATAAATAACTTGAAGCAATAATGGCATCAAACTCGTAAAAAATAACAGCAAAATCTCTGCCGTTTCCCCAAAAATGCATGCAAAATTATCAAAAAGGCAGAATGACGCAGTTTTTCAATTGGAAAATGGCTCAATATGATTTTTTTCTAATTTCTTAGCAATAAAAACGTTAACGAAAAGCACCTTTAAATTTTAGAATTCCTCCACAACATCCCGTCGAATAAAACGGCCACCCCGGCCGACAAGAAGGTCTTCAAGACGTACAAACTGTGCCTCGACACCGCAGAAGCTGGAATCAAGTGCGATATTTTCAAGTTCTTAGAGTCCAGATTTTTTAGGCCAATCCGTGACATTGTGAGGAAGATGGGCGGTCCTCCATTTGCCGGCAAAAGGCGGCCGAGCCTGAAAACACTGCTCGAGCTGACCGGCGGAAGTTTTCCCCTGTTCACGGTAGACGCGCTCGGTACCATGGATCGTCGCGGAAAGTTCATCCACCTGCGGACCGTCGAAGAACTTGACGACGAGGAACGGTTTGCCAAGCTCGAGCTTGTTAAAGCGGTTTGTGGTTCAGCGAGTTTAGTTTGCATACTCTAGCGTGTTAGTTTGGCTTTTGTCAAGTGGAGTCTTCCTTTACAGATGTCGAAAAAACTTGCCCAAGACTTTGACGGACCCGAATTGCCTGCAAAACGCGCCAAGCTCAACAACGGCCTGAATGCGTACAGGCGATTTTTGAAGAAGTTGGAGGAGGTCAGCTGTTTCTGACGAACACAATAAATGGGATGATTTTGTAGTTCCGAGCTGAGTACGCGGACAACGCGGAGTCTGAGGGGCCACAGCGTATCGCAAGCACGCCTTTCAGCCACCCTGCGATCACGAGGCAATTTCCCAAGGTATGCACCATTTTTATCTTTCTTACGTACTTTTTCCTGCCTGTTAGTAGCATACTAGAAGGTTGTAAAAAATCTTTTCAAACGGTTTCAAAGTCCTTTTTGGCCAGAAAGTCAAACCTTTTCAAAATTTTGTGCGATTTTTATATCGCAAAAACGCTGTAAATTGCTCCAAAATTGGCTTATACGTTTTTATAGGGTCGTACGGAATTAATGGGAAACATTTAGTTACCTCCACCCGTTAATAGTGTAGCACCGGCTGCACCTCCTGGGCGGCCATAAAAGGTCATGAAGCCTTTTCAGCTACCCATCATGGAAAGCCTGAAACACCGCTTTCCGATACACGCGATCTACGACACAATATACGTGCAAAATGTGGATTATTTTGGCGAGGTATCGAATCGTCAATCGAGCTTCACTGGGAGTTAATTTAGCTGAACAAGTATGTTGGCAAGAATACTGACATTGTCAAGGAGGCCATGGTGGTAGAATGGTTTCTGGACCGGCTGCAAGTGTTTGGAGCTGGCTACGAGAATATCCGAAAGGTTTGGGAGTAGGAAAGGCCCAATTGACAAACTTTTTTCAGGAATTTGCTCCGACGTACACCCCGCTTCCGGTGTACTGTGCTGAACAGGTATGGTTGTACACCCGACACTCGACTTTTGATGTCTAGATCCTGACGCTGCATCCACGCTGGGCGGACGCTCTTCTTCTCGAACGTCTCTATCCGCAGCGGCTCTTCGACGGTGTTTACGTATAAACAAATCGTTATTTGATTTGCCAAATTCTAGGATTTACACAAAAAAGTACTCGCGGGCTTCCGGGAGATCATACAGGAAAGTCCGTGGGCCGATCCGCCGACGCAGAAGAAAGCTATTAAAAAGGTATGGGATGAGAGAAAGAGAGAGAGAGAGAGAGAGAGAGAGAGAAACGCTATCCACCATACCCCTGTTTTTCAAGATAAATGCTGTACCCCTTCGTCTCGGCGCCGACTGGACGTGGAGCCGCGCGCTTGTCGAGCAGTACTACCAAGCTGTAGCCTTGCCCTCTGGACGCCGTTGCAGTACACTACTAATTTCAGTACACCCCCGCCGACGCGAACAGCTGGTTCGCCTTTCACGACAACCTGAAGCTGTTCGCCGGCTTTCGGAATTTTACTGTAGCTAGGCCCAAAAAATTGACGCAAGCCGACCCTTTAGAACGCTGACGACGAGATGCATGGTAATACCGACGCGTCTAACGATGACATTAGTCTTCGTGGGTGCCTTTTCGTAGTAATAGCCCGTATTTTAGACTTCAATTGGGGCCTAATGACGGCGCCGTACTACCACGACGACGCGTCGTTGGAGTTGCGCTTTGGAGGGCTGGGTCACATCATTGGACACGAGATGGGGCACTCGCTCGATCCGGAATGTTGGTTAAACTCATTAACTTGCCCCCCAAAAAAAAATACAAAAAAATGTCGCTTCTGGGAAACGTGACAGCTGCGTTTTTAAAGCTCTACTAATTAAAAAAATCGATACCCCAGACCTTTGATAATTTTTAGTCATACAAAACTCCCCGGTGCTCGTCGGCAAGGAGGACAAGCGCCAATTTCGCGAACAAGTCGAGTGCATTGAGCACCAGTACGAAAATGCCATCATGCCGTTGGATAGCTACAACGAAACTTTCAGTGTAGGGAATTTGAAAATTAGCGGAATTTGGTTCTTAACGTACTGTGACTGTGGTTTCTTTCAGCAACCCGGGGAACTGACCCATGACGAGGCCATCGCCGACAATGCCGGGCTGCGCGCTGCCTTCAGGGTTGGTCTCTCTCTCTCTCTCTCTCTCTCTCTCTCTCTCGCCCTCTCTCTCCCCCCCTCCTTACTCGAACAGAGGGAAACCTAAACTTAGGCCTACCGCAACGAGCGCAAGCTCCTCTACAAAGACTTCGAGCCAAAACTCCCCGGACTCGACGCCTACACCCCCGATCAGCTCTTCTTCGTGGCGGCGGCCATGGTTTTGCCAAGCACCTCTACCTCACAATAATCTAGATCAACTGCGGCGAGCAGAGCGATGACGAGCTGTTGGAGAATGAAGATGACGAACACCCCCCGGGCCACATCCGTGTCAATGAGGTGGTTTTCAACCTAGATCTTTGACCTGCGATTTCCAGGAGGTGAAGAACTCGAGGGACTTCGCCCGTGCCTACAAGTGCCCTGTAGGAAAAATTGACATTGTTGAAAATGACGCTGTTCCAGCTGAACTCGCCGATGAACCCGGAGAGGAAGTGCCGCGTTTGGCGCTACAAGAAGAGGAAGCACTAATAGACCAACCTCAAGGGCCCTGTTATTATTATGATGTTACCTTGGCTATTGATTATGTACTTTCCGGGGATGAATAAATTTGTTCTTGGGTGTTTGGAAGCAACCAGTACGGGTTAATTACATACTTACACTTTACACTTGACCCCGTCGCGCCGTGAAACTCGAATTTGAATAAAGCTTTCGCTGCTGCGCATAAATTCCCGAAATCCCGTCATTCGAACGGTTCACTCCGCGGTATTCCGAACGATGGGCAACGGCCCCGCGAAGCTATGCCTCTTTCCCATCATGCTCATCGCCATCATCGTCTTCAGCGTCGCGTTTCGGGAGCTTGCACGTAGGTTCCTGAAGTCAACGTTTTGAAAAGTGCGGGTAATCGTTCAGTTTACCCCCCAGCTGGCACCCAACTTTTGTACCTCGGCTCCCTGTTTATCCACAGGTGTGTGAAGGGTACCAAAATGTTTGTCTTGCTCTGGCGAGTATTTTGGTATACTCTACACACCAATAGATGAACCGGGAGCCGAGATACGGTACGTGGGGGTCGGCTGGGGGGGGGAAAGTGCACTTCAACCGCGTTTTTTTCTAGTAAAAGAGCGGCGCCCTGACCTGCCTGCCCCGACGAAGTCCAGCCAGCAAGCGCCGAACACGACGAGGACGGCGTCGACCGGTGCGCCCGTGACGACACCATCTACAAACACAACTCGTGCGACTACATCTACGGGCACTACTTCTACAAGCACTACACATCCACCGGTCGATGCTGACGGTTACTGTAGGACCGATGGGTGCAAGAAAACGGCCGAGACTTTTGTGAGTGTAGAAGATGTTAAGTTCATCGACTATGACTTTCAGCTGTCGATGATCCTCCCGACCGCCGACCCGTGCCAGGATTTCTACAAATTTGCCTGTGGCAAGTTCATGCAGGTAACTACTACTACTACTACTATTTTTTAATCCACTACTAACTACACTACAAAGCACCATAACGTATTAAAATTTTCGAACATTTTTGACTTTTTGGAGAGTTCAAGAGTTTCGAATTTTCGAAGAGGTTTAAGATATTTTTTTGTAACTTTCTAACAATCGAAAAGTACTACCAAACAAACTAGTGATTATTGACGGGTAAGTATAGAGGGAGGAAAATCGGTTAGATGGGCCTCGGTTCACTCGAAGTTCACCCCCGCCAATTTCACAATTCCAGGATCACCCGTTTTTGCGCAATGGAATAGGCGAAGAGCGCGTCGGCTTCATCCCGGTGGTCGAGGAAATCGTACGGAACACGGTTGCTGGTGGGTGATGCGTGGCGTGTCGCGTTTCGTGTCCGGTTGCGGTCGCGTTGCGTGTCGCGTTGCGTGTCGCGCTGCGTGTCGCGTTGCGTGTCGCCGGGCGGGTCGCGTTGTGCTGCACAAGACCCCATTCGATCCTCGTAAAAGTTTTTTAGACTTCCTGAAGGCCGTCCCGTCGAACAAAACGGCCACCGGGGCCGACCGGAAGGTGACCAAGACGTACCAGCTTTGCATGGAGACGAACCGGACTGGCCTCGAGTGGGGAATCTATGCTTTCTGAAAAGCATTTCCAAGTTTCTGAATTCCGGAAAGCGGCCTGTTGCCCGGCTCGGCTTATATTTAGTGGTTATGGACTGTTAGCGGGGGGAATCAAATTTTCCTCGTATTGCGGCCCTATAACAAAATTTAAAAGATTTTTATAGCATTTTACATAGTTTCAGATATAGAACCCCCAATAAAAAAACCATAAAACCTTTCGAAATTTTGGCTTTTTGGCCAAAAGTGCATGAAAAATAGCCAAAGAAGGTATAAATTTCCGATTTTTCAAAACGTTTTAAGATATTTTTTATGATTTTCTAGCAATCAAAAACTACTAAAAACAATGTAAAGATACATTGTTTATCGTCAATGGCTAGGCATACAATGTAGGTGGAAAAAACAAAAAAAATGGGTCCCTCCACTAAAAAACCCGTTTTTCCCGTCCCGCAGCGCTTTTTCTTGAAAAAAGTAAGGAAAAAATTGAATTAATCAAATCTGTAAATTTTACCTATCCATCGCTTTTCTCTGACAATGTAAACTCTGGTAACCATCAGACCTCGGCATCAATCCCCCACTTCCAGCGCGATACGCGAAACGTTGCTCGCCATCGGCGGCCTCCCATTCAGCAACAAGCCCCGTCCGGCGATGAGCGAGCTGCTGAAGCTGACCGGCGCCACCTCGTTCCCACTTTATTCCTACACGTCGGCGCCCAGCGACAACATCCATCTTCCTGTGGTTGCCATCATCCTGCAGCCCGTCCCGGAGCAAACTGACGAGCAAATTGCGCGGCACTACCGCATGATCGACGAGGTGGGTTCCCTGGTTCTGGACTGTTAGCGGGGGTACCGCTTTTTGTTTTTGCACTACCTGTTGATGATATATCATGTATTTTGTAAAAGGGTTTTAGTTTAGTGGTGGTCGCTCTCAGTAGTCACTAGTAGTAAAAATCGTTTAAAAATTTTGAAAATTTTGATGGTTTTTGGTCAATTTTCATACCTTTTTGCACCAAAAAAAACTCAAAATTTTTGAAAATATTTATAATTTTTTTACAAATATTTGTATTGAAAAACAATGTAAAATTCCATGAAAATGGCTTCTATTTTGGTATATGGCGTAGAAAATTATTACTGTCTGTGGAAAACTTGTTTCCCCCACCCCGCGCTAAAATCCGCCACCCCCAAACGACGTTCTAAATTTTTCTTAAGGCAAGCCACGTTCTTATATCGTTAACAAAAATTCTATTTTCGCTTTAGCGTTATTGAAAAAAATAGTTATTCCGTCGATTTAGTTCCTCGCACAACTCCACAAAGACTTTGGCAGCAGCCACGAGACTATAGTTGATGATGCTGAATATCGGGCTTTCTTCGCGGATTTGCACAGGGTGGGATGGCCGCCTTGTGTTTTTCTTGAAAATTGATTTTATAGATTCGAGATGAGACCGATTTGGACCTATTGTATATGGATGCAGAAGATATTACAGAGCAATTTCCGAATGTAGGGTATTCCAGGCCACCGGGGATAAAAGGGCCCCCGTTAGATCAATCGCTATCTCGAATTAGCAGCCGATTTTCAAACAAGGATTTGAAAATTTTACATTCTAAATTTTTAGTTTGCTCTTGCTTGAAATAAATTTCGTACTTGGTTTTTGTTCGCTAGCGGGGGGTAGAGTTTTGGGTAGAGTGCGGTTTACCCCCCCTCCAGCCGGCACCCCACTTGTGTAGCTCGGCTCCCTGTTCATCTACATGTGTGTAAAGTATACCAAAATGTTTGTCTTGCTCTGGCGAGTATTTTGGTATACTTTACACACCTGTAGATGAACAGGGAGCCGAGATACGGTAGGTGGGTGCCGGCTGGGGGGCGGGGGTAAACTGCACTTATTGCACTGCCAGAGTTTTCATCGGGCCGGCTCGACATTTCGACCCGATTCTGGTCAAAATTTTGAAATTTTGAAATTTTTGAAGAATAGGTAAAATTTGGTCCCCCCCGATAATGCAATAAAACCAAGAATTTATTTCCGATGACTACGGTCCTGTTTAGTTGAAAATCCTGGAGATGATGAGGGGCCTCTTCCCGCGAATGGAGCTGCAGTTCCAAGTCGAGAGCATCGATTATTTCAAGAAGGTGACCATTAAAAATGTGTGCCCACAACGAAACACATCCGCCGCTAGCTCCACGCAAAAGTAACGGATCGCAATGGTAGCTATACCATTCGAAAGCCCTTACAACTGAGAGTTTCCAACAACATTCAAAATAAGGTCCTTATTTAAACCCGCTGATTTACAAGCTGTTTGCCATAATTTACCGGTCTTTCGTGGTTGCATACGAGCTAATTTTCCGCAATTTCTCGAAGCAAAATCACCGGAAGTAGCCGTTAATCAGTAGATGGAGAAACCGTTTCTTAATGTTAATGAAGATTGTTGCAAACCGGCCGTTTCAAGGGCTTTTGAATCGTATAACTATCATGCCGATCCGATACTTCCGCGCGGAGTCGAGGAGGGTATTTTTAGACTTTAGACACCCTATACTTTAGCTCAATGCGCTCTACCTCGCAAACGAGCATCACGTGAAGGAGGGCCTGGTGGTGAAGTGGCTCTTGGGGCAGATGAATACTCTTGGACACGGATACGAGGAGATTCGCAAGGTTTGGGTTTAATGGCGACCGCAGCGCCCTGCAGTTTATTGACTGCATTCTATTGGGTCTTTCCCATTATCGGGGGAGATTTTTGGTAGTAACCATTTTCGTGACCTAGACTGAGAAGTCTTTCGAAGCTGTTTGTTGCTATCCCTAGACGTCGAAACTTGACAAATTTGCATTAAAATTTTCGACCAAAAATGGCCGTTTTTTGATCAGTATTTCGACTTTTATTTCTTTCTATGAAGTTTCTAGGCATTAGAGGCAGTAGATTAATAGAAAGAATAATTTATTAGGCGGAAAATTGCAAATTCGCATTAAAGGCGCGTCCCTTTAATGATACATTATCTTACCTTTCAGAAGCACCAGGCGACCTACCTCCCACTACCCGACTATTGTGCAAGCCAGGCAAGCGATATTTTCGTCACTCGAGCTCCGGATGTTTAGATGATACAGCTACACCCGCGGTGGGCAGACATCGTTCTCCGCGAACACCTCTATCCGGTTGAGCTGATAGAGACCGTCTACGTAATTTAGTGAATGCCATTACCACACAAATATTTTGGGACCTCCACGAAAAAGTGTTCGACGCTTACCTGGAGCACATCAAGGAAAGCCCGTGGGCCGACCCACCCACCCAGGAAAACGTCAGTCAAGCGGTAGGTTTAGGGCGAGAGAAAGAGAGAGAGAGAGAGAGAGAGAGAGCGAGGATGATATTGGAGCAAAATCCTAAGTTCAGCTATCGAATATGCAATTCGCCGTCGGCCAGGGCTGGACGTGGCCTCGTACCGATGTCGAAAGCTATTATAATTCGGTAGCGTTCCAAAGTTCAAAAAACTCTACAAAATTAAAGTACTACCCCGCCAATGCCAAAAATTGGTTCGAGTTTTTGCGGCAGAGAGGGACTTTTGTCGGCCCGAAGGAACTGAAGGTGGGTGATTTTTACGATAGAGAAAGAGAGAAGGGGAGAGAGAGAGAGCGAGAGTGAGCGAGTGAGAGAGCGAGTGAGAGCGAGGGAGAGAGAGAGAAGACAAAACGAGATTAATCTACAACGACGTACGTTTCAGGATCCTACTACCGAATTTCAAGGCGATACGAACGCCTCCAACGGGCTCGGCACTGTTTGTAAGTTTCACAGAAGAAGCTTTACAGATTTGAGCCGGCTCAAGTATGTCTTGTATATGCTTCCTAGGCGCATAACAAATATTTTCCAGCTATCATGTGGGGTCTGCTAACCGCCCCGTTCTATCATCCGGATGCCTCACTCGAGTTGCAGTACGGCGGGCTGGGCATGATCATTGGTCACGAGCTGACACACACCATCGATCCGGGAGGTTTGGAATTACAGGGTATCCCCATCAAAAAACACATCCCCTTTAACTCGACGCAAAAGTATCGGATCAGAATGATAGTTCACCGTTTGAAATCCCTTTAATGGGCGAGTTTGCAACAATCTTCATAATCATGTTTTTAATTATACGCTCTATTTTCCAAGCCATTTTTTAAAATTTTGCGGTTTTTTGGCGTTACATACGAATATGTTTTTAAATGCGTTTTAAAGTCGCGGGTTTGATAAAAGGATGGTTTTGAAGATTGTCGCAAACTGGCCGTATCAAGGGCTTTCAAGCGAGAAAATTAGCATCCCGATCCGATACTCTGAGGGGGTTTTTTGTTTTTTTTGGAAGATTTGTACACATAATTGCCGGAGTTGCATCATCTGTTTAGCCATCGAATTTAAACCGAGCGTCCTTGCCGGCGAGGAAGACAAGGGGCAATTCAAGGAACAAGTCGAGTGTATTGAGGAACAATACGGAAACGCCGGCCTACCAGAGAACACGGACTTCAGGGTTGGTCGGGAGAGGGTCTCGTGATCGGCCAGGCCTTTAGCAACCTGGAGACATAACTCGTGATGAAGCTGTCGCCGACAATGCCGGGCTTCGGGTGGCTTTGAGGGTCGGTTGATTATGTGCTCATCCCTTCTCTCTCGCTCTCTCGCTTTCACTCTCTCACTCTCACTCATGCTCTCTCATTCTCATCCACTCTCTCTCTCTCTCTCTCTCTCTCTCTCATTCTCTCTCGTTCTATCCTGTTATCTCTCTCATTCGCGCTCTTTCTCTCTCTCCCTCTCTCTCTCTCGGCTCTTACGTAATGATGTTGCTAAAGTATTTTTTCCAGGCCTATCGTAAGGAGCGCAAGCGCCTCTACGGCAAACTGGAGCCAAAACTCCCTGGTCTCGACGCCTACACTCCCGACCAGCTCTACTACGTCGCTGCCGCCATGGTCTTCCCCTAAAAACTTTATGGACCCAGATCTTCTCTAGTTCCTCTGCGACAACAATACCAAGGACGCCCTCGAGAAGTTGGAGACAGACGGGCACCCACCCGGCTATATTCGCCTTAACGAGGTATGGGAATTTTATCGGCTTTGATCACCTTTTTTAGATGGTGAAGAACTCGAAGGAGTTTTCCCGCGTCTACAAGTGTCCGGTAAAAAAACTGTTGTCGAGGTACTATTTTTACGCCTTTTCTAGCTCAACTCGCCGATGAACCCGCAGAAGAAGTGCTACACGTGGCGCCACAAGAAGAGGCACTAATCGACCCACTCGATTCTCCTCCCCTGACCCATGTATCGCCTGTAAATTTGGATTTCACCATGCCGTTTTTGTGTATTTTTCGCTGGCGAATAAATGTTTTTGGGATGAAATGGATATGGTATTTTGCAAATGGCCAATGGCTCGAACAGCTTTCAGTTTTAAAAAGCCTAAAAAACCGGTTCACCTAGTAGCATGAAAAGTTTTGTTGGAGACCGCAAAAAAGCGCTCGAAACGCTTTGAGAAGCGCGGCGCTACCTCCTAAAACAAAATATAAATATTTTTTGCGTTTTCGCGTTTCCGATTTTGGTACGGAAATGCTTATCGCCGGCCGTATTTTGGGAACCAGCTTACCACTCTACCTACAGTAAACGCTCAGATTTGTATACCTAGAGAATTTGCATAATTTTGCTGAACCTAGCCGCTATTGAACAAGATTTGCCTCTTCAATACACCGTCCTTCTCGCCTAGCTTTCGGCTTTGCCACTTCTTCTCCGCGAAATCCAGGAAAATGCAACCAGCATCGGCGATCCGGCTCGCCGGCCTCGCAGCCACCGTCGTGCTCATGCTCATCTTCTTCTTGCTGGTGTGGCAATATCAGAGTAGGTGTTCTCCCAGGCACTAGAAACCTCAATATTCTGAAATTTCGACGTTATGCAATTTCGATGATATGAGATTTTGCCAATATGAAAATTCACCATGCTTAGGTTAGGCTCAGGCTTAGGATTTTCCACATTATCAACCTCAAAGTTATGAACTTTGAATATTTTGACAGTAGCACCAGGAGGAGGGAGCAACAGCCCTTCTACAACGTCAGAAATTCCCCCCCCCCCCGCCCCCCCCCCCCCCCCCCCCCCCCTCCTTCCCCCCCCCCCCTTTCCCTCCCCCTTTTCTTAAACCCCCCCCCCCCCCCCCCCCCCCCCCCACTCCCTTCTCCCCTCCCCCCCCCCCCCCCCCAGGAAAAAGAACCCCAAAAAAGGTGGGGGCCGGGGGGAAGGGTTTTTTTGGACCCCAAACAAAAATTTTTATTTTAGCCCACCCGCTGCGCTTGACACTAACGGTTGACCCCGGAAAGCCGACCCAATCAAGCAAGCCAGCAAAGCCAGCCAAACCAGCCCACCATCCCACGCCCCCTCCAAAATACAAGCCGTCATTGGAGGGGCCGTCCAGATACCCGGGGATCAGCTCGGACGGGTACTGCAGGACGTCGGGATGCAAGAAGACGGCTGACAATTTTGTGGGTTTCATGCCGTCAAGTTCAGCGAGTTCGCCTTTCAGCTCAAGATGATCCTCCCGGATGCCGACCCGTGCCAGGATTTCTTCAAGTTCGCCTGCGGAACGTTCATCAAGGTATGGACTCAAGTTCCTGAGTTTCCGAAATCAATAAATTTTCAGAATCGTCCCTTGAAGCCTGGGATCCTCAGAACGAACATCATCTGGGTGCTGAAGGAGGATATGGAGGAAACGATTCTTAGTAAGTATTCAAAATTTTGCCTCCCTCTCTCTCTCTCTGTCTCTCGCTCCCCTCTCTGTCTCTCTCTTTCTCTCTCCTCTTTTCCTTGCCTCCTTGTTACTGCGGCGAAAAAGTTACTTCCTCGTTTACTGCAGAGAGAGAGAGAGACGAGAGAGAGACGAGAGAGAGAGAGAGAGAGAAAGCGAGAGAGAGAAATATATGCATTTTTACAGCCTTCCTAAACAACGTCCCCTGGAACGACACGGCGACCGTGGCCGACAAGCGCGTCTACAACGCCTACAAGCTGTGCATGGAGACGGGCGAGAATGGGATTGCGTGGGTTTTCTAAACCTCATCGACCAAATATTCAAAGCCTAAATACTCCATTTTTCTAGAGGCCTCCGCGACGCTGTCGACGCTATGGGAGGACCCCCATTTGCCGCCAAATCGCGCCCCAGCCTGGAAAAGCTGATCGAGCTGACCGGCGGGCTCAGCAACCCGTTCTACTACGCGTACGCGAAACCGGACAAGGAAGCGCCGGAGGAAATGGTGTACAAGGCGGAGTGCATCAGGAGCCAAAGCGAGGGTGATATTGCGAGGAGGCGCGAGCTGGTCAAGCAGGTCGGTTAGGGAGAGAGAGCGGAGAGAGAGAGAGAGAGAGAGAGAGAGAGAGAGAGAGATAGAGATCTATCTAGAGATCAATTTAATGATTTTCTAGATCGCCAAGAAGCTTGCCTACGACTTTGGCGAGGCCTACTTCCCACTCGACGACGATGACCTGGAGCGCGGCCTCGACTCCTACAAGAACTTCGTGGAAGGGCTGGAGGAGGCACGTTTTGAGCATCTACCAAATCCTTGCTTCCAGGTCCGGGCGAATTCCTCGGAAATCGACGAAGGGCGGTTTCACCCGTCGGCGGAGGTCGCGGAGCAATACCCAAATGTGAGCTCGTGCTCACATTATGAAAAATTTGCTATCAGATCCCGCTCTTCACCTTTTTCCGGAATGGCTACCCGATCTTCAAACTCAACCGGGATCGAATCGCCCTGATCCCGGAGCAATATTTTGAGGATGTGAGGCGAAAACTAGAAAGATATCGAGAAAATGTCTTTTTTGACTGCTCGTAGGCGTAAAACTACACATTTTGTTTGCAAAACTCAAAAATGGGGTTTTTTTGAAGATTTTCAGCTAAAACACATATTTTTTTGATGAGTTTTAGATAGTTTAATCAAATTTCATCCAGGTATGCCATTTAATAGAATTTTTCAGCTCAATCGCTACCTCGAAGATCACCAGGAAGAGGCCAGGGAAGCGCTGGTCATCCAATGGTTCCTCGACCAACTGCCGACCCTTGGAAACGACTATGAGACCATTCGAAAGGTATCGTTTTCTTCAATCCACGGCCTTACTACCTATCCCAGACCTACAGCTCGCCCTACGACTACAAGCCGCTGGATACGTACTGCTTGGATAAGGTAAGTCATAAAGTTCAACAAAATTGAATTTCGAAGAGTTAGATCTTAAAATCGCATCCACGCTGGAAGGACATCATCCTCCTCGAGCGTCACTACCGGCAGCAGGATTTCGAGAGTGTTCATGTAACATTTTGAAAAATATGTATTTTTAATTTTCTACGATGTCTTGGCATAATTATCTTTAACTGGCATCTTTCAGGTACTACATGAAAAATTGCTTGCCGCCTTCCAAGAGATCATCCGCGAGAGCCCGTGGGCCGATGCGGAAACCCAGAAGAATGCTATTGAAAAGGTATTGTAACGTATTCGATAACTGGTTCCGTAGTGTAGACGATATTTTAGATAAAAACATGTAAGCTCCTGGAATATGCGCAAAAATCATTCTAGGTCGCCAACGTCGAGGTGTTCGTCGGCCCGGACTGGACCCCCTGGTCCCGATCGCTCGTCGACGAGTATTACCGAGATGTGGCCTGAATTTTAACAGACTACAAACTACAATTAATTCAGTTCCCCGCCACCGCCGACAGCTGGTACGCCTTCCAGCAAAAGGTCAAGCACTTCGATGGTTTCCTGCACTACAATGTGAGCGTTTCCGCTTTTCATGCTTCCTGCGGCAAAAATTAATTAGCTATTTTTTTTTGAAAAAAGTTAAAACCCGCTTTAGCACTCCCAAGAAGAATCTCAGGCCCGCCCGGAGGCGATCAACGACTTCTACTCCTTGCGTACGTCCAAAAAAGATAACTACTTTCCAAAAAATGGCACACTTTAGGTTTCCATTGGGCGCTGCTGACGCCGCCACTATACCACGTCGACGCGGCGCTCGAGTTGCAGTACGGCGCGCTCGGGTTCATCATCGCCCACGAGATCGCGCACACCATTGATCCGGGATGTGGGTAGAATTTGGAATTTTATTAAGCCTGGAATAAAACTCTGATATTCTAAAACCTAAATGATTTCAGGGATCAATCGCGACACACAGGTGCTCGCCGGCGATGAGGACGAGGGCCAATTCGCCGAACAAGTCGAGTGTATCGATCATCAGTACGGGAACGCCACCTTTCCCATCGTCTCGTCGAATCACACCTTTAGGGTAGAGTTGTTATAACTCAAACAAAACAAGGCCTCAAACAAGCTTGTTTGAACAATGCTGTTTGATAGGGATTTTAGAGATTCAAATCAAACACGTTTTGTTTGAGATGACCGTTGATCGCTCAAACAAAACAAGATTGTTTGACTATTTGAGCAGTTTGAGTTTTGTTTGACCTTGTTTGAAATGCATGCTAATTTTGGATTTAAAACGTGTTTTTTGGGTATTTTCGCAATTAGCATAAATTTTTTCCGTTAAAATTTGTTTTTAAATATTTGAATCCACTTCCGGCCCATCAAAAATTCCCAAAAATCGAACAGTTCAGGACGCTCAAACAAGTTCAAACAAGTCAAAGAAACTTGTTTGATTTGATCCCCTGGAACTCAAATCAAACAAGGTTGTTTTGTTTGAAATTTTTCGAGCTCAAACAAAGCAAACTTGTTTGAGTTGTTTGAATAATTTGTTGTTTGTTGTTTGAGTTATAACAACTCTACTTTAGGGTAGGTACTAGAATCTTACATAACGCAACGTAAAAACTTTACAAATCAAAACAAAAATGATTCACGATGAGAAACCACAGATTTTCGACGAAATCTTGGACATTTTGAAGTCTTCAAGTTTTCGAGGGAAAATTTCACTTTACGGTAACCAAATAAAATGCCGATTTTCGACTGGAATCGATAGATCTCATCGAGTTCTACCATTTCCAGTTGAAAAAACTATTGGGACTCGCTTCTAAAAAAATTTATAAACATTTTAAATTGGCTAGTTCACTTTACGGTAACTAAATAAAATGTCGATTTTTCGACTGGAATCGATAGATCTCATCGAGGTCTTGCGTTTCCCGTTGAAAAAACGATTGGGACTCGCTTTTAACAAAAGTTATAAACGATTTAAAGTGATTGGTTCACTTTACGGTAACCTCGTAAAAATGTGATTTTTCACCTGGGATAAATAGATCTCGTCGAGTTCTAGCATTTACAGTTGAACAAAACTTTGGGAAAGTAGTTCGGAGGAGGCTACCCTATATTTTTGACATTTCTGACTATGACATTGTCAGGCAAGGCGGGCCGTCGGGTGGGTGCCAGAAGCCCGCAGGCAGAAGCCCGATAGTACCAAATGCCCGCAGGCAAAAGCCCGAAGGCAGATGCCCGAAGGCAAAAGCCCGAAAGGTCAAAAGCCCGCACGGTCAAAAGCCCGAATGGACAAAAGCCCGCACGGACAAATGCCCGAACGGTCAAAAGCCCGCCATACATTTCCGTCCGCCACAAACAACCATTTTTCCTGAGCGGTGGAAAATCTCTCCAGGGTTCGTACGTCATTTGTAGTCGTTCCTTCCGCACTCGATAGTCACTTCCGTACCAAAAACTCATCATCTTCTGCTGTTTTCCAGTCTAATTATTTCAAAAGCTAGAGATTGAGCAACAACATTTTATAGACAAACAAACAACTTATTGGAATAACGAAAGTATTGAAGCTTTTTTGAATCTCTATCTTTTTTGAAATAATTACACTTCAAAAAAAGACGTATCCACTTTTTGGTGATCTTTTTTTGTGAGAACGGAAATGTATGGCGGGCTTTGACCGTTCGGGCATTTGTCCGTGGGGCTTTGTCCATTCGGGTTTTTGACCGTGCGGGCTTTGACCGTTCGGGCTTTGCCTCGGGCATCTGCCTTCGGGCTTTGCCTGCGGGCATTTTATATCGGGCTTCTGCCTGCGGGCTTCTGTCACCCACCCGGGCCGTCGCTTCGGATGGGCTGCCGCTCCACTCTTTCGAAATGGGGGCCCCCGGCCGCTTCGCCGGCCTTGGCGCCCCCATTTCGAAACCCTGTACGAGCTCGCACCCATCCGAAGCGACTAGGCCCCCGGTGGCACGAAGCCTTTTTCTAGTCGCAGAGCGGAAGAAGTAGCGGTCACTTCCCTCCAAATTGAGTGACTCCTGTTGCAAAACCGTCTTTTTGATGTTTCAGAAATTCAGAAATTCGGAGGCAGCGCAAAATGTGTGATAATAAAGTTTTCCTGCGCCTTTTGCAGCGGCCCCGTATTTGGTACCCCAGTACGTTCACAACTATTACGTTTTTTCCGTACAAAGGAGTCCCTCGTAGCCGACACCGACTTTTTCGATGCGGGGCGAATTGGTTTAAAACAGCTATAACTTTTGTTAAAAGCGAGTCCCAATCGTTTTTTCAACGGGAAATGGTAGAACTCGATGAGATCTATCGATTCCAGTCGAAAAATCGACATTTTATTTAGTTACCGTAAAGTGAAATTTAGCCACTTTCTACTTATAACGTACAAAAAACTCGCCACGCTCCGGTACGCCAAAACATTTCAGCAACCCGGCAACCAAACACACGAAGAAACCGTGGCTGATAATGCAGCCGTCAGGGCGGCTTTTCGCGTAAGTTTCGTTTCCCTAACGAAAATAGCTAAAAACATCGATAAATCACAAATTTAGGCCTACCGCAACGAGCGGAGGCGCCTCTACGGCCGGGTCGAGCCAAAACTTCCCGGACTCGACGCCTACACCCCGGATCAGCTCTATTTTGTGGCGGCGGCTATGGTTTACTAAAACAATGATATATATTAACTCATTTACGCTTTAGTTCCACTGTGGCGAGCACAGCGATGGCGATCTTGAGGGGTACATGGCGGACGAGCATCCGATTGGCTACATTCGTGTCAATGAGGTTTTTATAAGCACCAAAATTATTAAAAAACGGGCTCTTTCAGATGATGAAAAACTCGAAGGACTTTTCCCGCGCCTACAAGTGTCCGGTAAGGAAAAAGAAACTTTTAAAAAATACAAAATTTCTAGCTGAACTCGCCGATGAACCCGGAGAAGAAGTGCCGCGTGTGGCGCCACAAGAAGATCTGATTCCGGGAACTCGCCAATACTCAAAACGTCGCCTTCACCACGATATTTGTGCACGCCTGAGTGTAAATAAATTGTTCAGTGCGTAAACGCCGCGCAATTCGGGTCCGATATTAATTTAAGGCATCCCCTATTTATAAACTGTAAAATCTGAGCAACATGAGCAAAAAATGACACGCAAATTCAGGCATTTGACAGCACGGTTGGCCAAAGATCATCATCGGGTGGAAAGGACACAAATTGAATAAGACAATGAGAGATCAGAAAAATGAGCTTCACATGGGTTCATCAACGGGCTCCGCTACTTCCGGAATTTTCGTCGGCAATTCGGTGACGCAGAAGCGGTGGCCCTGGTCGGCGATGAGCAGGCAGTTCCCGCATCCCTTCGTGCAGGCAGCCAGCGTTTCGGTGCTTTCATCGAGGCGTTGGGACTGAAAAAGCAATAAAAATTGTAAAAAATGACCAACCGAATAAGTCGTCAACCGCCCGGCGTCGAAATCCAAATGACACAGCCGCCGCTCGCTGACCGTGCCCACGCGAGGCCCAATTTCCACCGACACGACGGCGCCTAGGAAAAAAACGAGGTGAACTATACGCTTCATCTTACCCTTCTCGGTTGGCACAAACATATCGATGCCCAAAATTAGCGTCGGCTCATCAGCGGCGTCGGACCGAGTGGTAATGTCCTAAAGGTATTCCGATAAATGTAATTTTTCGACCAAATACCATATTCTCCTTGCCGAACTCGATAACCACATCCGGCTTCGACGGTTTCTCCTCGCCCTTCCAAATCTTGCTCGAAAAGATAGCCCGCCTCCCTTTTTGGATGGCGCAGATCCGAAGCTCATCACTAAAAAAGGGTAATAAAAGCAATTAAATAAACCACATACCGCTCCCCGGGCCTCGATATTTTCAAAAGCTTCATCCCTTCTCGTCCAAACACCAAATCGGTGCCCCGCGCAATTTCGTGGATCCAATCCTAAAAATTACAGGTAAATACCAAATTTGTCGTATTCTCACCACTTTATGCGCGTTGAATTTCTTTGAAAGTACGGTCGATTGGGCAAAGATGAGCGTGTTCGCCGTCAAGTCTACGGCCGCCTTTACTGTAGGCAAGCTGGTGTCGCCGTAAATCGAGGTCGACGCGTCTTCGCTCAAGTAGCCGGAGAGCTAAAAACAGGTGTGATAATCTATCAATTAACATTACGTGATTCAAATCAACCGCTTCGCGGGGCGGCAGCTGTTCGGAGGTCACAAGACAAGCCTTGCCCTCAACGAACGGGAGGCACGACAATTGAGCGGATGGCAATTCGGCGGCAGTTGGGTCGATGCGAAGCCGGGCGGCTTCTTCGGGCTTGAAGAAAAGGCGAAGCAGCGACTAAATTAATTATTAATTAACTTCTGATATTAACTTTAGTGCGTAGCTCTAACTTCAAATTTATTAGTTTAATTTTTCTACCTCTGCGGCATCCAGCGGATCGTATGCCGAATATGACAATAAACAGTGCTGCGCCATCTTCTGCAGCTTTGTCCCGCGCCCAGTAAGATCGGAAAGGCACGGCTACCAACCGAATAAGTCGTCAACCGCCCGGCGTCGAAATCCAAATGACACAGCCGCCGCTCGCTGACCGTGCCCACGCGAGGCCCAATTTCCACCGACACGACGGCGCCTAGGAAAAAAACGAGGTGAACTATACGCTTCATCTTACCCTTCTCGGTTGGCACAAACATATCGATGCCCAAAATTAGCGTCGGCTCATCAGCGGCGTCGGACCGAGTGGTAATGTCCTAAAGGTATTCCGATAAATGTAATTTTTCGACCAAATACCATATTCTCCTTGCCGAACTCGATAACCACATCCGGCTTCGCCGGTTTCTCCTCGCCCTTCCAAATCTTGCTCGAAAAGATAGCCCGCCTCCCTTTTTGGATGGCGCAGATCCGAAGCTCATCACTAAAAAACGTAAAAAAGCAATTAAATAAACCACATACCGCTCCCCGGGCCTCGATATTTTCAAAAGCTTCATCCCTTCTCGTCCAAACACCAAATCGGTGCCCCGCGCAATTTCGTGGATCCAATCCTAAAAATTACAGGTAAATACCAAATTTGTCGTATTCTCACCACTTTATGCGCGTTGAATTTCTTTGAAAGTACGGTCGATTGGGCAAAGATGAGAGTGTTCGCCGTCAAGTCTACGGCCGCCTTTACTGTAGGCAAGCTGGTGTCGCCGTAAATCGAGGTCGACGCGTCTTCGCTCAAGTAGCCGGAGAGCTAAAAACAGGTGTGATAATCTATCAATTAACATTACGTGATTCAAATCAACCGCTTCGCGGGGCGGCAGCTGTTCGGAGGTCACAGGACAAGCCTTGCCCTCAACGAACGGGAGGCACGACAATTGAGCGGATGGCAATTCGGCGGCAGTTGGGTCGATGCGAAGCCGGGCGGCTTCTTCGGGCTTGAAGAAAAGGCGAAGCAGCGACTAAATTAATTATTAATTAACTTCTGATATTAACTTTAGTGCGTAGCTCTAACTTCAAATTTATTAGTTTAATTTTTCTACCTCTGCGGCATCCAGCGGATCGTATGCCGAATATGACAATAAACAGTGCTGCGCCATCTTCTGCAGCTTTGTCCCGCGCCCAGTAAGATCGGAAAGGCACGGCTCGAGGGACAATAAGTTGTGAATGTCGCGGCTAAAGAAATGAAATATTAAAAATAATTGATTCCCTTACAAGCTGTAGCGCACGATGACGCCGATGACCATCTCGATGTCATCGCTAAATCAGAAATTGCAGCAAAAAGTTTGTACACTCACCAATTTTGCTTACAAGCATTGTGCAAATTCCTCGTCGACACCACCAACTTCTCACTTGCATCTACAAGTCGAGCGGCCCATTCCTCGCGCGGATCGACGCTTGGCTGTGGAATCGAGCTTCTTTCCGGGCTGTAGATCGAGTTGGCCAGGTTCACGAAGAAGCTAAAAACATTTACTACGGCTTGGCAGTTCCAAAACTTACTCCCTAGGGTTCGGCTTTTTCGCCGAAGCCAGTATATTCTCCATAATCTGCACAAAAGCCGTCGTCTCGCACATAACCGCCTCAGAAAATGGAATCAGCGCGGAAGGCAGCCAGCCAAGGAGTTTTCTAAAATAGAAAAATCCAGAAAAAAACAAATAACATACTGCAATCTCTTCTCCAACAAATCCACAAATTCCTTGGTCGTTGGGGCGCCAAATGCGCGTTCGAAGAAAAGTTGACTCTGGAAAAATGGCTAAAAAACTTATGAAAAACGGAAAACCTTTGAATCCAAGCCCAAATATAGCGCTCCCAGCAACTCCTCGCCAAATCGAACGAATTCAGCGTCACCGTGGTTGAATTTGGAGTTGAGCTTCTGAAGGAATTGACTGTAAAATCAAAAATCTCTGAAACCCACCTCAAGTTCGTGGTCCCAGCCAGCGTGGAAAGAGTGATAGACCTCGAGCAGGGTGTAGTAAAAAATGTAGATTCGGACGAAACTGGAAAACGATTTATTGCTTTTAGTAATTTGCTTACCTAAATCCAAGCTTTTCGAGCTGTTCCTCGGCTATCCGATTCGTATCAAGCGCTACCCCTAGCAAATGAGAAATGGAAGTAGGTTCGGGCTTTTCGGCCGTCGATTCTTGTAGGGGATATCCTAAAAATTTGACGTTTTGTACATGCAGGAATGTACCGTATTTTTGACCGAACGAACAGGCCGGTGGAAATCCTTGCGAGAAACAGGTGAACACCATCTAAAACGGAAAAATGGCCTTTTCAAATTACTAATCTACCGTATATCCGTTTTCCGAGGTCGACGTGCCTTGGATTAACGTAAAATCTTCAACGTCCGCCAAATAGAGTTGCTGCGAATCTAAAGGATTTATATTTTGCTAATTTCAAAATCCACCGAAAAATTCCTGTGGCGGCTGCACGACAGCTATTTGCATCACACCGCCCGAGAGCACGATCACCGAAAAGTCGTTGAGCTGGATGAGAAGGAAAGAGTTACGCATTGACCTGAATAGAATTAATAGTTTTGGCTAAATCAGAAGCACCTACCGATTAAAGACCTTCAAAAACTCGAAACCCTCGATAATTTTTCGCCGAGACCGCTCCTCCAGGGATTTCACCGCTTGTTTCTAGGAAAATAGTTTTAATTCACCTCGCATTCAAACCTCCGGAATCCAATCCAAATCATCGCCAAGCAGGCCGCCGCGAAACATGCAGGGCTCGCCATTTGTGCTGTAGTTTTTGCCGGCCTCCCATTTCACGTTGACAACGGTTTTGTCCTGTTCGTCAACCGGGATCACCCTGAAAATAAATTCCATCACAATGTTTTTAACTCACTTCCACGCAAAAAGCAAATGCCCGCATTCTGTATCCAAAAGAAAAATTTCTCCTTGATCGGTCGCCAAACAGAGGACATCCCCATCGGGGCTCCAGACGAGGTGTTTTATCTAAAAATTCATAAATATCAGATATCACTACTTTTCCATACCGTGTACGAGTTCGGGGCGACAAAGAAGAAGGCGCGGGCCATGCTGTTGATGCTCGACTTCCAGCAGGGGTACGTTTGGCCCTTGCGCTTCAGCACGACGTGGTCCTTTTGCGGGCTGTAGGCGAATAAATCGTGGTGCACCGGGTTCCATGCGACGCAATTGGCCTGAAAACGTGTTTATAGACCAACCAGCCCTTTTTTAAGAGGAACAGGAACGAGGCTGAATTTAAAACCCTTACTTTTAATCGGGAGCGATGAAATTCGTGGCGTAAGGTACCCTCAACAACATGAAGCTCGGTTGTTCGAACATCTTCCATCTAGAAAAGATAGTTTTAATTTTATTGTTCCAATCAAAGAATACGTTTGAAAGAAGAAGCTGATCCTTTCGCAGGGCAGTTAGGAAAAACGGCGCGCTACTATCGACACTGATCCAAACGGCATTACGCGAGGTATATTAGGGGCGGAAAGGAAAAGGGGAATGGCTACGGTAATTCCAAGAAATAGTGAAAAAGAAACCCTAGAAAAATTATGAAAGTTTGGAATTTGGGAATGTTTGGAAATCCAATAAAAGTAGGTCTGAAGGGTATCCGGAGAGCCCTAAAAACAAGGCTACTGCGCCTCAAATTTATTAATTTGCATAAATTCCATATTACACAAAAAAGTAGGCACAAAAAATATATCATTCTCTGTCAAAGCCTTGGTGAGGTCAGTGGGATGAGTTTAGCTTTTTTCTAAAACGAGGCTACTAGAATGGCCTTTGACCGCCTCGGCAAAGTGCTTTTCGTGCTCGATGTGCTCATCGTCGTCTACATTTTCTGGGCTACTGTTCAGAAGTTGGGAGGTCGGAAATGTTGAGAAAAAATTAATAAAATTGGTATTATAAGCTGTCAATACTTAAAAGTATACATTTAATTGGCACTTTTAGAAAGGCCTCCTTTCCATCTTCCGGATGTGCCGGACCTCCCGCCTATCGGACCGGGACGCTACTGCCAGACGGATGGGTGCAAATTGTCGGCAAAAACTTTTGTAGGAATCGATTGATATCATATGCGCAATTTATTTTAGCTCAGCATGATTCAGCCAAGGGTCAACCCGTGCGAAGATTTTTACGAGTTTGCCTGCGGAAAGTGGCTTGAGGTAATTTTGTGCCATTTTAAAATTTGATTCTGACCCTACCTAGCCCTGCCTGGCATGAATCAGAAGAACAACTTTTTTACTGTCTAGGACCACCCGCTTCCTCGTGGCGTCAACATCATATCGTTGACCGACTCAATGAAGGTCGCCATCAACGAACCGATCAGAGGTATACTTTTCGTCAGTCCGTAAAAATGTTGTTATGATATTGATAAGTCTATGGTAACTATTTAGAATTCCTGAAGCGTGTACCGACAAACGAAACGGCGTCCCTAGCCGATCGGGTTGTCCACAATGCACACCGGCTGTGCCTGGAGACCCGCAACGACGGCGTCAAGTACGTTGCAGGATCGATTGCTGGTTCTGGACTGTTACCGGGGAAAAATTTTTTTTTGGAGGGGGAAAATCACTTTTTTTGACCCGTTGATGATATATTCCGTATTTTATAGTCTTTTTAATAGTTTTTGGTTGCGAGAAAGCTATAAAATGATTTTTTCAATTTTGAAAATTAGAAAATTTTGACCTTTGTTTGGTCACTTTCACCTTTGGTCATTTTGGACCAAAAAGTCAAATATTTGCGAAATCTTATATTTGTATTATTGTTTTCGTATCTAAAAACTATGTAAAATGCGATAAAATCGTGATATTTTGTCATAGAGAATCACAGAGAACAATTTAGTCCCCCTGCTAACATTCCAGAACCCGATTGTTTACAGATTACTGTAATTCGCTACTACTGCCCGCCATACCTAGGGTCTTATATCCTTCGTTTTCCAGCCCGTTCCGCGAAATCGTGGAGAAGCTAGGCGGTCCCCCATTCTTGGGCACCAACCGCCCGTCACTTGCCGACACGATCAAGCTCGTCCACGGCGCCTCACCCTTCTTCCAGATGCGTGACCAATACGTCGGTCATGCTGGGATATTTTTCGGGGTTGGCCTGTCCCGGTCTGCACCACGTGCACCGCGGGCCCTCGATGCGTACGGGCCATGGGTCGAAAAGGTGCACTATAGTTTACTTCTTCGGTATAAAACCTTACTGTAACCGTTTTTTGTTGACCGTGGGATTTCGATACGTGAGATAGCACTTTGTGCAGTTTTCGCTGTTCGTCCGTTTTCAAAGTTGCGGAACCCCTCTAGATAGTTACACCGGTTTTCTCCCCAATGCCAATTACCTTTAAATCCTTATAACTCGTGGAACATTTTGTGGGGTAAAATACAGCACTCCCCGGGGTAAAAAACGGGCTCTTTCCGATGGGCGCTTCACGAACCCGTAGCTCAAATTCACATTTCATTGGCCATCGGCTTGGTCCCCGAAACTTTTTTCATGTGGCTCGGGTTCGTGGGTGGCCCATTCGAGGGCACGTTTTTACCCCTGGGTGCTGGATTTTTCCCACAGTCCCGGTCTTTTTAGGTTTAAGTTTTTTTCGGTCTTTGGGGTAGCCGGGTCTTTTATCTAGGGGGTTCCGCGCTTTGAAAGGTTCGGATCGCGTTCTGCACAAAGGGCTCCACGTCGAAATCCCACGGTCCATGCGGTTCAGTTAGGCATTAATCGCCTTAAACGTACTTTAAGGGTGGCCGTTCTGGTTTGAGTTTTTTTTAAATTTCTATCGAACGGTGGATCTAACATGCAGATTTCCACCCTTGGATTTTCCTTGGAAGCTTTTTCTTTTAGTTAGCGAAGAAGCTAGCCACCGATTTTGGCTACGAAATCGACGAGCGGCGCGTGGTCGAGGGCGCCCAGCGTTACGTGACGTTGTTGGCGCTTGTTGAAGAGGTACGAGTCAACTTCCTAACGATCGATATATAGGCCAAACTCACGTCGCCCTACGATTACACCACTGAAGCGCTAAATGTGACGCATGCCCGTTGGCCAAGGGTGGGATAGTTTTCACGAGCTGGGAAAATACAGAGTGTCGACCGTATAAATTGCGGAATTAAATCCTTAAGCATAGGGTATTATGCACGTATTACTAGTCGGAACAGATGTGTTTTAGCACGAACTGCCAATTTTCAGCTCGAGTTAGAGGCGATAGTTGAGGCGATGTTCCGCTGGAAGAGCCCCGGGTCCGTGTTTTGGAACTGGATGGAGCACTCGAGTTATTTTGCGAAGGTGGGCTTTGAGCGGGTTAGAGAGAGAGAGAGAGAGAGAGGAGAGAGAGAGATAGGACGAGAGAGGCGCCGGCGAGAAAAATATTTTCCTTTTCCAGCTCGAGCAAATCTTCATCCAAGACCCAGATACCGTCGTCGAGGTGATGATAGTGGAATATTTTCTCGGAAGTGCCACTAAATTCGGCCCTAGCTACCAGGTAAATGGGCAGTACGAGGTTTTCTACGTATCTCTAGGACTTCCAAGGCCTCGGCTTCGATCTGGAGCGGCACTGTCTGGAAATTGTAAGGATTTGATTGCAAAAGAAATCAAATTTCGATGTCGAGACGATTATGACGCATCCGCGATGGGTCGACTCGTTCGCCTTGGATCACGTGTATGACCGGGAAAATCGCCAGCGTATTGAGGTGTATTTTCTGCCAGACGGAGAAACGGGCTAAACCTATCGGAATTACCTGGTTTCCCAACTTAAAGCTTAAATTTCAGGAACTTGGCGAGAAAGTTCGCAAAGCGTTTGCCGAAGTCGTCCGCGAGAGTCCGTGGGCCGATCAACCAACTCAGGACAGGGTCATAGAAAAGGTGCGTTTGAAAAGGTTTGGTTTCTCTCTCCTCTCTCTCCCTCTCTCTCTCTCTCTCTCTCTCTCTCTGGCTTTCTCTCTCTCTATTCATTCCAGCTTGAAACCATGCCCGTATACGTCGGCATTGACCAGCTCACCTGGAGCCCCGCGCAGCTCGACGATTTCTACAAAGAGGTCCATCACTTTCGTAACCGAAAATCAATTTTCCAGTACACTCCCGCCTCAAAGTCGACCTACTTTGAATACGCCGAGGCCCTCTACGCCTTCCGATACGAGCACAAATATGGCGTGGGCCGTAGCGGGGCTTCTTGATTTTCCCTTGTATTTCAGAACGCATTCCAATTGCCACAAACCATCTACAACGCGCACAACGCCGTGGACTTTATCAGTAAGCTATGTTAGAGTGGTTTATTTTCCGGGACCAAAATACCTCTTTGTAGCAAAAAAAAATTTCTTAGCTAAATTTCAACGCAATGAGGGCCACGCTCTTCTACTATACTTCAGATATACCTATTTAAAGGGATGTCGACGGCATAGTAAATCGGTTACGCGCGGAAAAGAAAATGTAGCCCTGCGTTTCCTCCCCTTTTCGCGTCTGTCCCCTGTTGGCTAGCTTGCCAATTGCTGATGAGGGGGGATTTTTGGGACACATGCCGTTATACGGCAGCTACCTATTGAAAAGCACTTTTTCAGCCGTTTACTGGGGCCTCGTCAAAGAGCCGTACTACTACCCGGATGCCGCCCTCGAGGTCATCTACGGCGGCATGGGGTTGACCATCGGCCATGAGCTGGCCCACACCTTCGATAACAATAGTAAGACTTTTTATTTTTAACTTTTTTTGCCCGACCGATTATGCAAAAATCGGGCATCCTTGTCCGCCCGTTTTGTTCTTCCCGATACGCCTCTTCTAAGGGCTCCATGCTAAGAGTCCAGTACCAAAAATAAAATTTAGTACTGGCCTACAACCGGGCGGTTCTCGTCGGCCCTGAGGACAATCAACAGTATGACGCACAAGTCGAGTGTATCCAGCATCAATATGAAAACGCGACCGTACCCTATGAATTCAGCAACGGCACCTTCTCGGTAGATATTTTTTTTGTATAGGCATGGAAATGTCTCGTAGCTTAATAGGAACAATTTTAATAAAGTTTTTAGTCCAATAAAAGTATATTCAACTAGTAAAACTTCCAAAAGTTTTTTCCCATCCCTCTATTTTTAACAACTCGACATTTTGGTAAAAACGGCCATTTTTGGCGAACAATCGAAGTTTTTGCATTTTAATACTTTGTAGAGTTTTTGCGTTTGAGAATAGTGTAAAACAGTTTAGAAACACTTTCGCCAATTAGATTTGAAGATTAGATCCTAAGAAAAACAATTATATTAATTATTTAGATTTTAGTTCTAATAAAATTTTGTTTACCTAGTGGCAGGACACTTTTTAAAAAAAGCGAGAAAATCTAAGAAATTGGGGAGTTTTTAACAATAATCTACGTTTTTGCATTTTGTTGATCTGCAAGATTTATGCTTAGGAATAGTAACAACAGTTTCGAAAAATGCCTTCAATTTATTTTACAAAAATTAAAAACCAAAGAATTGTAGGGTCTCTCTAATAGTTTCAATTCTCCATACGTCTAGCAACCCGGCGAGCTCACGGATGGCGAGGCGATCGCCGACAACATGGGCCTGCGCACGTCTTTTAGGGTATGTGGGCTACAGGCAGAAAAATTTTGTGGACCTTTTCAGGCCTATCGTACGGAGCGCAATCGGCTGTACGGCAATGATCCGCCCGCGCTCAAGGGGCTCGAGCAGTACACCCCCGATCAGCTCTTCTATGTAGCCGCCGGGCTGGTAGAGGTGACAATGGGCCTGAAAATTTTGTGGCCGTAGATGCACTGCGCGCATGAGGGCGACAACCAGCTGCGCGTGTTGCTCGCCGACGTCCATCCACCAGGCAAAATTCGCATGAATGAGGTGGGAGCCGACTTTTAAATTTGTATTTTTTAAATTCTGAACCAATAATTCTTTTTTTTTTAGATGATGAGAAACTCGAAGCAGTTCTCGGAAGTATTCAAGTGCCCAGTGAGCTTTGTGCGACTTTTCTGATCTTCCTTTTGTAGCTGAACTCGCCGATGAACCCGCCGAAAAAGTGCCGCGTGTGGCGCTACAAGAAGCACAAGAAGCACTAAAAACTCTATCGCATTTTTCATTGCCCCGTCGCCCGATATTTATGCCATGTGATTCGCGGTATTGTGCCTTGAGATAAAGATTTTTCGGGCGTGATGAGAAACACTACAGTACAGTCCAAAATTACAGGGGAAAACAGCAGGTACACATGAATTTAATAAGCATATTTTAAAGATCTGAAACCAAACATTTACGAGAGTAACAATATCAAAATCGATTTTTAATATCCGGCTTTTTAGACCCGTGTCCACTTCAAAATTGAAAACCTTCGGCGTGTTGTTACGGATTCAGTCCTGTTTCTATCGACATTTTGGAATGTGGATAAAAATTGTACTTGTCTTTCTTTTTCTATCGTTGACTACGGTATGCTGGGCTGTTTACGATACGTGTAAGAAAATTGGATTTAAAAATCGTATTTCATAGCTAAAGCCTCCGAAGTTGTGCTTTTTAGTCGATGGCAAGGATGTAGTCAAGGGGCCGTATTTGGAATCCGGGGTGGTTTTGTTAATAACAGCCGTATGGACATCTACATCTTCACGAAACACCCAGAGTACGGAGTATACTAAAGGCAAAAAAATGAAGAATTTTAGCATTCAACTATTCTTTGCTGAAACGCCCTTTCCCTCAAAATCCCAGGCCAACATCCCGTTCCAAATCAACATCACCGGCGGGGATGGGCAGCCGTTTTTCAAGATGGGGTCGAAAGTAGAGGTATTTGAGGAGCGAGAGAGAGAGAGAGAGAGCGAGAGAGAGGCACAGAAACCTAGGGCCAACCCCAAACCATTCACCGTCATAACATGAGCGAGTATCGAAGAATCAAGGAAGCCGATTGTTACATGGTCGAGCTGAAACTTTCGTAATGCTAGACTACAAACTACAACCTATACCTTACAGTCGAAATGAAGACTCTACCTTTAATGTTGGCGTCTATGGAGAGGAGCCGGTCCGTGGGAATGTTATATCATTCACCCAGGATATCTTTTTTCTGGCGGTAAGCTTGGAAAGTAGGCTTTCAAGAATTCCAGGTGGATACGGAGTCGATGGTAGCTGTAATTCAGTATGATACAATCGGCGCAAAGGGCGAAATTTTGGCACTTCCGCAACTTCAGACAAGAGGCGACTTTGCCCCGGATTTTGACATTAACGTTCCGCTGAAGTTTATACAGCAGAGTCGAGCGGATGGGATTGCTTTTGATTGTAGGACAATTCATTTTAAGGGGATGGAAAGCGATGAAAGGGCGTACTAGCAAAGGCCGTTTTTAAAACTAGCGGTGGCCGTGCCTGATTAAGCCAATTTTCATACCGAAACTTGTTCTTTGCGACGCTCGTTGGTGGCGCTTGTTTTTGGAAACAATGAATAACCGGGTGGCTTGAACTTGGTTGGAGGGATTTATACCTATTACGGCGGAAGTTTAGGCTTGGGCCTAGGCTTAGGCTTAGACGGCGGCGTACACCTGGGCGTAGGCTTACGCTTATTGTTAGGCGTAGGTATAGGCTTAGGTTTCGGCTTAGGCTTAGGCTTAGACGGCGGCGTAGACCTGGGCGCAGGCTTACGCTTAGGCGTAGGTATAGGCTTAGGTTTCGGCGAAGGCTTAGGCTTAGGCTTAGGCTTGGCTTAGGCTTGGCTTAGGCTTAGGTTTAGGTTTCTCCTTTTAGTGGGCCCCCTACCACCTCACAAAAAGCTTGGAGGAAAGTCGGAAGACGCACGCCATTTGGGCAACGTCACGCTACATATTTGCCTTCATGACATTGTCCCGCAAAAGATGGAGCGGTGGGTTACGGTAGAATTACTCTAATACGGTAATGTATCGTTTTTTCCAGAGAGTGTGTCGCCAATTCTGCAATTTCAGATTCTGGGTAGCCCACGACGCCCCACCATTCGACATCCGGGCTGACCGCGATTTTCTGTTTGGCATTGAAATTCGACGGCGTGAAGAAGATCTACGTTTTGTATCTCGTGAAAAAGTGCGAAAACAACATTACGCAATTTTATCGATTTCCAGGGCGTCGACATTGTCCGCGGAACCGCCAAGCTGAAGCCGCCCGGGAGCAATGGGCTCTACTCGGCTTGCGTGGATGTGGAAATCAAGGAGTCTGACTTTTTTGCGGGTTCTATAATTTTTTTCAGGTCCGCTGGTAGCTATACCGTAACCTGGAAATACGAGGAAACCATTGTAAGTCGTTTTGACGTGTGTAAAAAGACTTACTTTAGTTTACGGCGAGCGGCATCAAGGGGCCAGTTGCGCATAAGTTTATTTCAGTGGGTCTATAATTCTTTTTTATGTTGGTGAGCTTCAAATAGTCGTTTAATTGTCTCAAGAAAGGTTGATTTTGCTCATAAGTGATGTAAAAAACCACAAAAATCAAATTTGTTTTAGTTCCAAGGCAAATTTGGCACCGAGAAAACAAAAGCCGAAATGAGCATCGAGTATTTCGACAGCCAGGTAAGTAATTATAGCCTTAACCGGGTTATAAATTATAACAAAATCAGGTGGTTGCAGTCGCTTCGCGACTCCTTTAGCCGCAACGCCCTTAAAAAGCTACTAAGATACCTTACTGATGGCTTTAGATATCTCCCTAGCCGAAATCCCCTTAAAGGGCTGGAGAAAGATGGAATCGATGAAAGAGCAAAGAGGGCCGCACCGGACGGGGGTCGAACCAGGGATGGTCCGCCCCGCAGTCCGATGCGCTAGCCAGTACACCAGAGAGTCGAGTGGAGAGGGGCGGCCGAGGGCCCCCACATACCCTAGGGCGCATTGTCACCTGTACAAGAACGGCCATTAGAAATAAAGCCATTTAATGGTGATAATAGCTAAAATGTTGTGAAAACCTTGCTAAAGGATAGCAACGTACTTTGCAACTTTCTAAAGGTGTTTTGCTGTCTATGCGCCTATTTTTCAGCCAAAACAGTGTCCCAAAACCCCGAATCGCCCAGAACTTGGCCGCCTTCTATCCAATCCAGCTCAAATTTTTATCATCGATGCGTATCACCAAGTCCTTGGTTTCGGTAAATTTTTAGTTGAAAACATGGCTAAATGAAAAGTTATAGCCAATAAACTGGTTTCTTCAACGCGAGAGGGGGTTTTGGGGGCGCTTACGCGAGGAAGCGTCGTGGTAGCGCCGCGGCGGTCCGTCACCCCGACGGACGCCGGCCCATCTTTCTCCAGCCCTTTAAAAACGAAAATACGTGGAAGAAAAAAAGAAGTGAAATGGCTCCGGTGAAAATTTTCATCCACGAAACGCGCGCCACCTGGCCCAATGTCTATGTCCAAAATCACCCCAACCTCCGCCCCAAATCAACTTACAAAGTTAATTTTAATAGTTTAAACAAAAACTTCAATTATGTAATTATATATAATTATCTATAAAAAATTTAAAATTATAATTATATATAAAAAAACTTTTTCATAATTTTTTATCAGTTTGGGGGTTTCTGACCACGCTGTATCTGAATCCGAAGAGACCTAAGCCCTAGCTCCTTTCCCCGTCGAGTTGAATTCGGCTTCAGACGCACAGACGGACACCACTACCTTTTTATTATAGTTGATGATGATTTAGGGGAAAATCATCAATACCGAGAAATTTGAGGCGCACGGCGGGGAAGGGAAACTGACCCGAGGTAATAAAAACAAGTGGGAAACGCGTTAGAATGATTTTAGGGATCCGCTAAGCGACGGCCGGATCCACAGCTTCACAGCCTTCGTTTTTTATGTTAATAAACGGTGCATACAGTCTAGCTTCAACGTACAGGATTTTTGTTATAAAAAAGATTTTAAGACATTTACATGCTAGAAAAGCTATGTAAATACTTTGAGGAGGGAAGGCGGTGCCAAATCCCGCAGATAGCAGATGTGGTTGGGTAATACAGATATCGGAAATCCATCTCTTGCCGCAAAGAGGATTCGAACTTTTGAGCCATTTCGGTATACTTTTGGAATTTGCTTGCCTAAAAATAACTCAGAAGTTAAGGATAAAAATTAAGGTTGCATCATGGCCCCTTTCCCAGAACTCCGGCGCGACGTCTCCAAACTGTTCAGCAGATTGATTTGTAAAAAGAAAGGGAATAAGCTTGAAAAGGAATCGGAGCCGGAGGTGCAGGCGAGTTATTTGGCGTTGTTACATATTTAGAGGAGACCTCGGAACAAACTGTTAATTAAGAGGAGCTATGTCATCTTAAGAAAAATCCAAATTTCGAAAAACTAAATTTCCAAAAATTAAATTTCGATAAATTTAATTTCCTCGCCAATCCGGTCTGCCATCCCAATTCTAACACCCCAATTTCAGACAGTAATCGACTTCCGCGAACTCCCAATCGAAATCCAGCACAACATCCTCCGACAGATGGATATGAAAAGCTTCTTCAAGACGGCCATAACAAGCAAGGAAATGTCAGAGATGGCCACGCAATTCCGAGGGAAATTCTGGAACGTCTGGTTCCTCCAGACCCCCACAAGCCAGCAAATTTTCAAGATTGTTGACGAGGAACCGGAAAGATTGGCCATTAAAAGCCCAAAAACCGTGAGGCTGCTCTTCCACAATTCGACCGTCGAGGTGCTGCTCATGCGGGGCTCGGTTCCAGAGAACATGGACCTCCGGTGCCAGGATTTGAATTTTGTGGATTATGATCCGAAAGACCTGCTCTCGCTGCTAAAACGCCATAAACCTACCGGAGAATATCTCATTTACAAAGCGAACGTGCAGCCAAATGAGGAGCTGCTGAACTGGATGAGCGCCTCCGTGACGATCCTGGAAGCTCCAGCCCTTTCCGGTCCCCTACCAGACTATATCCGGCTAAAAGTGCCCAAAATGGCGCTACAACAAATCTCGTGGCCGGATCACCAAGTCGAAAAATACGTAGAGATGGTGGTCAAGGAGTGGCTAAACGAAGAGCGCCACATAGAACGCATACTGCTCTTCTGCAACCCAGAACTCCCAAAGTTCCTCCAGTGCTACCCGAGCCTTCGGGAATTCGGAAACCGCCCGCTGTACCACCGTATCGTTCGGGGCAATGGCGACATACTTGTGGTGGTCATCGACCGCAATTATCTGGATTTACACCTAGCAATGCGGACGATCCCATGGCCATACAATCCGAAAGTCAAGGCATTCTTGTTTGGGTCGCAATGAGAATGGAATAAATGTATTTTTTTTTGCATAGAATTTCCTTAAATGCACGCGAATTTTTTATTTAACACAAAAACAACCTTACTCGTATAGCTCTCTCCCTCCCTCCCTCTCTCTCTCTCTCTCTCTCTCTCTCTCTCGCTTTTCGGCGTGGATCAGGGGTAATCGATCTGGTTTGGATGAATCAACTGTCAGAAAGGTCGGACTAGCACGGGAACACGCTAATCGATTCAGAACGACAGATGTCACATAGAGCGCGCTGACCGTGTTATGTAGTGTAATTCCCAACACCCTTCATTACGATTTCACAAGGTCGCCTAGATGAACTCGTACGTCTGAGTCAAAATGCCAGTTGCTTGTGGCAGTTGCATTCCATGCGTTCCAGCGAGAGAGGGAGGTATAGAGAGAGAAAGCGCAAGAGAGAGATAGTACTAGAGAAGTCATACTGCCGGAAATCGAGACCACTATATCATAAAACAAAAACCTAAATTGGCGTTTTTTAATTTAATTTTAATACATAATTAATACGTTTAATATTTAATACCCTCAGATCACTATTCCCAAAAATACGTTCAATTCTCTGCCCCATCTCGCGTCCTGAATTTAATTTTTCATGCATGCTGCGACTTTCTGTCTTGCCATTTCGTAGCCTTCACTTTTCGCCCCGCCTAAAATGCACCTCCTCGCCCGGCTGACATCTTTCTTTGGGCTACTGTATTTCTGCAATGGTGTCTTTGATGCTTGTAATTTTGATAGCCGATTTATAAACCCTCGAAATACCTCTAGTCGATGGCCAAGACCTCATGGCCGGGCCGTACTTTGGCATTCGTGGAGGCTTCGTCAACAATAGCCGAGTGGACATCTGGGTGTTTAGTCGTGCTCCGGAGTTTGTATTTTTAAAAATTGACGGTTATCGTCTACAGGATGCAAATCAACTTCGTGGAAAAACCATTGCCAATCACGCGACTGAAAAATATAGCCTTTCAAATCAACATTACCACCACTCCAAAACCACATGTGACATTTGGGCAGTTGCGTGAGGTATTTTTTTTAATAAAACCATACCGTAAAATTTACATCTAGGGCTGGCCCGATTCCGAGCGTTATTTGGATATAAAATCCTATGAAAGGATCCCGAAATGCAATTGCTACGCCACGAAGGTGACGGTAGAGTAAGTAAAAAACGTAACGTTCCGCAAACATGAAAAATACTGTTGTGGGGCATTTTTAAGGCTGTGTGCCATTTGCTAAAAGATCTTTGCTAGCTGGCGCCGTAGAACACTAAGGCAGCCAATTTACAGACGTAACGCCGATTCACAGTACTACGTCAGTACGAATAACGAAGAGCCGGTCGCCTACGAGGGTTTCTCTGTGGATAATGAATTATTTTATGTGGCGGTAAGTCAGTGACAATTATAATGAAGGCTTTCTTCCTGCTTTTTAGATCCGGGACGACGCTATCGCGGCCGTGGCCCAATGGGCGCAGATTAATGGGTAATTTCTTCTATCGTATGGGATTAGGTTTAAGCGTACAGGTTTGAACTTCGGTTTAGGCTTCGACTGCGCCTTAGCCTTAGGTTTAGGCTTAGGCTTAGGCTTTGACTTAGACTTGGGCTTGGGTGTAAGCATGGCCGACGCATAGGCCGAAGTTTACTTTCTCCCTATTGACTTTTTCCAGGGCCCTGCACCCGATAGACCGAATGCAAACGCGTGGCCTGCACGCCCCGGAGTGTGATATGAACGACCTCGTGGAGTACATTCACGGGACGCAGAACAATCAGAAGGAGAAATTCCAGCGTAAGTTGCTCCGAAAAATATCGTAGATTTTCCGTCCATGCAATCCCCGCTAAAGGCCAAATTCAGTGGGTCCGACGCCGCCAAATTGGCGACTCTACGGGATTGACAAGACGCAAGAGCTGCTCGGCAACATTACGCTCCATATTTGTCTTCGTCAGATTCAACCACACAACCAGGAACCGTAAGTGGGGAAAATGATGGAAAATCTCCCTTTCAGTTTCGTTCTCGTTCTCGTTCTCTCTCTCGCTCTCGCTCTCTCTCTCTCTCTCTCTCTCTCTCTCTCTGTCTCTCTCTCTCTAATTTCGTTTTCGGTCTCTCTCTAGCTCTCGCTCTCTCCTCCCTCTTTCACCCCTCTCTCACTCTCATGCTAGGTCTCTTTCTCTCATTCTCTCCCTCTGTATCTCGGCCTCTCTCTCCCTCACTCTCTCTCTCTCTGCTCTCTCACTCTCATTCTCATGCTCTCACATTATTCGAATTGCAGATTCTGGGTAATCCACGACAGTCCACCATTCACCGTGCGAGCCGATCGTGATTTCCTGTTTGGAGTACAAATCCGACGCAGGGAGCGCGACCTCCGTTTTATCTCCAGAAACAAAGCAGGTTTTGAATCATTCAGGGTTTTAAGACATCAAGCTACAACCAGAAGCCTTTAGGGGGTGGACACAGTTCACTTCACCTCCCGACTGCGCCCAGAAAGCTCGGAAAAAGGCTATTCCGCCTGTTTTCATGTGGCTGTTAGAGAGTGAGAGTCATTTCAAATTTTATTGCATACAATTTTAGAAAATATGGGCATTACTCTGTCGAATTCGATCACGAGGGAGCAACGGTACTTTCACCGATTCCCTTAGAAAACAAGGTTTTCAGAAAACGATTGAAAACATCAAGGGCCCGATCGATCGCCAGTTTATCTCTGTAAGATTTTTTAGCCAGAACTGCCAAAATAAATCTTTCAGCTTCAAGGAAAATTCGAAGCCGGTAAAACAAAGGCCAATATCACAATGGATATACTTAACAACCAGGTTATTGAATTGAAGCAATATTTAATTCACTCGATTCAGGGTCACATCGACCATACGCAAGATTTTGAGGCCAAGGATCTGTCCTAGAAGCACGCTGTGCAAATTTGGCTTTCGGGTTTTATTTTTGGGGGAATAAACTGGGAGATTTGGTGATTCGAATTGCGGCGCCGCGACGATTTAATGCGCAGAAAAATGGTATAATCCTTTGCCAAATTTCGGCGAACACGGTGCCAAAATATTTATTGTCACCCCGCATAGTTGGCCGGCCTTTTCAAGCAGACACAAGCGGCCATATAGGTATTTGTATCGCCTGCGCAGCCGGTTGGTGTCCACGTGCCGTTAGCGGCCATCTAAACGTTAAATTGGCGGTTTCCAGGGCTCGTGTTATTTTCAAGCAACACGGCGTTACAGACGAAATGCTTCTAAAGGTACTTAGAATCCGCGGATAGCTCCCCTACCTCTCTCTTTCTCTAACGTTCTCTTTCTTCTATACCTCTCTCTCTCTTTCTCTGTCTCTCTCTCTTTTTCTCTCTCTCTGTCTCTCGCTCTCACTTTTTCTCTTATCTCTTTCCTCTCTACTCTCTACCTCTCCCTCGCTCTCTCTCTCTCTCTCTCTCTCTCTCTCTCTCTCTCTCTCTTCTCTCTCTTCTACCTATTAGGTTGCTCCGCTAATTCCAGGATACACTAGTGGGATTTTGTGCAAACTTTACCACAGCTCCTGCACAGCTCGTTTTCCACGAATTATTGAAGGCCGCGTAATTGTAGTCGAACGGCGTTCCATCACTGAACGATAAATAGCGATATAGAAATGTGTTCCCTACGCCCAGATGGGTAGGTTCTTCGCGTTCTTGGTGATCGCAAGGTGCACCAATTGATTTGCGCCTCCGATTTGGCCGCAGGACGTTGTCGCGCTCACGTTTCCTGAGAACCAGTACAGATTATAAACCCAATTCTTAGCTGCTATGGAATGTATAAATCATTTCGATTGATCCCGGAAAACCCACCCCTAATTGCCGCATTTTCATTCGCCGAGTGGATCGAAATTTCCGAGAGCCCCATGTTGTCGCACATCGTGGCACAGCTCTAAACAACTTTTTATCATCAAAAAAATTGACAAAAATAAGGTATAGCGATGGTGGGGTTACCGATGCGGATGTACAATTTGTTTGTTGGTTGTAGAACTTTGTGCCATTGATGGTATAGTCGACGGCCGCTAAAAAACTTCTTTTGCCAGTTTTTATCCACGTATTTCTCGGGAGCGACCGAGCGAGAGAGAGAGAGAGAGAGAGAGAGAGAGAGAGAGAGAGGGAGACAGTGATATAGAGAGAAATAGAGAGAGACCAGAGAGAGAAAGTGAGAGAGAGAAAGAGAGAGAGAGAGAGAGAGAGAGAGAGAGAGAGAGAAAGAAAGAGAGGCAAAGAAAAAGCGATAAAAATTAGATACCGTTGGTCAGCTGATGACAAGTCGATTCAACTACTGATGCATCTTGCGAAATGTAGAGCAAAAATTCGGCTTGACATTTTGTAGCTTGAGGGTATAATGTGCCATCTGAAAGTTAAAAGTCGGAACATTTTTTAAATACCTCCTGAAAATCCGGCACACGCACTGCCCAGGTTGATGCAATTTTGGACCGTCTCGTATCCAAAATTGGTAGAAGCGGTGAGATCCTGTCGAACAATCCAGTACTTGCCCGTGTAGTTGATGTACTAAAAAGGTAAATAGTTAGATCGAAAGAAAACGCATATCAAGAGTTAAACTCGTAGTTAAATATTTTTATAACTTACCCCCGCAACCTCGATAAATAAGAACACCTGGATTCCATAGCACAAATATTGCCAAAGCATAGACAACAGCGCTCTTGAGTAAAATATCGAAGCCGGCGGATAATTTTGAGACGCTGCCGACGTCTGGCCCCCGGCAGCTTTCCATATAAAAATGAAGATGGGCCCTCGAATGGGGGGCAGATTGCCCTGGAGACACGACAAAATAGATGAGCGCCCGAATGAGGCGCCCGATCTACGCGCATAACACTTGTTTTATTGCGGTGGCCTTGCCGTTGGCACTTGCTTGAACCCGGAAAAAAGGGCGAGGTATTAAAAGGCCGTCCGCGACTCATCCGAACAGGCCCCATTATGACCTGGCACAGTTTTTTTTGCCAGCACAGAGCAAAAAGAAATTCGGTTTCTGAGGGGGGCTGGGATTGAACTGGCGCCAGCTCTGGATTGGCAGGCCGGCGCTCTACCGATTGCGCCACAGGGCTCCCAGGCGAAGGGTCCGGGTTCGGTTCCACGACATCCAAATAAGTGGAAAATCGTTTTGCTTTTTTTTGCAATCGACTCGGCTCGGCCTCTAGATGCAATTCTATATCTCAGGTTTCCCGTCATCAAAAATTTTCATTTTTTGGGGTCATTTTTACCACCATTTTCACACATAAAAGTGAATAAAATTAATTTTTAGGGTGGTTCGCGCTCAATAAGCTATACATCATTCGATGCAGAAAAATAAGGCGCATCTTTTCGTGTAATAGTCAGCTTTCGCAAACCATCCAAAAATGTCGAAAATGTCGAAAAACTGTTTTTAGTAGGCTATTTAACCATATTCCGGCCATTTTCATGCTTCACAATTTATGAAAGAAATGATCCCCTCCCCAAATTAGCTATTGACACAAATTTTGGGCCTGTTTGGTTCAGTAGTTTTCAAGATGGTTTTTCGAAGCGACTTGACCCATTAACCACCCCCAACCCCCCCCCCCCTACCCCCCCCCCCCTCCCCAAAAAAAAAAGGGCGGCCGAAAAAACCCCCCAAACCCTTGTTCGTGGGGCCCCCAAACGGCTTTTTATTGGGGGTTTTTGGGATGAGAGGAGCATAAGTGGCCGGACAAGTGTTAGTTATCGACGAAAAGAGCGGGTTTCGTTCTCTGCTGCTTCGCAAACTCTCTGTCTCTCGCCCTCACTGGCTCTCCCTCTCTGACTCTTCATCGCTTGCTGTAGCTCTGGCGTCTCTCTCTCTCGCCGCAAAAACTATTGGAATTTGCGTACCAAAATCAACGTCGTCTGCGAGTTTACGAAAAGTAGGCCGTTCTCGGACACGAAAAATGATTAGCGATTCGGGAAGTCGGTTGCCGAATAGAAAGCGCTGATTATCGAGTCATCGCTGGTACAAAGCTTAATGAGACCGCTGATATAGAGTTAATTCAAGTCTAGCAGCTGGAAAAACGTTCCTGGAATCCAATGTGGCCGCAACGGCCTGTCTTAGCACCTGCTTGCCATCAGCTCGGCCAAAAACCGAGGTGACGGGAAAGTGTATATTTATTTCTGAATGGGACAAAGGGAGCGAGAGAAAAAGAGAGATTGAAAGGTTGACAGGGAGAGAGAGAGAGAGAGAGAGAGAGAGAGAGAGAGAGAGAGAGAGAGAATGGAGAGAGCTTCATCTTAAAGTCCGACCACGAACACCACGCTGCTCTGGCGACTACTGCTGATTCGGGATTTCGTGTTTGCTGATTCGGCATCTTTTCGGCCGCACCAATAGCCACAACCGCCGCCGATAGCTTTTTGTCGCAAAAATTATAATCAGGTGATTAACCACAGAGTGGAGAGAAGCGAATAACGGCGTTACACCGGTACCTAAAGCATCGCGGAAACCAGACAGCTTTTCGACCCACAAGTACAAAGCCAATCCAAAAATGGCAATGCGGGCCAGTCCTGGAAAACGAATACCACGAGAAAGACGAACCCAAATGGGCCGATGACAAGGCCGAATAGGACCGCGGACTGGAAAGTTTCGTTAGTGATGGTTTCAAATCGTACAGTTTGTCGATTAGAAAAATTCCCGAGAAAAGGGCCAGAGACGACGCCTAAACCTATGCCTAACAAGTGAAGGGGCACGCTCGCAGGGTGGAGTTTCGACAAACGCTCGCGGCTACCCCCGGGTAATCGACTACGGAGAACACGATGCCGCTGTCCGAATTTGCTACGGAGGCCTGTGGACAGAGATACACCACTTCCGGAAAATGATCATGGCATGCGAAAAACTAGCATTCCGGGGAAGCCTTATTAGGGCCTCCCATGAGTATGGTACCACCAATTGAATGGCCGAGTGGTAAGCAACTAGCTTGTTAGGATAGTGGCCAGGGCACGGATCACGTTTTTCTCACGTTTTTTTCGTTTTGCCTTTTGACAACTTTTTTTGCACAAGTCCAGAACCTTGTCTAAATGTGTCAAAAGTCATTCTTGATGCCGTATGAAACGTTTAGCGAACAAAGAAAAACCTTTTCGAAAATTTTATTTCGAAGACTCGTGGGAGACCCTAATAAGGCTTCCCCGGAATGCTAATTTTTCGCATGCAAATCATCATTTTCCGGAAGTGCTGTATCTCTGTCCACAGGCCTCCGTAGCAAAATCGGACAGCGGCATCGTGTTCTCCGTAGTCGATTACCCGGGGGTTGCCGGGGACTTTTCGAAACTCCACCCTGTGAGCGTGCCCTTCCCTTGTAAGCCTGCACCTATGCCCCAGCATCGAACCCAACCTCATCTCTTACCTGAAGCAAGAAGACTAGCGCAAAATGCCGCCGAAGGCTTCGCGTATGTGCACTCTCATATTGCTGCTGAGGGATGCAGTTCTCGCGCAGCACCGAGACAAAGATATGACTATAGACGCCGCCTCCGTACACAGTGCCCGTGACAATAGCCAATAAGATATACATCACCCGGGTCGAGGAAATGCCCATCAGAACGTCCGTCTGCCCGCAGAGCTCCGGAATGGCGCCGCAGATCTGGAGGTATCGAAAATCGGTGCTTTGGCTAGTTTAGATCAGCTTCTTTTTATTTTTCCTAAATTGATTTTTCCTAAAAATCACTTTTCTTAAAAGTCTTTTTCCTAAAAATCATTATTCCCACAGTTCATCTTTTCAAAGATTAGTCATAAAATAGAGATGTGAAAATATGCAGGAAAGCGAAATGCTGGCATTTAGTTGGCTTTTATCAAACTTTTTTTACTTTTCATTGATACTTTTGACTTCCGGTATAGCTAAGTCCAGGCTACTAAAATACTCTATGACATTGCTAGGCATATATGAATTTATTAGCAAACAATTTCGATTTCGCCATGCATACTACTAAAGAACTGAGGCCTTTTTTGATATTTAGAAAAATTAGGAAAAATGGGGAAAATTACTTTTGAGAAAAATGATTTTTGGGAAAATGACATTAATTCTTCTAGATCGTTAGCGTTTTTAGCATCTGTCTTACGATTCGCATATCATCTAATTTTCCACTCACCAACACTGGATCACTGATTATTCCATTCTCCGAGTAAATCACCACACACGCCGCGATGAATGAGAGTATCATGCAGATGGCGTTGGCCGTCACCGAGATTAACAGGAAACTGTGACGGCAACCCATCGACGAATTGGCCGTTTTACGGTACCTCAGAATGCCAAGGTAGAGGATGGCCGTCAACGATATCATGGAAACCGTAAAGTAGCCGGCCTAGGAATTCGAATGCACCGATTGATCGCGGATTACCGTCGCCAGCAACCCGTTCAGCATCGTCGCGTCAAAATGGTGCAGCAGAAATTTCAGAGCGTATTTTGGGGCGAAAATGATTGGCTTCAGGAACGAGACGAACGTGTCGGCGGCCTGGTTGCTGATCTAAATCTTGTAAGCTCAATTCGTGATGAGACGCGCGGTTACCAGAACCAACAGCTGCAACCTGTTGAAACTCTTGGTCATTTTCGAGTTGACAAAAAGTAGACAGTTGACCGATACAATGCACAATAAAGTGTTGAGGATCCATAGGGTCGTGTAGAAGGAACCAACGATTGATTCGTCGCTGGCAGAAGGTAAGAACATCTACGGCGTTGTGGATTTTGACAAAAGTGGTACTGGTAGTACAAAAACGAAAGTGTGGTCCATAGTTCCGAGGTCAGCGTTGAGTATAATCACCTGCTCACCAAATCGGGCATGGCGAGACACCGGTGTGTAGTAAGGGGCGGCAGTAGAAAGCAGGTCCTCGAAGTACTAACCCTTTCTCGCTCTCTCTCTCCTCTCTCTCTCTCTCTCTCCTCTCTC